ACTATTCAAATGTTAAAATTAAAAAAAAAAATATATAAAACTTTTAAACCGTACGGTTTAACATCAACAATGTGCGCGTATAACCGTTGTAGGTCGTTTAATATTTAATTTCGAATTTTCTCTATTAATTTAAATTTAAAACTATATAGATTTCGACTGCAGTGTAATTCTGCGCTCATAAATATTGCGCATCTGTACGACAACATTTAAATAACATAAAATTACGCAAATAGTAAATACCCACGATGTACTAAAACGTCAATTTTATTTTATTTTGGCTTTATATTGTACTTATAGACGTGGATATTATATTATTATGTTGTACACTTATACCGCTGTACCATGTACGGTTTTTATTTTATATGACTAGGAAGGTTTAGAATTTGAATTATTAATCAGTTACATTATATTAATAAAGTAAATTGTTTGTGTTAAAATATAGGTTACCGCTAAATTGAGTATAAGATGAAAATCTCGTATTAGAAATCCATTGTAGTTTTTACAAACGATGAGAAGGTTCGGTTAGTCGAACACTGGCTAGGTACTTATAGTTGTATTACCCTTTTTTGCAAATGCAACGGGTATGGTAATATTATGAAATTAAAATATACAGATAAAATACGAATATGAACAAAAATACAAATTTAGCAAGGTGAGCACAATGTTTTAATAATTATAATAAATAAATAAACCGACGGAAGATACAATTAAAACCGAATTTATAGATTGTTGTACTATTTTAAAGGGAACAACACCAAAAAATAATATTTACTATAGTATTATATAGCTGTTTTTTAGTAGAATTAATATTTCAGTTTTTTCGCCGCGGGACCGTTCGAGGAGTGAATCGTTATGGTCGTCCGACGAGGGTGCCAAAATTCCTATTACTATAATGTGTAATATATTATATTATTTCATTACACGAGAACATAACATAAATACGTATATACACAACGATATAATAACATAATTGTATTTATTTTTTCATTCCTAACATTGGTTAAATTAATAACTGATGTCTCTTCAATTTTCCCTGTCGCTTATAGTTCTTTTAAGCTCTATGCACGTTCTAATTCCGGTGTATTCTTTCATTTGCTTCATGAAATATCTTTTTGGCCTTCCCCTTCCTGGTGTACATTCCATTTTTACTTCTATACTATTATGACTATCATCCAAGGATTATTCCTTATTAATTGTCAGCTCCACGTAATACGTATAGTGTTATAGTATTATAGTGTTTTCTTGAAGTGGGGGACATTAAATATTATTTTTTAGAGCCTAATAATTTCCTAAAACATTATACGCTTTTGAAGTATTAAATATTAAGAGGCTTAAGAGCACTCCCAAACCTAATAATAACTGGTGTATGATACAATGAGTTATCATTATAAAATTATTATTGTAATGATTTTCGGTTTTAAATCTAAAATATCATTGTACCTATACAATAAATACAATTATGTATATATTTAAATATAATCGATAACATAAATATCTCGGCCGCTTTATCGAAATAAATAACTATATTGATTATTTCATCATTATTTTAATAATCACACACACGGAAAATAACTTGTAATTGCAACAGAAATGAGTTCGAAAATTACTTTTTTACGTACTTACTCGTATGTAGAAACGGATGGGACATTTTTAATTTAAAACCTTGGGGAGTTGATACGTACCTGTATTATATTATACCCTTTTGGCCTTTTCGCTTTCGAGTCCAATATGCGTCCGACGCAAAATTATTAATATACCGAACTATATATAGTTGCATGTATATTTCTGTTAATTAGGAAATCCGTTTTTGTATTTTCATTATATATTATATACTAGACAAGTATATTTTATATTGCACACGTATATCTGTTTTATCTTTTTTATGTCGTCATACGGATTGTATTGATATCTCATATTGTTTTATATATTGACATTTTTTGTTGTAAACTGTTTTTTAGTCTATATTATGTCGGCATCGTACAGCAAATTTTAGACGCTTTCGTGTATATTGAAAATTTTTCTGTAAAATTCCAACTGTCACAATGTTAAAAAAAACAGAATTCAGAAAATATATATTATTTATAAGGTTTTTTTTTTTTTAATAATGTCTTGTAAGACACTACTTAAATTTTCGACAATTCTGCTTATTCTTGACTCTTGTATAAATATTGTGAACAGATCGAGGAAGCAGACAATAATAATACAATAATATTAGTTTTTAATAATGAAGTTTTTTTTTCCTGTGAACATCTTTTAAAACACTGAATATTCTCAGTGTTTCAACTTTAATATTATATGTATAGCAACTTTTTGGTGAATAATAATTATTAACAATCATTTATCGCAAAAGAACTCTTCGGACAATCAATTTATAGAAATTCTCAGTTCGGAAAACAAAACTAACTGGCCAAAAAAAAAAAAAGAAAAAAAAAAAGGCTAAAGGAATTCGGACGAGCATTATAATTTATTATATTAATAAAGGAGTTATTATAATTTATGAAATAACATTGGTATAAAATATCTCTATTTTCATTTCCTATAAAAATGCTATCGCACAATCGCAAATTCTATTTCAGAAATTGTATTATTATTTATTAAGTAACAACAAATTCATTTTATCTAATGTACGGTTATTCGTTCAAAAGATAAAAAAAATATCAATACAAATGTTATATAAGAATTCGTTTTATAATGTTCGGAAACTAACGAATAAGAAGTTTGATTACGATTTGAAGCCGGAACAATAATTACAATAATAACTACCCGAACAATAATTGTTTGACAAATAAATTCAGTTCGTGTAAAATGTAAATACGTATTAAAATATATAGGTAACCTTATGAAATACTGATATTTTTTCGATTCGATCATATTTAGTTTTTAAACGTCGTCATTGTAGTTCAAAAGTAAAAAATATCATTCGACTCTTTTAGTTTGAAAAGTATATCTTTACATATTACTTTATCTAATCCCAAAATACTGGTTTATGAAAATTATACATAGTGATAAATTACACCATTACACTTATTATAGAGAGAAAAAAGAGAAAAAAAACCAAGTACAAAAAATGTACAATACAAACAGAATAGATATTAGAATGGACACTAATAATTATGTTATAAATAAATTATTTATTAATGAAAAGATGAATGATGACAAATGAGCATATGACCATAGATTTAAAAGTTAGGGTCTTCATTAGTAAGACGCATAATACGGAACAGTGGGAAGTTTAATAAATAATATGAGGAGGAGATGGGCAGATAAAAGGAATAAGTGGTTGTTATAATTCGAATGTGTGTGTATATTACTCCTACACAAACACTTTAAATATTTAATATTAATCCGAAATACATAAATATAAATATTTTAGTGTATAAGAAAAAAATTGTTCGAATTTATTTATAAAAGCTGCAGTAAAATACGACGAAAAATTAAGAAGTTTTGCGTATTTTTTCTCGGTACACGAAACTATGTTCATTCGTCAAACGCGTAATGAAATATTATTATACATAAGTAGAAAGAAAGAAATATTTATACAAAAAGCCCCACATTATATTATATTATATCTACATATAGTAGGTATTTTATTCGTTGATGCTCCATTTCATTTTTGTTTTATCATAATTTTTCGTAGCGTATAATTCCGAGACTGTTGGTATTTTTATAAAACATTATAATAGTAATAACAATATCATAGTCTTCCTTTTTATTATTATTTTAAATATTTGTTAGAAACTTTACGGATGAATAAAAAAAGACGGACTTCGCACGTGAGTGGGCTACTGATGTAGGTGAAAAGTCGGAAAGGGAAAATTTAATGTATGTCTGTACGCAACAATTATCCATTGCTAACTAAAAACGATTCTGAGCGGAGTTCAGTTAATAATATTTCTTTGTCAATAATATGTATGTTACATTATGGTAAATTAATTACATATGTATTACATATTTTCTTTAATAATATTTGTTTAATACTGTACCCATTTTCTCCGGTTTTTCCCATTTATTGGAAAAACACCTTGGAAAACCAAAAAATGACATTCTTAAAGTAACACGACAGGAAAATTCCCTTTCATAAAAGATGCTATAATTGATACTTTGAAGCAAGATTTCTGGTAGAATTTTTGTACACAGTAAAATAAAATAATTTAAATGAAAATAAACATCTTTGTAAAATCAATACATTCTTTGCTACACTCAGAATCTAAAAGCATTGAGGGTGTTATGTATATCGTTACCTATATTACCCTCGCACAGCATATTGGTCATGGGTAGACTACTGCTGTAGATGGGAAGTTAGGAAGGTTTTATACATAGAGTATTTTAATTTATATCTATACGCAACGATAAATCTAATAAATTTTGAAAGATCGAAAATGTCAAAAATCGTGTTATTGCATACATTTTCTAGTTTTTTCGGCGGTTTTTTTCAATTATCAGGAAACTAAAAAAAAAAAATCAAAAAATTACGTTTTCAATTCACCAAAAAGACAAAATTTGGTACCGGAAACACCTACTGGATATAGAAAAAAATTTTTGGTAGAATAGTTGTTTACAGGCAAAAAAACACATTATATCACATGGTAGAACAAATAGACGAGTAGGTCACTCGGAATCTAAAATGATAATAAATATTACGACGTTATTATATTATTTTTTGCATTAAGAACCGTACAAATCATTATTATGTAATCTAAACTAGTTTTAATTCCCATGTAATATAGTCAATTTCATAAATCAATAATCGTATGGCATATATTATACATAGGGTGCAAATTTATAAAACGACCTGCTCTTGCGACTACTTAATACGTGTCGAAACTATCGTAATAATAGTAGACCGTATTATAATAATGCAGCGCGATTTGTCTCAGTAATACAATCACAATGCACAAAAAAAAAAGATAATACCTAAACTGCCGTAGTTGAAACAGTGTATACAATATTATGCGTGGTTTATTACTTGTATAGTGCGTAGATTGCGATTCAGAAGGTTACGGAAATCGTAACTGATATGATCGTAGCAGTGCACAGTTTGACGCAAGTAGTTTTTATATGTATCCAGTTGCCTACTTATATTTTTATTTGCGAATCGGTGTTAGGTATTGTGCCGAAATGTTTGTTCAATATAGTATTAATTTCAATATTACAAAATGATTTTATAATAATTTTCGCAGTGTTAAATATTAAATACCTATACGTTTTACGTACAATCAAGATAATATTATTATGTATAACTTCAGTATATAGCATATGCACGCGCCGCATATTTCGTAAGTATAAGTATGCTCATTGACTTATATTAGAATACTTTGTAATACAATTATATACTTACCGAGGACGGCAATAATTCGATTTGTACATAAATTACACACATTCAAAATTATAAATTATTAATCTACCGGCTATTGGTTGCGCAGACGATTTTAATTGTCTTAAATCCAAAACGTTTATGTATGAATTATATGTATATCTTAAGAGTATAATACCAGTAGCTGAATAAGGATGGGAAATGGGGATTTTCTCACCACTGGAATATAATATTATAATATGTAGGTACATTTAGTTCATTCATCGCATATATACGAGTGTAAACCAATAACGAATATATTCCGATGCACTCCAATTTGATTTTGATGAATAAATTATTATTATTAATACAATTTTTTTTAAAAATAATTTGTAATGCGTTAAAAGTATGAATAACAAAAGAAAGCCGATACTTCTTATAGGTGTGTCAATGTTGTAAGTAGGAAATTAAGAAGATAGGATACTTAAAAGTATTTAATTTATGTCTGTACGCAACAATAAATCGTTACTGACGAAATATGATTTCGAGTGAAGTCGGTTGAACATGTTTTTAAATGCCATAATTTTTTCGATTTTCATCAAAATTTGAACTTAAAAAACAATTACATTTAGCCCAATTTTTTGTTTGTTGATAATTAAGAAAGTACATCTTATTTATATACATATACACCTCGAATTCAATTTTCCAGCATTTCTGATTGGCCAAACTATTTTATCCACAAGAAAATATTAATTAAAAACTAAAAAAAAAAAAAAATCAAAAATTTAAAATGCCTATAAATAATTTAAAAATTGTCAAAATGTAAACATTGTAATTTTACGATTTTTTTAAGCGAATAGTAGAAAAAAAAATCGAAAATGAAACCGTTATTTCCATAAAATTTCCCGGATTTCCTAAGTTTTTCAAAAGAATTAAAGAAACTACACAAAAAATCAAAGAATGACTCTTTTAAGTGCCAATTAGAAAACATTTTCATCTGTAAAAGATACACATGAAATTTTATGTAAGATTTCCAGTAAAAGAACAAAATTAAAAATAATGAAACTTTTATTACCGTGAACTTTTCCGTTTTTTTCTCAATTATGAAAAAAAAACAAGAAAAATCAAAAAACGACTTCAGCACACCAACTAAATTCTAAGTTCTACAAAAAAGCTCTATTGTCGTTTTTTCAACTAGAGTAGGGTTGAGTAAAATGGTTATAGACACACAAAAAAATAATGTTCACGTCATATTAGAACCATTGAATTCCTCGGTGGGCTCAGAATGTAAAATATCTATCATTATTGTTGGATGGGTTGAAATTAATATTTGAAATTTTAGATTCTGAACATAGCGAGGGATCTATTTGTTTTTTCATTTTGTATAGAAAAGTATATTTATAAAACTAATATTGAACTTATATTTCGGACGCAAGACTTTGAAAAAACTTAAGAGTAAAGATTAATATAAATACACCCACAAGCAGTAGAGTTTGGTTACCAGAGGAGAATTTCCCCTCGCCTATTTTGTATAATAGGAATATTATTTGGAAAATAACCGAATATTATAATAATACAATAAGTATCTTTTTATAATTTTTTACTTTTAAAAAATGATAGTGGTGGAGGTTGAAAATCGAAACCCTCAAAAGGTATACATTCTTGATACAAACCCGTCATAAGATATTTTCTGCCCCAAAGCGAAAATTTTACTGTCGTATTTTTGACGATTATTAATTTTATTTTGCCGCTTCAATTTGTTTAAAATTGTATGCCTCCCTAAGGCAACGCATGGTTTGATTGTACTCTAACGACGGGCCTGTATTGATACTAACGTAATTCATATATACAATGTTAACCCCTTGACTTTATTTGGAGAGTCTATAGTAGATAAGTAAGGGGGAAGAGATATATATTATTAATCGCTTATATATTATTAAAAACTGCATTAGCCTCTATTTTCGGAGGAAATTCGACAAAAAAGGTCAATATAATTTAGTGTATACATTTTTTTTTTTTTTTTATCATAATTGGAATATAGTGAAAATTATGACTTTCCGCAGTCGATATAGAAATTTGAATTTATACAAAATAATGTATAATTCATAGGAAATCGCATAAATGATAACGATAAATGTTTTGTGAAATATAAAACAAATGTGGTCGAGTGGGGACAGGAGAAGTTCACTAATCCTCCTAATCTCCTCCCTCAATCCATTAATATGTGTATCGTCCCGGCATTAGAGCTGGTGTTAGTAGTAATAATATTTATGATAAGGGTCGTGGCCCATACAATTTGCGATTCGTACCGAATCTTCGAAATTTTGTTTAGATGTTTCTGCATTCAAATTAAAAATTTTGGACTCTCGACAAGTGTGTTCTTAGCGATCCATAACTCTTATCATAAATATTATGCTTAACCCCAGTAATATCGATTTCAAATCTGTTGAGACATTTATCTGTATTTCGTTAATGAATTTTGTTTAATTTTTTTAAATTCCGTTTGTCGAATTTGTATATTCGATTTGAAATAATTACTTATATATATATATTATGCATATTTTTTTTTCTCGGTACAACATATCGTTAGAATTTGTGCGGCGATCGAGAATCCCTCTTATATTATTTTTCGGTAATAATTTTCCCTGTCCTCCGAATTTCGGACCTTATCGCACCGGACTAAATAAGAGATTTGTTGTTTCGCGTATTATCAGTCGGATGTACGTATAAAATATCGTACCCCCATATTATTTTATTACAATAATCGTACACATTTTTTGTTCGGCGACGTTTTCGTATACAATATAATATTATAGGTATTATGTGTATCTTACCTTCTTCCGGGCGCAACAGAGCATCGCGGACGATCGTTTATTCGCTATTGAGGTTACCCGGGCCGTTACCATTTTCCCATCGCGGCACGGAAAAGAAGAGCGGCCGTTCTCCTGCAACCGCTGCGGCTGGCACTCCGAGCACCCGGCAGTAGTGACGACGGCGTGTTATTGAAGCGGCAGCGTGTCGTCGCCGTCCCCTTCGACATCATCGTCGTATAATAATAATAATAATAATAATAATAATAATAATAATAATAAGCGTACGCCGCACTCGAATACGCGTGGTGTACACGTACAGTAAGTACACGCGTGTTTGTACGTCACTTTTATTATTATTATTATTTTTTTCTAATATTATTTTGAAATAATAATGATAATAATAATAATAATAACAACAATATGTATATATGTATGTACCGGGGTGCACGGTTAGCGAACGGACCGCGAGAGCGCGCGTGAGCTTTCGCCCCCGGACAACGTATACGTATAGCAATAATAATAATAATAATAATCGCGTACACGCAGCGCACGCGCGCAATTTCTGACGCGGCGTCTGATAAAAACGGTCGGAACACCCCTGGAAAAATAAAAAAAATAAACAAATAAATAAAAGAGCGCGCGCCGTGTTTATATCACGGCCGCGATAATAATTATGGTCACCGCGGCATACTGCGCGCGTACAACCGTACGACGAACACAATCCGGCGGGCGGTTCGGAAAGCGCTGGCGCGCGCCGCCGCCGCCGCCGCCGCGTACGCCGGTGGACGGGCGGCCGATCGATAAACCGTGTGTAGACCGTTTCGCGCCCTCCGCGGGATTTTCGGTGTCGAGGGGGCGAGGCGGAACGGGGAGAAAAGTATAAAAAAAACCGCCAGTCATCGGTTACGAGTATAAAATGTACCGCGTAAAACGCGCGGGCACCACCGACCGAGCCCACCGTACGGTATTAGCGTAGTACACGTTATGTTGTTGTACACCCGCGTCCACGTGGCCGACGTCGTTGTACGGCGAACCTAACCGCGTTGTCGGCCCGGTAATGTTTTTTTTTTTTTTTTTTTAACCGTCCCTCCCGTTAGACCCGACGGTCGTCGCGCCCGCGCGCCAAAACCGTCTCGCTTAATCATTCATGTTTTTCACCGCGCGTTTATTTCGTTTACCTACGGTCGCGCAGTTGTGCGTTACAGTACCTACGTACTTATGATATGCATATAAATATACTTGGTTAGGTTCATGTATTACAATAATATTATCTCGTTTTACGGTCCGCCGTTAATAATGGACGGGTCGAAAAGAAAAAAAAAACAAAACAAATATAAAAAAAAAGCGTGGCCGGCGAATTTTCATCACACTGGCCAACACATCTCTCCTACAATAGGTTCACATATGCTTTATTATCACCTATTTACATACTCTACTGTTTCCTTACGGCGACAGTTTGGCTCCCGCCAGTTTTCCGTATGGCTTAACGCATTCCGCCCATCTTAACCGTGGTCATGTTCACCTAGAGGCCATTCGTCGAAGTATACCTTTTTAAGCATATTTTAAAACACATAATCGTAGTAAAACCGATCATTCTTAACTCTCGTTAAAATCGGGTTCCGTCAGTTTTATCGCATTTTCATCGGGAATCGATTAGTTTTATACATAAAACCCGGACAGATAAAAACACAAACACCGCGGCTAAGTGCTAATTTTTTTTTTACAAAAATACAACAATGTAAAAAAATGTGAAGGAACGTGCCGTAATATCGTTGCCTACATGAAGCAACACGAAAGAAAAGATTTTTATCCCATTTTCTTACATTTTTCGGGAGCATAGATTGTCATAAACTATTTATTTACGTTGTACAATCAAATAATTCGATTATAAAGTGTTCTGTTGAATTTATCACAAATTTGAATATTCCAAACAGTTAATCGAGAAATTTCATGTGAAACAATGCTAATTATTGGTATCAAATTTTACCGGATTATTGATAATTGATCAATTCACCGGGTACCCTAAGGAATGTGTGGCAAGAGTGGGGTAAAACTATAATATATAAGCATCTAAATTATCGAGCCTAGGCGTCTAGGCGCTGGGACCGTTTAATACTGTACACGGGAATAGCTGAGTGGGCAGCTATTCATTAGCAAGAAAATGCATTTTTGTAAACATTTACGGACAATAAAGATTAATTGCAATGATACGAATGAGGATGGAAACGAGGAATCAAAGGAAAATACGTTTTAATTTTTTTACATTTTTTTTATATGCTTAGTTCAATACTGACACGGCAAAGCCGTCCGAGATAGCTAAAATAACACAATAGTGATTTACACCTCAAGTGAATCTAAACTTTGATCCGTATAATAACATAAAACTATAATACAAGAATATACAATATTGTATAGGTATTTAGCAGTAATATGATAAGTAGTACAATAATATAGTAGTAAAGTAACAATATTTCAGTCGTATCAATAAATAATTAATATAAAACCATCAGACAATCATAATTAATATAATTTTAGTCAGCAACCGAATAACGTGAGTGTAAACGTTTTGGCGTATATCGTTGTACCATTGACGTGTGCCAAAGTTGAATTCTCATCACAGTTTGACCACCTAAAAAAATGTAAAAATCAATAAAATATATAAAAATGTTATAACTAATAATTAAAAAAAAGAACTGATATTGGCAACGGGTGTGCCACTGTTATAGGTGGGAAGTTGGAAAGGTAGAATACACATGGATGCTGTAGCGATTTCTTGACTGTGGGGACAAAAATGCATTTTTGGTATGCCTAGGGACCCGGCAGGGTAATTTGCCCACTCAGACAACTTAAAACGAAAATATCTCGCGATTTGTATATCAGCACAAGTAGGTCACAGGGTAGACAAATGTATTTCGCAATGAAAATCTACTGTAATAATCATAATTGTATGGGGTACCGATTAAAACATCTAAAACAGTGTCTAGGACAATTTTTACTACTGGAAAAAAGAGAAAAAAAATACTCTTAGGACATGGGACACCTCTGGATGGAACAACAGGTATGCATCACCATTAGACTACAAAAACCAATATATAGAAAATATAATATTGAGTTATTTAACAAACACACATGCATACTGAATTCAAAGTGTTACAACTAAAAAACTAAGTTCAACCGCTTAATTGCATTATCATTCTCAACATAAATTAGTACATTCGTTTGATTAAAACATGTTGACCATCCCTATCCGTTAACCCTTCTTACGTTCAAAACTACTTTTAAATGACTGGCGGCGAAACGGTTGACCTCGAATTGGGTTCCAATGGCAAGAATTGGGCTCCAGTATATTTTAACGTATACATGAGTTGGGTCCCGGTATATTTATTTAGGCATATTCTATTTTTTTATTATTAACATCGAAAACGTTAGTCGAGTATATTAGAGTTACTCAGAAGACATCATGTGCAGATGGACTAGAAAGTCTCTCAAAAATTTAGGTTTTGTTATTTTATTCTTATAAAATTATAAAAACATTAGAATTATTATTATTATATTATCAAATTATTTTAAATATTATTTTTTATTAATACAGATTAAATATATTATTATTAATATTATTGCCGTGAACCCAATTCGAATACTATCGAATAACACCGCGGTCCCAACTCGAGTTTAATTCAAACGATAAAATTTCTGGGGACCGAACTCGAATATTCCCGGCGAAACGGTCGTGGCGAAATGTCCGGGTCCGAAGAAGTGTGCGGATTCGAAATACCGTTGATTATAAATACTAAATAGTATTTTATATTAACTGTATTATAATTTGATAATATTTATAATCAATGGTAAAACGTTGGACTAAATTTATCCCCTCCGCTACTGTCTAAAATAATGATACCTATCTGGATTTTACAGGAAATTATTGTCGATCATTGATTACCCGAATTATTCGAAGAAACTATTTGAAATTATTTAATATCCTTTGGCTTTTTTTTTGTGTTTACATTGTAGACCTCTGAATTTTTTTATTTAAGCCTTGTTCTTTTTTCCAAGGGGACCCAGCTCTCATGAAACGAATACTATGGGGACAGTCATCTCCCCTGCACCCGTTATTTCGGCATCCCTGAGGATACATAAAATTATTTAATTTATATCTGTAAGCAACGATAAACCATTGCTAATGAAAAACGATTTGGAGCGAAGTTTCATTTTATATGTTTTGAATGACCGTAATATTTATAGTTTTCGTCGAAATTTGATATTAGAACTAAATAATAATAATACATAAAACTCAAATTTTTACTATTGACCATTGAGTACAACTTAAGATGAACTTCCTGTTAAATGTTCTAGCAATTCTGTTGAGTCTAACAATTGTATCCACAGAGTACATACCAAACAAAAGTTATGTAGAAAAACTCGCAAAATTAAATTGTCTATAAATAGCTCAAAAATGGCTTAAATATTTTGAAAATTTGTTCATCCACGTCCAAAAAAAGGACGTACAAATTTTTGTTATCAAAATTGCAAGTCTCTACAAATATTGTTAACTGAATTACAACAAAAAAAGAAAATTAAAATTAATAAAATCATTATTTTTATTTATTTTCCCGTTTTTTTTTTTCGGTTTTTATTTAATAATTAATAAAAAAATTACAGGAAAAAATCTAAAAATTGACTTTGTAACTCACCAATTATAATAAAAATGAAACAAAAAATATCTCTAGTTATTTTTTTATTGGAGTAATATTTCTGTTAAAAAACATCGTGTGTAAAAGTTTAAAATAATGAAATCGTGCGCCATAAGTTTGTTCGTTTTTTGTCTTTTTCCGATTTTTCCAATTATTATAAAACTCCTTTGAAAATCAAAAATTGACACCGACTATATAAAATTTCTTTTCTAAAAAAGTAATTTAAATGTATACTTAGTATATCAGAACAAGATTTTTGGTAGAAAAGTTTTTCACAGACACAAAAAAAAAAAAATAAAATAAAATAAATATAACGTTAAATAAGAGAAATAAGAGAAATCGTCCAAATTAACCATTATGACAAATTATAGGCAGTTCACAAATGAAATCAGAAGACTAACATGACAAGCGAAAAATATCTTCCTCGAAAAGAGAAAAATTACTGAAAGCTAAAAATATGAACACAAATACCAAAAATTAACTAATGAAAACGTATGTGTGAAATGTAGGTACATGGACGTAAGATATGGATAATATATAAAAAAGAGAAGGACAGAGTGAAGGCTCTAGAAATATGGTATTTGAGAAAGATGCAGAGAATCAGTTGGATAGAAAGAAGAACAAATAATGACAATCGAACAGTAGCGAGCGTTAATAAACACTCTATAAAAAAGGAGATGGCGGATAATATGACACCTGAAGACACACGCTGAGACATAGTGAGGGAATTACGCTGCATAATGATTGTAGAAATTATGGACATAGAGGGGACTCGATCAAAAGGAAGACTAAGAACGAAGTGCATCGGTCAATCAAAATTAATTCAAATTCGCGTGAATAACGGTGGACTTTTCGGAATCAACATTTATCGTCGTTATTATTTTACATGTTTCCTTCCGTGTCGAAAATGGACACTTTGTCCACGAGTACGTTGATAATGTTCAAGCCGTATTTTTCGTTTTCCGTCTGATAAGCCAACGACTGGAAACTCAGTTCGACGGGTATGCTTTTCGGCACGGATTTGTCGTACTTGGCCGCCGACAATCCTTCAGCCAGAATTCCGCCCGAAATGTAATCGGCGTTCCTAATGAAAACGTTAACAAACGCAATATTACGAACAGGATGGAAAACGACAATATTTTATTCGTATTATATTTATTATAATCTTCTCCCGAGATTCTAATAAATCAATATTGTGGTCTGTCGGTTATTATTACTCTGTTCGCAGTTTAAAGTTCGCCGTATTGTTGCCGTCTTCTAATGACATTTGCAAGTATCCCCGGAGTTTAGACGTTCTCGGCGATAGTAAAACGGACGCTTTGAGTTGTCGCCCTTCAACGAAATACATAATAATAATAATAATAATAATAACAATAATAATAATAACAACAATAATAATAATAACAACATAATCAACTTACGAGCGATTCGATGAACAACAATGTTATTATTATTATTATTATACAACGACGCAGAGTCACTTACCGCAAAACGGACTCGAATCTCTAGTCGTCAAGTACAACGGACCGCGAAGTTTCGATTCGACCGCCGCAAAACCCATGGTCGCGCAATTTGAATCTATACAGGTACATAATGAATATGCATGCGTGTATACATGTATTGTGCGCGCAATAAATTAATATCAAATGGTTTAATGATAATGTTTATGTAATACAGTAATTATTATTTACGCGAAACGAAGGTTGGTCAGGTTGCTGACACACATTTTAATGTTTTACGCGAGGTAAATTTATGTATAGGTATAATATAATTCCGACATAAATTATTTATTTTACTTTCGTTAATATAATAATCGTGTATTGTATACAATTATATTAATATTTCGGATATTTACAATCACCCTGTATATTTTCTATGGTATACACGCCGAGTTAAGTATTCACAACCGTATATATATACATTACATAATAGGCAATTCATTTACGCGGGTACACTCGTTATCTCGGAAAGTATTAACTTTTTCCGGAATTCCTTTTCTAGAACATTTTAGAAACAAGCTGCTCTACAGTTTTATATTTTTGTTATTTTTTTTCACCATTATTTTTGAGGGTTAAACCACTAACTACTTTTGATTTTAAAACGGCAATCTATATTTAAAAGTCCATAAATAGATGGAATATTAGTTAAAATTAATTTTAGTGTTGACATTTTTCACTTCCGTTGATCCGTTGACGAGATATTGCACTTTTGAGTTTGGGTTGGAGGAGAGTAGTGGAGTGTCATTTGTGTGGCGGTACGACGCGCGACGTGTTAATAATACATCACCACTCTCTTTAACCCAAACTTAAAAGCTGTTAATGCACCACTATTCTCCTCCAACCTAAAATTAATAGCAGAATATTTCGTCAACAGCTTGACAGAAATAAAAAATATCAACACTCAAATTTATTTTAACTAATACTCCATCTCCATGTTACAAAAAAAAAAAAAACATAAATGTAAAATTGTAGAGCTGGTTGTTTCTTAAATGTTCTAGAAAACAAATTCTGAAAAAAGTTAATACTTTCCGAGATAATAAGTATACCCACTTAAATGAATCACCCGGTATATATGTAATATTAAATATGTACACTTCCTTCGGGACACGATAAATAAATTAAAATATTAAAACTTTAATATTCAAGTCTGTCTATACGTATTGTCGCACCACTCAAATTTATTTTAACTAATACTCCATCTCCATGTTACAAAAAAAAAAAAAAAAAAACTATGTGACCCATAAATTAGTTTAAACACTCGCGGATGCGCATAGAAAGATATTTTTTTTTATATAATATACCTATTATTTCTACCAGTCTACCATACATAATATTGTATTATAATTTATACACAGATATGTATACCTTCGGTTTCAGGGGAAAAGGGCTTAAATCAATTTTCTATTAGTTTTCAACACAAAAAAATTCAATTATTGAAAATACATACACCTGTACATAATACACTAATACGCTACATACACTTTTTTTGTAAATACATATAGGGTATTTATGCAGTGCAGATCAAAAATTTAAGGGGAGCAAATAACATTCGACGAAATTATGATAAAAAGAAAAACGACTTAAGCTCTTTGTTCATTATGCAATTTTTAAAATCAACGATAAAAGCTATTTTTATTCGTTGATTGGACAGTTGATTTAGAACCATACATTTTGTGAAATATTGATAAAAACTAACTCGTAGCAATAAATGTTTGGCCAATTAATTTATAGAAGCGCTGTAGAGGGACTAAAACCTTCTATGGCTCAAAAACATTTTATAAATGTCATCTTATGACATAGGTAGGTTTCACTTTTTATGCTATTTTTCATTTTAAATATGAAAAAAAACTATTTTTCTTCACGAGTCACTGGTTATACTGGTCAGATTATACTTATATCACCCTCGCTTCACTTCCGTACCCATAATCACAGTTTCACATTCCATTCCGAGCTAGTACAATTTTTCAAAGGACCTATTCGTCATCGCTGGTCGTACCACGGTTTTTCTCAAAAGTCCTTTATATTTAATTTTTTTATACTGGAGGGGTTACCTGTGCAATTTGTGGGAAAGCATGCGCCCCTTTGGAATACGGACCATCCGGCGGGACACGGGAACGCGGTAAATTGGCATGCGTCGGGGTCGGATAGCGCTTTGAGACTTTCCAGGTAGAACTGTAACGCCCGGAGATGATTGCATACCACGCTAGAGTTCGTCGTACCTTCTGTAATAATCATAATAATGCCAGACCTTCAATAACCTGCTGTGCGTGGACGCAGTGACCGCGGTACTGGTCAGGTTAAACCGGATAGCCGTATACTATGTAGCTGTGCACTCACCGAATCGGCTCACGATCACCGACCCCCGGATCTGTTCGCAACCGGGCTGATCCAGTCCACCGTTCGGGAAGTAATCCACATGACCTATCGGGTCGAACAGCCCGAACCCTTCAGACCACACCCTGGCGCCGTCCGTGTGCACAACGTCGACGAACGTAGCATCGTCCGCGCTGAGCGACGACAGCGAAGCCGACAACAGTTCCCTGAACAGCGGTGACGCCGGATCCAGACCTGATATTATGGACACCTCTATTGCAGAAGACCGAATATTAGGTACTTAAAACTGAAGTATCCGGTTCACCTGTAATTCTCCCGACGGTTATATCGTTCAGTTTCAACGCCTTGCCCGCGAAACCGGCCACATGGGCGCCTAGGCTAAATCCGATTATGTGAATCTGACCGGGATCGCTGTTTAACTCTACCATGTCCATGATCATTATCGCTAACTGACGTCCGATCAGTTGAGTATTGGCTGCTGCTACCGCGTAAGCAGGTCCGGCCGCTCCTTTTTCCCAATCGACGAAAACTACGTTTGCGTCTTCCTATAGCAGCGTAAAAATAAATTTACCTTATTAATAATAACAGAGGTGTTGTGGACATGATACGACGAGGAAAGATAATTCTGTAGAGGCCGTGAGGATCATTTTGTTCATTTGAACACGGAATAAATAAAGATATGGAATGCATATAGACAGGGTCTTATTTAAGATTTTGTCACCTGCCGGCAACAAACAAATTTGCCAGTTTTTAAAACGATAACCACATTAATATGCGGAAAAATTGTAACTATCATTTGTCATTTCGTTTGTACAATTATTCATTTCTAACAATGTTTTTTGAGGATTGTTAGTCGATTTCAAAATATACTCTATTAAATTATTTTATATATTTGAAGAAAAAAAAAGTAAACACAATTATAATGTGAAAACAAGATTGCCGCTCTTTAAAGACTGTCTCCTGAGGGGAAATTCCATCCCTCTAAACCATCCCTGAAATACAAACCTGCATATAAACGTGATGTGTAAGATCTTTTCAGGAAAAGATTTAGGATCAAGGTTTCTGTCCTCAAATATAGTTTAGAAAAGAAGCGAAATAAAAGATGTACGTAGGGCGCCACAATGTCCCGGAAATGTACGTATGATAGTCCACTATTATTTAGTATGTACCCGGTCGGTGATTGCAGGGTGTGTTCGGTTTTATTATTATACGCACTAAAATATTTTCCTCCCCGTTCGGCCAGATTTACGATTTCGTTTTACACAGAGAAATATCCGTTTAATGATTTATACTATTGTTGTCAAAAATAGTTCAGCCTACAAAGATATTAAAGGCTTCGGAGTGAGCGTAAGTAATTCCGACAAAAATAACCTTTTCAAGGTTTTTTATTTGTTATTATTATTTTTAATCCAGTTAATTCTTACAAAGACAACAGGTAATGGGAAATTACAAGGAACATTTGAAGTAATATTTATCCAAATTAATATAACGTGATTATAATTTACGATTATTTAAAGTTTTTTTTTTTTAACACCGTACATCTCAAAAATACTCGTGAGCAATAGAATTTTTTCACTAGATTGGAATTTCCCTCCCCCCTCCGACTGCTTTGTATTATAGACATACCTGTTTTTTGAATAAATCAATACATAACCAAATACTGGAATAATATAATTCTAAATAACGCACTATGACTATAATACTACTCTCCCCCCAAAAAAGGTAAAATTTGAGCATAGAAATAACAGTTGTGGGCATTGAAAGTTGAAATCTCCAAAAGACATTTGGTACTAACGCCATGCATATACAAATTTCATATCTCTGACTTCATTTTGGGTTGTCTTGATAGAGTTCAAACCTAAAAAAGTATACCTTTCTTCCATAACAACATGTTGATGGCACAGTTATAAGTCTAATTCATATAGGTAGAATAATATTTTAATACACTCGATTGACATGGTTCGGGATTTATAGCGTTCACTTATTTTTTTGGCACGCCATTAAATCTGGTAGAATGGTATAGGATTTATTTTATGTTACAACGAGTTATAATACGGAAATTAAATGTGACTTTTTTTATTTATTTCGATAGTAAAAACACAAAATATTTTTTTTGATTTTTTTAGTTAACGGCGGTTTTTAAAGACTTTTCTGTACTTATTTATGAGTCGCATAAAATTGAATTTCCCTAACACGCCATACCTGAAAATAGTTATGACACTGATATGTAAACCTAAACACAATAGCGTAAATATACAAATCGACACCAATACGAAAAAAAAGATTGTTTTTTTTCTTCGGTTTAAATATAAAATAATAAAACTAGTTATAATATGTCCACAGTGTATTTTATTAGTCTGTATTTATTGTGTTGAATAAGTAAATATGTATAGATATATAATTTATTACAATTAATAAATGTAAATAATATATTTTGTAATTCAAATTTATTAATTTAACCGTTATATATTTATAGCATTTAAAATTTTACTTTGTGAGATTTTAAATTAGCAAAGTTGCCATTGATCTGGGAAACGTACATGAGTTTTGTTTGTTCGGATTCAATAACCTCATGGAATACTTTTAATAATTTTTAATTTTGAAAATAACACCGCTCAGCCATAGTTTTAAAGTTTTGGTATTGTTAAATAAATAATAACCGTACTTCTAGAACACTAATGTTCATAAAAAATGTGATAATTAATGATTCGGCCATTATTATCTTGCATAGTTTTAATTTTTTTTTTTTTAAATTTCGCATCTGAATGTTTTTACATAAAGTAATAATTTATTGAATCAGAAATGATTTAGAGAAATCATTTGAATATTATTGTTGTAGTATTATTGTTTTGTCAGTATATGTTTTGGAAAAGCACAAAGGCCCCCTAATTTAGGGCCCAAATACTGCCGCATTCCCTGCATTCCCTTATTTACTACACTGCCCAAACATAATAATTTGAATATCACGGCTCCAGTACCGGTAAACCTGTGTATTATTTATTTTATAATAATATAATATTATACTGGGTGTCCCGCGAGAATTTATGCCGTTTTAATGTCGTTTTTGGCGGTGGCGGTCACTTTAAAATGCTCGATAATAATCTCGGCGGGACACCCGCTAGCACATGAAACGCGTACAGCATTATTATATTATTCATCGTAGAATAACGTATATTCGTATATATTCTGTTATGTTTTACCCGCATAATATTATTATTATATTTATACGAGCCGCGTGAACAGTTTTATAAACAACTATAGCTGAACTATCCGCTATTTCCCAGACTCGATCCGTTAAAAATCAGAAATCAATAAAAGAAATTCAATTTAACGCCTGCCTTGTCCGTTTTTATCCTTATTTATACCACAGTTAATCGTAGTTTTTGCCCGGTACTTTAGTTAAAAAAATATATATTTCACTGTGTCATCGTGGTAAACAAAAAATCAATTGAAAAATTCGAATTTTTTTCATATTGAACCATCAAAAATCAAATGTGAGGCACCTTTTTCGGAATTAAATTTTGAGATGAAAAGACTTTCCTCTTGTTTTAAGTACAAACAACTTGTCAGGTTTTATCTGGGTAGGAATAAAACTGTAGATTTGTAGAGTGAACAAATAGACAAAATTTCAGTTTAGTATATAAAATATATAGGTCTTTAACTATGTTTTATTATTTGAGATTCTGAGCGAGGTGAGTAATGTATTGGTTTTACTATGATGTGTTTTTAGGTGTCTATAAACAACTTTTATATCAAAAATCTTATTCCAATCAAAAACTCTATTGAAACTTTACTATAGCATTTTTGATCAAGTTGGTGCATTGAGAAGGTTATGTTTTGATTTTCTTTGTATCTATTAATAGATGAAAAAAACTGGTAATTTGTTTATAATTTTTATGGATTTATGGATTACCTTGGCCACAAGGTAAAAAATACGACTAACAATATTCTGCTCATAATTATTTTTCGTTATTTTCTTTCCAACAACTTTCCTACAAAAACAGTGACACCTATCAGAAGTATCAATCTTTACTTATTAAATTTACCAGGTCCAGGAGAGCGTCGCCCAAAAGTTTCGCTCCTTTGTCACGTCCACTTCCCTTGTACCCATGGATTATGATTTTGGTCGGCAGTCCGGGTTTTAAGTTTGAGTTCAACATTGACACGCGTTCGTCGCCGTACGTTATCGAAATCAGATCGCTGCGGTTTTCTCTGGTCATCACCAAGAATTTCGTGTCCACCGTGTCCGGTGACTGGGGTGATTTGATGATAGGCGAATAACCGGTGCGGGGCACGGGAAAACATCCGACCATGTCTTGAAAAAGACCGAAAACAGGCAAAACAGGCACAAAAAAAAAAAAACAAAATAAATAAATAAAACCGCCAATTCGAACGGGTCATATTGCAGTGTTAATTCATAAATATGCATAACACGTCCGATCGTTTTTACACGAGATGAATAATAATATAGGCAATATTCGTGAACACCGCATGCATTCGGTGATCTTATATTGTAAGCTAGCAAAATTATACTGTTATCTCTTCTTTTTGTCATGTAGTCATTTCAAAAGCACACGGCACTCGTACCATATACCTATTATAATAGTCGTGTACCCGTGTGTCGCGGAATAAGTTTCTTCTCAGTTTGTTTGTTTGTTTGTTTGTTTTGTGAAAACGCTTTTTTTTTTGTTTCGTTTGTTTCGAAAAAAACGAAAAATATAATAACAATAATGATTACCGGTTCCTGGGTTATAATGTCTGACGTAAGTGTATTATTGTTGATCGGTTTATAATAATAATCTCTGTGTGTGAGTAAAGGCTCGGGACTTAAAGCATTGGCTTATTTTCTATTGACTTGTCATTAAATCTATTAACAGCGAGTGCTTTAGGAGTTTATGTAATTTATACTTGTTCTGCTTTTTTTTTTTTTTTTCATAATTTCTGCTTTATGATTACAACATATTTACATACCTCCTAAACGGTGGCCATTAATGAGAATCCAGATTGTTTTTCGTACTGTGATTTTTAAATGATTTCGTCAATTTATAATTAGAAAAATTTTAGAGCAATAATTGTACCTAGATCACGTAGTAAATTGACTACATGAAAACGACGCAGACAGTAATAAAAAAGTTAAATTGTGAACACAGTAAAATCTGGTTAATCAATCTAACTATTCAAACGGAATACAGTTGTTCTAGAAAGAATTAATTTGTATTTATGATTTTTGTGTTATTAGATTATTTTATTTTATTAATTTTAAGGCGTGCTATTTTTGAGATTGCTTTTAAAAATATTTGTTTAAGTGCTTATTTTAGCGCTTTAGGTCCCGAACCCTGGTTTTTCTGTAAATATAACTAGTAGACTTACATGGCAAGTTCATTGTTATGTGTATAGGAAAGGCGCGGTTTAGTTTTTTAATTAAAGTCCTCTTACCGTAACAAATTTGTTTAGACGCCGCTCTTGACTTTTTTCGCTCTTGCCTTCTGGACAAATGATCCCTGACCAGCTGCATCGCTCGCTTGCCCAATATATTGGACGGCCAAAATTCATAATTGGAAACTATAATGATATTATATTTTATTCGGCACAATACGTATTATTATAACATCATGTTCAAGAGCTGATAAACATTCCGACGAGATCACACTATATAATTATCGTTTTAAATCGCATGCTGTCGCCTTTCATGCCCCGATAAACAATATGTGTACCTCTATTTAGGTACCGATTATAATATTGTGTGTAATTATGTTTTCTATCGCTTACCTTCGGATGCCGTTTTGGTCAGGCCCACGTGCGCCAAGACTAAACAGGCCGTTACGCAGGACAATTTGAAAATTGCCGCGCCGAAATTGTTTGCACGCATGTTAATCTTATATAATCAAACAGCGATTGATCGCTGGGTCTCTTCAATCGGATATAAATGATATATAAATACGAGTGGAGGCGATTTTCGCGACGCGTTCCCGAACACACTGCAGCACTGGTCTCACATGACTGAGAAAAAAAAAAAATAAAAAAAAAAAAGGAAAAAAATAAAATAAAATAAACACTAATAAAATACCGCTATTACAACTATATAGGTAGGTACGGATAGGTACGTTGAGGAGAGTTCGCTGCCTATGTATTGATATTATATAACTCCGCCGCCGTCGTAATGTTGACCATTATATATATGTGTATATTATATTATTATATTATTATTGTTCCTCGTTTTATTATGCTGCACGCAGGTATACTGATGTATGATGTGTGTGCGTGGTATGGCATGGTGGGTACGTGTTGTTTTTTTACTTTCACTCGCCGTCGAAGGTAAAAATTCCACTAGGAAAGTTAGGCGGGCGGGTGGGCATATGATGTTGTTGTACGTTATACAGGTAGTTTCACGGAAAACGAACACGTTGACCGGGTTGTGGCGTGTAGAGGCACACGGTTGTTGAACGTTATTATACGCGCCCGGCGCATCGGCTGGCACGGCGTAAGTACACTGTAAACGGCGTTAAACAGATTTTGCGACAGAGGTTTTTACGCAGAGTAAGAAAAAAAAAAAAGCTACTCTAACGTGTAGGTACATGCATATCGTAACGATATTTGAAAACGTTAACTAGAAAAAATAATACGATTTACCTAATTGATATGTAAGTATCGCAAGTGTACAGGCGCATACACGTACGTTGAACATTACGACGCCGACCGCACCGAAATAAGCACACTGACATGTGTACCGTTACAAAATGCAGAGTGGATGGTCGACGTGACGATAAAAGCTACAACAATGCAGATAGTATAATTTAAAAAAACGCACACAATTGTTATTGTTGTAATATTTAGGTGGGCACGTCGGTACGTGTAATTTTCCGGTTTGAATAATAATTGACAATAATACGCAGCAATCGTAATTCGTTGGGTGATTTACAGTTCGGGTTCGAGCGAGGAAATGAATGTACGGATTTCAAACGCGACAATTATAAGTACCTGGGTACAGTGTGTGTTGTAGCGACTGCGGGTCGGCAATTTTCGGTAACGTGGAGGGAGTCGGGGGACCTTCTTTTTTTCTCTCTTTTATTACCAAGCATAAACATAATAACGATATTCTGTAGCAGTAGCATATTATATAGATATTAGAAAACGAATGCAAATAAAATAATAATATTATTATCAGTATATTATACTATAATATCTTAATATTCTGGCACGTACAACTATACTATGTGTACAGAAGTTAGACCGATATACTTGACAAAGGCATTGACATAATTATTACTCCTTACAAATACTAATAGAACGTTTATGGGCACTTTCAACAATTTACTGTATATTTTCTGAAAACCTATATAGATAACGAAAAAATACACAAGAATAATTTGCAAAAAATAGGACTGTTAAACAGATTATCGTCGAAAACAAAATAATATTGCCGACGGGTGGACACGGCGTAGGTATATTATAATAACTGCGTAATTACAATAGTATTTTTTCATATAGAATGTGTAGTAATAAATGTTTTATTTGATTTACTAATATTCTCTCATGATGATTTTGAAATGTACGAGTACATGTACCTTATACCTATTTAATTTTTTTTTTTTTAGTATTATTGTGCTATATAGGTTACTCGCACTTACACTGATGGGCTTATATACTAGAGTAATGCGATTAACAGCTATATTATTGCTAATTTAAAATATAAGTACTTATATCTACCTTGAATTCGTACCTATTTCATAGACAAATTCGCCATTTTTTTGATTGTGTACAGTGTTGTATAAAAATGCATTTTAAATTATCTAGATTAAAGATAAATAATCCACATCTTCATAATTATTAGTGAGATTAAAACAAAAAAAAAATTGTAATTACCTACCTACTAAAAGTGTGCTTACCTGATATATTATGGTATACATCTAGATTTCAGAAAAGCTGTTTGTAACTTAATAATAAATTTATAAACCATAATACGTATGAATATAAATTAAATATTTTATCTACATTATTTCTAACTTGAAACGATTTATATATACATTTACACTAACGACCTAATTGTTTTCTTGGATAGTTGATACACCATTTATTTGGATAAAAGTTAAAACGTATATACCAAATTAGATTATAAAACACAAAACTGCTCGAAACATAAAATATAAAGCTTAATAGTAAAACAGAAAAAAAAAGAGGTGAAAGGTACTACTGATGGGTGTGCCACTTTTGTGGAAGGAAAGTTGGGAAAATAGGATATATGAATTAATTAAATTTATAGCATTGCTAACAAAATACGAATTTGAACAAAGTTCAGTTATTAAACATGTTTTGAAACGGTGTATTTTTTACGTAGATTTGTCAGTTTTCATTTTACGTATTTTTCGAGATTTTCCTGATTATTATGAAAACTGCTTGGAAAATTAAAAAAATAACTCACTCAATCATTAAATAGATCTCAAATACAACAAAAAAAGGTCACTTGTGATTTTTTAATTGAAGGAAAATTTCTAGTAGAAAAGTTACTCACAAACACACGAAAAAAAAAACATTATATAGTAAATCCAATAGATTTCTCACTACGCTCAGAATCTAAAACCAAGGGAAGGTGACAACATTATTGGACCATCCTAAGCTCAATTTCCCAATTTCTATCACATATTATTATTATTGTTTTTGTTTTATTAGTAAAAATTCGATTTTTGTACATTTAAATATAATTGATTTATTATTAGTATACCTATACGCAATTCTACGACGAATAAGGTCGACATTTAAAAGTGTTAATTTCACTAATTTATTTACGTATATTATTGTAAACGTCCCATAACTAATAGTTACAAATTAATTGTATATTGTCTATGTGAAATATTTTAGTAGGTATCTAATATTCGTTGTATCGACTGCACAGATACTAATTATGTGTCAATTTATATGTCACCGCAGCTCGCAGTGCTAATACGCCGTAATTAAATATTTAAATATTTACGCGAGCCGATACAATACGGTCTTAAATGGATACTTATTTAGATAATATATAGCCGACCTCAAAATTAATATTGTTTCTGGCGCGGTTATTTTTCCTAATAAAATATATAGACACGCCATCTACATCAGGAGATTTGTTCGTAACTATACCCAGGCCCGTATTGATTACTCTTATGGGACGGTTGCAGTTACCACTTCAAAGGGTGCCTAAACCAGTTGCGTAATAACGGTGCAGTATTGGGGGTATCTAATATACACCTACCTCTCTCAGAGGTACACAACTTCTATAATTTGTCTCGTGACCTAAACATAAAAATTCGAAGAAGGAAAATTAACAGTACAATATTAATATCAATCAACAACAAGTGCTTTTTTTTTCCTTTTTGAAGGATTTTAAGGTAAGATTTTATCCATTTTTATAATAGAAAAATGCTTTCAAAATTTTAAAAGTTGAAACTTCTCACAGGAAGAATATACACTATTAGCAAAGCCAGATTGAAAAATATTGAGGCTCTGTACAGTCAATTTTGCGGACCTTCGATTTTCTGATTTGACCTTTCCTTCAACATTTTTACTTTTTGAATTCTAGGTGAATCTTTATAATTTGTCTTTGTCAATCAAACCTAATGAAAAATCCGTATCTTTTAAGGCACAATTCGAAAAATTCGGAGCCTTCTTGTTAATCGATAACGTTTTATTTGGATAAAAAAAAAAAACCTAAGGATGAACTGTTTCGTAAAAATTTTATAAAATGTTCTAAATAAAGCAGGATATTATTTCACCTGGATATTATCTTTCGTGTATGAGCATAAAAATAAAAAATAGTTTTGCTCGTTCTCGAAATCACGCGTCGGCGGTGGTCGTTTGGTATTGTTTTGAAATCCTAAATATAGTAATAATTATAGTCACAGTAAAAATTTGTCATAAAATAATATATGACAACTTATTGTTAAGTAATATGTCTAGATTTTCAGTATGGTTATACCTATGAAATAACAAAATGCATACTCGCGAGATAAAATATAGTATATATTCCAAAATTGTGCAAACAGTTATAGATGTACGTATTATTTCAAAAGAAAATACAATTGAATAGAACCATATACAAACGGGATGAGGGGAAGGGAGATTAACTTTTTTGTTTTACATAATATACACAATTTTGTAGGTAAATTTAAAAAAAAAAGTCCCCATAAGGAAATTTGTACCACTGATACAACCTCCCACTATACAAAAGTTATATGTACACCACTACACTAAAATATAAAATAATGTAATGTTATAAAACACGTTTAATGTGTATTTAATTCGAATATTGAACAATCAAATATTTTCAATAATTAAATAAAATTATGTATAGGTATATATAGCCATATAGGGATTGTTCTTATTATCGTATAACATAATACTCGCATGAAAATCCGGTCGTGAAAAAAGTGCAGTAAAGAATAATATTAAGTATACTTATCACCCTCGGATGCTTTTTCAGACCCTCACGATGTCGTCGTGTATTTTTATATTATAATAATATATTATTATAGTGATGTCCTCGACTTTGTAAACATTCGTTTATTTTTAAATATACAAGCGGGATACGCGTGTTGAGTGACGAACTTTCGACCGTTTTCATCGTTGAGCGTTAGGTAGGTACTGTAATTTAATACCCCTACTACACTCTAAATTTTTACCCTAATTCCCCTGTATGGAGTAGAAATATAGAATAGACAAACAAAAAAAAAGCAATGATTTTTTAAGTATATGAATGGAATTTGAGTTGTATACATAACAAGCAAACAAAAAAAAAAACTTGGAGTCGGTACTTCTGAAACGCTGTTATATAACACAATACTCCAGAGTATTTCTGAAACGAACGAGAAAACTAAAAGTAATAAATGCCTACTCAGCGATGGGTGACAGAACGATGATATTTTTGGATTTTTTTTTCGAATTCCAAAAATTCCAATACGAATCGACACTATGTGACATTATTGTTTTTACACTTTATCACTCATTGCATAGTCTGTATGAAAAAGAAATATGGTGTTATGTTTACGAGTGTAAGGATGATCGATTCGCATGTGAATTTCGGAAGAAATATTATTAGAGTTTTTGTTTTACATTCGATATATAATGCTATATATATATATAAAAAAAAACCGATAAAACCCGGGATTTGGAGTAAGAAAACAAATTTCAAAAATGTCATCGTTCGGACACCTCACACTGAGTACTAGAATTTTCTATTCCTAATTTCGTTTCAAAAACACCATGCATATAATACACATACCACAATATAGAGACAATCCTGTGTGCGTATATGGTCTTGATTTGAGAATCGCCTAAAGTCTCATAAAGCTTTTATTTATAATATACGTAGTCTAGTTTAAAGTTAATTAATTTATATCGATCCCGTCGCACGACGAGAACGAGTATACAAAAGGCTTTAAAGTCGAGTTCGAGGATACTAGCGGGTGGCGGCGGGTGGTCATCGCAACAGAGGGCACCCACCTAATAAAACATCAATACGACATTCGTCTAGTCTAAATATTATTACAATAATTAGATTGTCGTGCGTGCGAGAAACCATATGTCAAGGATAAACGATCGTTTTACAATGTTGATCGCGAAGGACGTTAACCCAGTATAGCTACGAGTATTAAACACTTAAAAATGATATACTATTAAACATACGATAGACATCATTAGAATAAGAACTGCCCTACATTGAAAATTTCACAAACAGATGAAGCATTAGTTTAAATACATTTTTATGTTGACATTTTAAATTTTCATTAATATGTTGACGAGATATTTCACTTTTAAGTACGAGAGTGGGAAGCTTAGTATTACCTATCATTTTACGAATTAATTCCGTTACGTCCGAATTGGTTCTCGGATTGTAACGAAGGATATATTGGTTACTAGATTATTTTAAATTCAATTTCCTTTCCATTTTATACTGAAGTAGGATTATCAACATTATGCATACCACCCATTGTCCATTGATTATCATATAATATACAATCCATAAATAAAATAATACGACGTATTATAATCAATGATATTATGTAAATACAATACTACTAAATACGTACACTACACGGTTATCGGCGGATTACTGAACGCAGTAACGAATAATGTTTACAGATATTCGTTTGTAACGACTGATTTTATCCCGATTTCTCATTTAAATGACAATTTATTACATTATATACATCCTACAACCTTACATAATAGTGAGAAATTTGCTAAATTAATATTAAATAACATTATTATTTATTAGATTTCATTTCGTCTTTAAGGGGAAACTATTCCGATGTTAATTTTTAGGTATAGGAATTAATTCGGATGCAGATGTTTAAAATTTTCAAAATTTTCTTCTTCCTTAACACAAACTTAAAAGAGGAATATCTCGTCAATGGGTTGTCGGAAATTAAAAATGCCCATACCAAAATGTATTTAAACGACATCTATTTATGGAATTTTGAATATAATTTGCTATTTTAAAATCAAAAGTGGAAAGTGGTTTTACCCTCAAAAATAAGAGTAACAAAAAATAACGGAAATATAATATTTTAGAACTGCTTATTTCTTAAGAAATTTAAAAAGAAAAAAATTCTGATAAAGTTTATTCTTTCCCAGTATCTTAACGAGGATTGATCACTCTGTATATATTAGATTTGTCGGATACTTTTCAAGAGAAATGTGTTTCGAGTACCTATATAAACGCAAAACGCGGAGATAATACATTAGTTGTGTTTATGTATACTTAGAGATGGAATTTGTCGATGAATTTTCGATCCTTCATCTTTATTTAATCCTATATACGTATACAACAATATCTTGGCTAAAAACTCGTTTCATTGTGCTTTATATATTATATACATAAATAAATAAATTAGTTGTGAGACACCATTTTTAGATTCCGAACGAAGGAATGAAGATTTTGTTTAGTGAGATGTGTTTTTATTTTACTGTCTGTTTTTGGTTGCATATTTTGACTATAGTATATAGTTGATGTTTTGGGATTATTATTTTTTATTTTGTAAACAATTTTTCCACCAGAAATTTTGCTCTGATGTATTAGGTGTAGTATCTTTTCCGAAAGGAAATTGTATCTACTTGGGACTTATAATTTTTTGATTTTCAAATAGCTTACATAATAATTAGGAAAAGCCAGGAAAAAACGTAAAACTGACAAACATACGGCTTTATGATTTCATTATTATAAAATTGTTTCGCTTTATATTTTCTACCAGAAATATTACTCCGATAAAAAAAAACGACAAGAGATCATTGTTGTTGAATTTTTAATCTAGTTGGTGATTGAGCAAGTTGTTTTTAGATTTTCCGTGTAATTTTTTTAATAGTTCATAATTTACATTTAAATGACCATTTCATTTTAGGACTTTTCCACTAATCTACTGCCCGATACCCATTTAAGGGGAAGAGGTAGTGGGTACGGCCGTTTTTACCAACGAATATGAAGTTTCGGACCAAAAAACCAAGCGAAAATGTAAGGGTTAGGTATGACGGATTTTGATTGATTAACAAGTTTATTATAGGTCATGATGGACGTGATTTTAAATACCTATCTATATTTTTTTTATGAATTATGATATCGATGAACATAAATATGATATTATTAAATTTATAACATATTTACGTTTTCAACTAGTATTACTTAACTGCTACTTTGCGTATAAATATTAAATCGTGTTATATTATGCAACAATAATAATATTTAATAATATTTAGATATAACATACTTGATAAACAATGGTTATAATTTATTAGTCTGTTAATGTTTACATATATGCGCGTATTGTGTTATGTAGATATGTGTCTTTATTAGTACACAAGCGTTCGAATGTACATTATACAAAGATTAATTTTTTTAATTTTATCATCGTGAGGTTAAGAAATTACGAATCCGAAATTTATGAAACAAACGGTTCTAAAATGTTACTTTATCGTTATTTTTTGTCGTCCTTATTTTTGGAGATGATACCATTATCCACTTTTGATATTCAAATAGCAGTAACCTTTTTAGGATAAGTTGCATACATATACGAAGTTTTAGTTTAAAAACATTTTAGTATTGAAGTTTTAAATTTCCGTCAACCCATTGGCGAGATATTTCATTGTACTCATCGCTTCACTCTTTATAAGTCTCTCAACTATAATTTAATACTTTTTTACAATTTAAATCAAACAAACTATATTCGCTTTTTTCGCTTTTGTTAATATATTACTTATCAAAATAAAAAATAATCTTAACTTACATCAACATATTATAACCTTTAATAAACTTTATGTTGAAAAAGAAATATGTTAACATTTATATGGAGAATATTTAAGTTTCCCAATAAAATTATCAAGCTTCGCAGTTTTAAAAATGTTATTTTATAACATTTAATTTTAACACGTTTTGAGCAATTGAAATTAAAAAAGAGCTGATACTGGGAATGGGAGCGGCCACTGTTGTAGATGAGAATTTGGGAATGTAGGATACATTGGTAGGTTATAGCAATGGCATATTTGTAAGCAACGGCAGACAATTGCTTGACGAAAGACGATTACGAGCGCAATTCAATAATACATAATTTGAAGTGCCGAAATTTTCTTTGCGATTTTCGTTTAAATTTGATTTCGAAACGCTTATTAAAAAAAAAAAAGATGTCCGATGTTTTTAGAAATTTGATTGTATCTAGGTAAGTCCAATATAAGTATTATTACCAAGTTTCAAGTTTTTATGTGTATTTATAACCAAAATAAAGTAAAAAAAACTCTCAAAAATTAAAATTCCTTAAAAGCTCAAAAGTGGTTAAAAAGTTTTGGAAATTATACCGTAAAAAATTAAATCAAAAGGTCAATAAAAAAGGTATTTAATGATTTTTCAACTAAATCATTTTTTTTGGTAGAAAACGTCGTTCATGTTTTTATAAAATAATGAAATCGTGAAATTATACGTTTTCCTACGTTTTTTTCCTACTTAAATGATTTTATTTAAAAAATGACGTCGAAAAATCAAAAAATGACCACTTTAAAGTACAATCTAAACAACTTGAGCTTTCAGAAAAGATGCTACACAGATGTGTAAACATCGGAGCAAGTTTACTAGGAACAAACGTGTCCACAAACTAGAAAAAAGAAGAAAAGAAATAAACAACTTAGTAAAACCAATAGCTCCCTCGCTACGCTTGGAATCTAAATGTTTAAAATATGTTTTAGATTTTGAGTGGAGCAAGGAATGTATTGGTCTTACAACGGTGTTTATTATTATTATTTTTTGTATATATGAACAATTTTTTACAAGAAATTTTGCTCCGATTTTTAAGTGTATCATTTTTTTCTGAAATGTATAGCTCATTTTTAGATTTTTCCAGCGGTTTTCATAATAAATCGGATAATTGGATTAAATCGTGTTCTATATTCTTTTTATCGTAGATTACTGATAGATCATTTTCTACTCATAATTTATTTGTATGCTGTATCACAGCCCGTAATGGTTCTAGGGCTGGTCCATGTTGACCTGGTAGCTGGCCCAAAGCTACTTTATAATCACCTAGGGTTGGGAAAATGCACACTCCTGTCCCTCCTCAAATGACTCTCCTGACATAGTTTATTGTTTGAAAATTAAAAGTGTACATTGGTTTCATCACCCTTGAAAATAAGGCTAACAAAGAATAATGAAAAAACAAAAACATCTTAGAGTGTTTTTTTTTTTTTTTTTTTTTTTTAAACGTCGAAAAACAAAACAAAAATTCCGAAAAGTTAATAATTTCGGATAAGATAGGTAATGAATGTTTTATAGAGTATAAAGGATTGATCACACTACATAATATGCTCTACCAGAGCTATTATAATAATAATATTATACAGCGAATAGTACGATACGATTTATAATAATAATAGATACCTAGTCTAATTTAATACTGTGGCGCGTATCGTAATAATATGCTTCGATATTTCCAGCAAAGGAAGAACATCGTCTACTCGTACAATATCCCTTTTATAATACTAATAATACAGTTTTGATTAAATTAACGAGTGTTTCAAAATCGCAAAGCACACCGAGTAAAGTAACAGTATAATATTATTAAAAATAGGACCGAAAAACTTTATACTTCCCGTATTGTAAATATAATAATTTATTATATTATACGTATACCTAGCAATACCCATACATATTTAATTCTATATTTTGCGGTCCATATATTACAAAATAAAGTACCGCTATACCTTTTTATATTCAAAGCGTAGCGACTAGCGAGGAATGTATTGGTTTTGAAATGATATTTATTTTTTTTTCTGTGAGCATTTTTTTGCCTGAAATCTTGCACTGATGTAACAAGTATATCACTTTTTCTAAAAGGAAATTTCATTTAGTTGGTACTTTAAAGAGGTCGTTTTTTAATTTTTCAAGCGGTTTTGATAATAATTGGTAATAAACTTAGGAAAAATGGAAAATTTAGTTACGCACATAAAAGAAATTTCGCTCTGAATCGTGTTTCGTTAGCAATGGTTTATCATTGCATATAGATATAAATTAAATTTCTCTCTATATCCTACCTTCTTGACTTCTTACCTACAACAGTGGCTCACCCATCGTACGAAGTATGTCTGTCTTTTTACACTTGTAGCTGTATTTATAGATGGGTAATATTTCTGGAAGAAAAGTTGTTCACTGATAAAAAAAAAAAATAACTTAATAAATATTTTGAATATTTTGAAAATTTTACCACATCTAGAAAAGGCAACAAAAGGTGCTACACTTACAAATCGGAGCAAGATTTCTGATAGAAATTGTGTACAATAGGCATAAAAAATAATAATAATAAACACTGTAAACCAATAAAACCACATCGGTTTTTTCCAGTGAAATATAACAATTGTTCGTAAAATAATATTCTTATATTCGTTTAATATTATTAATTGTTTCGCGTTCAAAATTATGTCACGGTGGCATTTGTGAACACGCGGCACACTGCGTAGCTCCGTCTTTATTAGTTATATTATGTAAACGACAGTAGACGATAGGTAGGTAACAATAGTAACAATAAAAATAAATCAAATACTGTGTCTTATATAGGTTATAGATATGGTTACGTGGGTATTGTCGAAGAAAAAACAGTTGTAAATAAATATGGTATCGTATTATTGAATAATAAAAAACGAAACGGAAGAAGTCCTGATCACCAAAGAAATGTTGCGAAAACGAAGAAAAAAACCTACCCGCTTTTCGCCCGACGAAAATATATTTTAATAATGCATAGATTATTTTTTACTATCTACCTATATATACATTTTTTTATTCAAGAAAATCAGATTAAATGACAGAAAATAAAAATGTGTATGTATACATTTTTGATTAAATTACCCCGGCAAGAATAGCTTGTAGTGGGAGGAGGGGAGATAAATGAGTTACTCGTTAACAAAAATCAAAAGTCAAAATTTAAAATAAAATAGTAAATATTAATTCCCATAAAAGTTGAATTTTCTAAATAAAAACTATGACTATTGTTTACAAATTAAGATTTTCTATTAAATAATTATAAATATATTTTTTCATTATATAAATAACTTAGTTCTTTTTTAAAGTTGTAAAAAACATTTTTTTAAGAAGTAAAGGCATAGAAATAAACAGTTGAACCTATATAATCTGTGAAATGTTTACCAAAATATTGTTTTGTGTATCAAACGTTTATGTCGCACTCTCTAATTTCACGTGTGTTAAATTATTAACAACTTACTTACCGTCAAATTTATTTAACTAAGTAAATTGTTTGTACAGAGATCTGACAGAAAGTACATTAAGTTCTAAATAACTTTTTGTAGATGAACCTATTAAATGATTTTTATTTAAGCATATTTGAACCACTAGGTTCTGTTGAACTTCTAAAGGTCTCATTGAACTATTTGCTTAGCATCCACAGACTATACAACCATCATACTGTAAAATAGATTCGTGCAAAGCTTGATAAACAGTAAATATCGTTTTAACGGATACGATTTTATTTAATTTATAGATCTTAAATGCATACCTAAATTATTGATATGTACATTGCACCGCAGATGGCAATCTAAATTTAAACCTAAGTACTTAGCTCTATTATTCTTACTATATTTTCTGACAATCATGACGAATAACACTAACATCATTATATGAATGAATTTGTATTTAATTGATTGGTATAATGGTTACATTTTTCATAGTGAAAGCACTTAAAAAGCATCAAAAACAGTTTTACTTATATTCAGTGACAGTTTTTTATGATTCAACTCATTATACAATTGTATTAATTCCGATTTCTGCTTATTTTTTGTACAGTTCTCCACAAGTAGCTAGAAAAAAGGAGGCATGTTTCATCTACTATATACGTAACTATTAATCCATTTATATTTAAATCACATATGGTTCATACATAAAATAAACAAAACGGACCCTAATGCACTACCTTGTGGTACACCAAAATTAATTCGCTTTTTATTGCTGAATACGCCATTTATAGTTTCTTCTTGTTTTCTGTTTTCCAAATAGCTTCTAAACCATTATAGACTTTCAATCACTAGATCATAACTTGGCAGTATTCTGATTAGTTCAATGTGATCAATAGTATCAAATATTTGCTATGTCTAAAAAAAATCGCTATTATATCTTCTCATTATTGTCAATTTTTTGTGAAAACTCAGTAGTCAAAGCTCTAATCGTGCTCTTATCGGATCTAAAACCAAATTGGGTTTTGGAAAAAAATGCATTACTTACTTTCTAAATAGGATATAAGTCTGGTTTTAATTATTTTTCAAACATTTTTTGAAAAAATTATAGAGCGTGAAAATAGGCTTATAGTTTGATATTGTTTCTTTGTTTCCTGATTCAAACAAATGTTGAACAATGGCAAATTTAATTTTTTTAGGAAATTTACTTGGTTCAAATGCATATTTTTAATACATGGATTAAAGGCTTAATAACAATAATAGATAGGTATGTGCTTTAGGAGTTAAACATATATTTGATCGAAACCAGTGTCCAAAACCAACAAGACTAACATTAGCAAAATAATCATTAAAAACATTAGCTTATCAAAAGGACACATTATCGGATAACTATTTTATCTGAAATTGTGTCAGTATTTTTACTATTTTTCATTCCAATTATTTCATCCACTAAGTTTGTTTAGGATTACAGTATACCTTAGAAAAGTTATTTTTTATAAAAATTAATTTTAGAATTTCTTATAATTGTGTTAAATTTGTTTCTACAGTTGTTAAAAAGAATACGTAAATTAAGATTGAAAGAATATTTTTTGACTTTTTTGATTAATCATTTTAATGACGTGAGGTAAACAATTTAATTATCATCCATTATTTTAGTCTTTAATTTTTAGAATGAACCTTTTTCATGCTGCTAGCTTTCTTAATAGCATTAATGATTTTCCCGTAAAAAATATGAACACACTGATTTACATTAGTTGTGTTTAAATACACAATAGACAATACAAATATATACAATATATAATAATATATATTATAATGTTCGTAATGAATTACAAATTTTATTAGGTATATAATTTGATTATTTGGTTCACGAATATTTATTAAAATAATAGTTTTTAATCTTAGTGTATAATAATTTAACCGGAAAATTATTATTATTTAAGTGTTATGAACAATATAATATAATACTTTAAAAAAAAAGTCTGATATTATAACTATATAATACCTATACTCGTATAATTATATTAATCGCAGCAGTATTATTAATAACGTACTATGTAAAATAATAAAATAATCGTACTACAGTCGAAGCCTCAGAAGATTTTTAATAATCATTTTTTTTCTTATTTTTTTTTTTTTTGGAAGTCGTCCAATATACAGTTATATACGTAGGAATAATAATTTTGAATTCGCCTCCTTTCTCTTTGCACTTCAATTTATTATAACGATTGTATACAAATATAACATATGGCCGTCGTCGTAACAGCCGAATTTATTGTCTTTCTTTCTACATAACGAGCAATGTATCATGTATATAACGAAAATGTGTTGGCGTTAAACATACACGTAAACGTCTTTACAATCGATTTTAGTCGTGATAAAATTTGTATTTGACAACATTTCGAAGATAACCTAGTGACTCGCTTAGAAATTTCGGCAGGAGTTATGATCCCCTAACCCCCCCCCCCGTTCTGTGCGCAAGTGCACCACTGCTAGCGAGACCTCGTCGTCGTTTTTTAAACAATTTGTATTAGTACAAAGAACTAACACTGTTGACGGGTGTGCTATGTATTCATAGGCGCAACCAGAAGGGTGCTAGGGGGTCTTTAGCTCCCCAAAAAAAACCCAATTAAGTTTTTCATAGTAACGAGCAATTAACGAGCAGAACAAAATACAAGTTTCCTACAGACAATGCATATGTGCATGAAAAATAATATTAAAATAGTCATGATAAATTTGTATATACAACATTGTAAATGAAAGTAAAAGTCGTGTAAAGGGGTTTGTGGGGGTATAGCCTTCATGGATCTTTGATGTGTCCATAATTTTAACACCCCTAGAGTTAGTGGTTTAGTTGCACCTATATATGTACTGTTGTAGTAGGGTACTAGGGTAATAATCGGGAAGGCATAGAATATACAGAGCAATTTAGTTTATATACTACATGCAACGATAAATCATTGCGATCGAAAACGGAATAGTATAAGTCGTGTTTTCCCTTGTTATTAAGGTCTACCCAAAAAATTAAAATACAAAAAAAAGGACCTAGGTTAAGTAAAAACAAAAAAACATAGGAAAAACACAGTTTTCCATTCTTAAGTTAATATCACCACTAGTTGAAATTGTTTTCTCTATCTTCCCAGGAAAGCATGGCAATATGTCAAGTATGTTAACTAAAAACAGTGTAAAATGATTTTGGGATTTAAAAACCCATTTTTAATGACCAACAAATAAGAATTATCAGAAATTTCTGATGAAAATATTTAGAGTACTACTAAAGTAGAAAAGGAAATAGACATTTTAAATTTAAAAAATGCAGAATTAAAATCAGAATTAATTTAATTTTGCTCTTCTGAAAAACTGTAAAAAATGAGTTATGACAGTTTTCGTTTCTGGAGTCAATAGGTATGTTTATAGAGAATAATTATTATTGTACATCGGTGACGGGGTTTTTTTTTTTTAAACCATGGTCATCTCGTATAATATTAAATGTGTTTTATCCCCAAAACCGATATTAAAGGTCTCATTTGAAGGTGTTTTATGCGTGAATACTAGGTATATTATAATGACCTTTATAGAAGGACCACTGCAGAGAGGCGAAACGCTGCAGTTGCGCCTTTTATAAAACACATCGTAGGCATGAAACAATAAAAATGTAGCTGCCTACGTAAATGCACAAAACAAATACAATAGAATTTGTTTGCTATCGTGTGTTGTGTGTAGGTATATAAAAGCGAATTAGTCACGATACGATACTTAATATTATGTAAGCCGTGCGAATAACACATTCGGTGGACCAGACTTCTTATATATTTTTTAATTAGTACACCTATAAAGCAATAGACTTGCGTAAAAAAAAAAAACAATAATAATACTATACGGTAAATTAATACACTGTAAAATTACCGCTGCAATAATAGGTACATCAGTTCAATATAGTTATAGGTGGTAGTAGTAATGCAATTTTTTACGCACGCACAATACATGAGGGAATTTCGACAAAATATATTTCACCATGTGTTGAGAAATTTGGTCGACGATCGTTTTTAGAAAAAAAAAAAAAAAAAAAAAAAAAAAACATAATTTTCTATAGAATGTACTGTTTGGTGTACAAGTTGGACAAGAAAGGTAAAAACCGATAACAATATTGCGGTATGCGTGAACGGGATTATGGAAACGAAAATATTAGGTATATGTTTTACCCATAATTCGTCCTCGGGGATGGTAAAAAAATAGTTTCGAAACCGATAATCTTAATATTAAAATTTTTTCATTTCGAGTTAGAAAATTAACGACAGGTTATCGTAATAATAATATGATAACAATTGATTGCGGAAAACCATATTTACGGTTACCTTACTACTCTTGAGAAAGTCTCCTCCTAATAAGGTGTCCACAGGGTATAAAGTTAAATAAAAAAACTATAAACGGCCTAAACAATCCAATAGGTACCAAGTCTCGAATTATCTTTCATAAATTGTACGCATAGATGTCGATAAAATATTTATAATAAAGCATTTATAGTAAAATGTAAAAAAAATATATCATAAAAGTATTTTATATCACTCGTACTCAATAGCTTTCACCTAAAATGGGGTGAAAAAATGAGGGCTAGAGAAGCGAAGTTCCCCGTTGAGAATATTGATTTTCCCGTATAATTTTCGGTTTTTTTTCTCGGTTAAAACAAATAGCACAATATAAACCTATCTAAATATTTACCTTATAATACCTCAAGAACCTTTTTTAGATTCGAAGTGTAGTAAAGAATGTATTGGTATTTTTTATTTTTTTCATACTGTGTACAATAATTCTACTAGAAATCTTGCTCCGAAGTATCAAGTATAGCACCTTTTTTGAAAGGGAATTTTCCTGAGATGGTACTTTAGGGAGGTAATTTTTTGATTTTCCAAAGAGTATTCCCGATAAATGACGAAAAACGGAAACATATACGAAATATAGGCATAAGTAAAATTATAAATTATATTATTAGACAAAAAACCATCAATCACAACATTAAATGATCTATTTGATAAATACGAAGAGAGCCAAGATAACAATGGATCACCAATACTAATTTCTTTTTAATTTTAACATTAAAATACCGTGGTCGACCGAAACGAAAGCCTTCTTAAGGTCCATACAAACTACATCCACGTGACCGCCCGATTTTGTGACATCAATTAAATATCAATAAAGTACAATTACGTCGGTTTTCGTTGATTTGGATTTCTGAAAGCCAAACTGTTCATCTATTAAAATATTTTCAAAAAGTACAGATATTTTGAGTTCAACAAGTTTATCCAATAATATTGGTAAATAACTTATAATATAACTTAACGGTAATTAGTAATCTCAGATTTTGGATTTTCAATGATAGCCCTTTTTCTGAAAGGAAATCGGACTGGGAAGGTATTTTAAGGAGGTCATTTTTTCGATTCTTCCCATTTATTGGAAAACCTCCTGGGAAAATTACAGACAAATAAAAAATCACCCCTATAGTTTATTTTTTCACACTCATTTTATAATAACTGTTTTAAAGGCGAAAGTTTGACAAATTCGTAAAAATGTCGAAAAATATTGTCATTTAGTTAAAAATTGAATTGGTAAGAACGTAATAAAAACGTTCAATATAAATTGAACAACAAATATGTTTAGAACTCTCGAAATTGCATATTTCGTCGATTTTCACCTCGCTGTTCCTATCCGAACATATTACCCAGTAATTTTTTACCCTGTTCAAACGAATATGAACAAATTATACGAATACAAACGTCCTTATTATTAGATATTATAATAAAGTATTAACTACCGATAGAGAACAGCTGTGCGTCAAAACGTTTTAAACACTAGTATTTATATTTCGTGTTTGTGTACACACACACTCCCTCCGTCGCGTCGTACAGTACAACGCCCAAGTATAGAAACGTCGAATACTGACAATTAAAATAAAAAAATAATACAATATACACGTATGAATTATTATTATTAAATTATAATAATTGAAATTATCAAAATCTAAGTACTTAGTTTTGAACTCGTTCCCGTTCTCGCGCTCGTCTCGGCTGCTTCTTCTCTGCGGGGTTATCAATAATAATAATAATAATAATAATAATAATAATCCCGTGATAATGTGTCAAAAACGCTTTCAAGGTTATGTTTAAATTGCTCGTAAACACTCAGAAGAATGACATTTGGTCGGACGACCGTTTATCAGAACGAATATCTAAATTTTAATTATAATGGTAACAGTCATAACTATTTCAGTGTTTGTCGGCCATTGAAAATCCGAGTTTTTCTTTTACTACCTATAACTATAGTGTCTACCTACTCAGTTGAATGATGACGATAGTAATTAAAAACAATATTATGACGTTTTTTATTAGCTATCCAACTGTTCGGCCGAATCCACATCTGATGGAATAATGATGACTGAACAGCAGCACAACACTGCCGTGCTCGAAGTGTCAGTCGAAGAAAAGGGCGTTACACCGATGTCTCCGACTCTTTTGAACGATACGTCGCCTACGGTAAATGTAAATATATCACAGTTGAAACTGGTTCATATCTACTTGGTTGCAATTGACATTGATCAAAATAATGTTGTATGTGTTTCAGTTAATTTCATTCCCGTCGGACATCAATGACTTTCAACCAAAATTAGACTTTCGATATGATATTCAAGTGCATGTTGACAATCCCCAAAAGATCATTGAACCACTGGAGACTTATATCACGTACAGGGTAACCACCAAGGTACTTATTAAATTTACTCCTCATTCCCTAGGTATACAGAAGTCTGACCTAATTTATTTGTTTTAGGTCAACAGAACTGACTATCCACACAAAGAATATGTTATTCGCAGGCGTTACAATGATTTTGTGTGGCTCAGACAGAACACTGCCACAGAATATCCTGATCGCATTGTACCAGTAAGCCGTGTGATCGAAAATATTATATTCTCTTTTGAAAAACACTATATTCATTATTACAGCCCTTGCCAGCCAAACACACGATTCTCGGCCAGTTGGACAGGTATTCAAAAGAGTTTGTTTCATGCCGAATGGTGTTATTGGAACGTTTTTTGTCTCGTGTAGTTTGCCATCCTATTCTCACTGAAGATAAACACCTGCGAATATTTTTGACTGCAAACGCTACAGTATATATCTATTTAATATGAGAATAATTTTAAAATTTGTAAAAGTTTGCAATTTAATTATCTTATGTTTAATTTAGGAGTTTGCTATGTATAAAAAACGTGGTGCAGGTTTACTGAGACGCATGTCAAACAGTCTGAATACAATTTCTGTGTCATATAATTCGAGACAGGTGGACTTTGAGTTTGATCCCATTAGAAGTCATCTTCAAGGGCTTTCTGAAAAATTAACCATGTTAGAAAAAGTTGCTCAGAGAATTCACAAAGAAAGAAAAGGTACTATGTTCAATATTTTAAATACAAATTATAGAAAAGTGTTTCATTTTTTATTTAGAACTGTGTGTGGAATCTCATCAACTTGGAGCTGCATTCATCGAGTGGTCTTCTAACGAGCAATCTGTTTCTGTTGCATTATCTCGAATTGGCCATACTATAAATGCCAATAGTTCTGCTTTACGTCAATATTTAATATCAAATTTTATATGTGACTGGGCACAAGTAATAATATGAGAACAAAAAAAAAAAAATAAATAAATATTTAACAATTTATTTTAATAGCCACTTAAGGACTACGTTAACTATATAGAATGTGTCCGAGAAACGCTCGGTAAAAGAGACTCACTTCAAATACAGTATGAACAATCTCTCATGGAGTTGGAGAAGAAAAAGGCTGATAAGGATAAAGTAAATAAAAATGTTTTGTATTTAATAAAACGGCCATAACTTCTTGAATTAATCTTATTAGGTTGCTAATGACGAAAAGCCACTGATGTCATTCTGGTCAAAATCGGAAACTGACAAAGAAGAACAAATGGAGAAGATGAGTCAAGTTATCCCTAAATTAGTTTCAATTGTCGAAACTAATCAAGAACGGTTAGATGCCTGTAGTGATGTGTTTAGACAAGAGTATGGGCTGTGGAAGTGCCAAAAAAAAACAGATTTCAAAAATATGCTGACTGCATTAGCCGAAAGCCATATACAGTATTATCAACATGTGAGTAATGATTTTATAATGCATGTGAGTGGCAAAATGTTTAAAGGCAGCATTCTTTTTTTAAATGTTTGGTTGTTTTTTTTTTTTTAGAGGATTATTTTAATACCTTTTTATACAATTATATACATTTGATAAATCCTTATCCAAATCAAATAGCTTGTGGTGATCTAAATAATATCTGACTATTGTAATTAACTTTTAATGAAATTACATTTTATTCACAGGAAATGTATATCTATATCTATGGGGTGATCAATTTATCAAAGACACTCATTGTCTTGGAAAGTATTAATCTTTTCCTGTTATTTATTTTCTAGACCGATGGTTTCCTATCTTTTCAGGACCACGAACCACATGGTTTGATTTTTTAAAGAGTAGTTTATGAAAACACCAGGGAAAATCAAAACATTATCTCCTTAAAGTACTACCCCATTCAGATTTCCTTTCAGAAACTTGAAAATTAGAGTGAAATTGCTGGTAGAAAAGTTGTTCACAGATAAAAAAAAAAATAAAATAAATAAATAAACACAATTGTAAAACCAATACATTCCTCGTTCTGTTCAGTATCTAAAAAACATAAATTTATTGAAATCTGTATATTCAAAATAATTTTCGCGACCCACCAAAAATTGACTCTGGACTCACCAGTGGGTCACAACCCACAGTTTGAGAAACACTGTTCTAGAAAATTAAAAAAACAAGCTGATACAATTTTATATTTATGTTATTTTTTGTCGCCCTTATTTTTAGGGGTAAAACCAATATCTACTATTGATTTTCAAATTATAAATCTATAAATAGATGAAGTATTAGTTAAAATAAATTTTGGTGTTGACATTTTTGATTTCCATCAATCTGCTGATGAGATATTCCATTTTTAAGTTTGGGTTAAAGAGAGTGGTGGTGTATTATTAACATGCCGCAAGTCGTACCGCCACACAAATGACACTCTAGTACTCTCCTCCAACCCAAACTTAAAAGTGGAATATTTTATCAGCGGATTGACAGAAATCAAAAATATCAACACTGTAATTTATTTTGACTAATACTTAATTACCTATTAAATAATACTTAATAATCTATTATGGAATTTTTAATATAGGTTGCCATTTGGAAATCCAAAGTAGGTAGTGGTTTTACTTCCATAAATAAGGGCGACAAAAAAAATAATATATAAATATAAAATTGTAGAGAAGTTTGTTTTTTAAATATTCTAGAAAACAAATTCTGGAAAAAGTTAATACTTTCCGATATAACTTGTGTTTTACGATAGATTGATCACTCTGTATATGATCTAAATACTGAATAGCATATTATTAATTTTGTTCTCATTTAGTATATTGCTTACACGTTTTATATGTTATTCATGGTTTTTTAACAATATTATTTATTTTTAATTGTGAGAAATGAATTTGTAAATTGTAAATGTAATTTGTAAATGATGAAAATATAAATTTGTATCAGTGGTTAATGTGTTGACATTAGTATTATATAAAAGAGACAAGGAGATAAAAGAAAAACCACAACGAGCTAAATTATTATTACTATTGTAATTATAGTGGTAGAGCTGCATTCGTAATGCCAATGGTTGAACATACTGCATGATAGCTAAAATCTTTAATAATAACAACAATAATCTTTATTCTGTAAACTGATAGTTAGTTATAGATATTTGTTATTGTTTCTGTATAATAATTTCACAGGAAATTTATTTAATTATAAATTTCTCTAAAAAGCTAAGCTTTACATACTTTGCAACTAACATGTTATAAATATATTGTCTCTTTATTGTTCTAACTTTACAAAGTTATTTGTTACAGTGTGCAACATCGTGGGATTTGGTGTTTAAACGAATGGCAACTGAATAAAATATTGAGCTTAATCATTTGATAAACGAAAAAAAAAAACTTGGACAAGGTATATATTAATATATATACATATATATATTTTTTTGTTATATTATTATTGTTATAAAATTGATTGGTTATAAGATTTCTGGATAAGAAATTCATTATTGATCTAGTGTAAAAAAATAATTCATACCATTGTACTTGTACAATTCACATCCACACACACAGAGATATTATATTATACATTGTTTTTATTTTGTTAATGTCATAATCATTCCATGAATTTTAGTTATTCATTTTACCAAATTATTACATAACATATTATTATATATTTTTTTTATTGTTTAATTTAATTATTTTCAATATAGTATTTAATATTTATTAATTAAAAAAAACAAAACAGCGTTTTTAAAAATCAAGTTTTATTATAAATAACTAGTGAAGTGTATTTATGTGCAACTCTAACAAATGATAATTGTATTGCTAGTTATCACATTATGGAAAAAAAAAAAACTTACAAAAGTAAACAGGGAACTATTGAAAATGTATTAAACATTAATTTAGAATATTTTATAATACGAGCGTGACAACAAATTTTTCTAATTAAATTTATCACTATAGTATCTTTAATATGTAATGAAAATGATCAAAAAAGGAAGAAAATCTGGTTAATAATAATATAGTTGGGTTTTCATTGAACACTGAAAAAAAAATAACAGTGTTGTTTATAACTGGGCGATATTAGGAATTTAGCCCCGTACTATTAAGTAGACTTGAAAATTGTCCCCAGAGAATGAACATGTATAATATATGTTTAGTTAATGCCACAGTCATAATTAATGCTAATAATGTTAAGGTTAAAAAAAAATTATAATAATATCAATACCATTAATAAGAATATCATCGTTCGGTTGGTGTAGACGCTGTAAACAAATTATTCTTGGAATTATGTCCAAATGATGTCATACTGGACAATTCCTTAATGCTCATAGTCATTGTTTGGTAACCTGTATCTGAACTACTTTCCATTATTTCATTGCTTTTGTTAGTACGGCGTCGTTTAGGTATCGACATTGTGGATACTGGAGTCAAGAAAATAAAATCTCTATCTATAAGATAAAAAACAAAAATAAGTTCAAATTAAAATATTTTAAATTAATTGCATTTAAGTACAGGATATATTGTATTATATTTATTTGAATAGACTGAGTAACAAAAAATAAAATATACTGCATAAAGATTATCAATATAATATTCCAAACTTTGGAATATTGAAGTTTATAAGTGAGATACAAAAAATAGAAATGTAAAATAAAGAATTTGTGTGAAATATTTAGTTTTACTGACACTCTTTATAAAATAATATAAAAATGTTCAATTGCTACTAGTCATACCAATGATTACTCAATAATATAAAATTGAGTATTTACCTATATAAACATAACCAAATTTAAAGTACTCAATTGTGTGGGATAAAAAAAAAAAAAAATATGCAATCTTAAAATAAAAATCTACGACATTTAATAATTATTAACATACAATACTAAGAGAAAAAATGTTAAATTACTATTAAATTGAGCAAGTAATAATTAATAATTTACTTGTTAATTGTGTAAATGTATTTTAAAAATATAGTAGGTAAATACTTTTAATTTTTGGTGGAGTATTTTCCTTGTTATTTTTTGTTATCGGAGATACATCAAAAGGTACATGGCAATCTTTAGGTAATTCTTGTACGCCTAAATGATTTCCAAGCACAGGACCTTTGGAAATAGCAGAGTCAATAAAACACCGCGTTAATGGACTAACCTGTATATTTCTATGTCTAAAATAATAAGAAAAAAAAAGGTTAAATAAATTCTAATTCCGGTTTTTATTGATTTACTTTTCAACGGGAGAAATAGGGTCATCTTTATCATTTAAAAACAAAAGTTTACGTCGTAAATTTGAACCATCTTTAGTAGGACTTGTTTCTACTTCTTCTTTGCAATTTTGAGTCTAGGTGAGTTTAATGAGATAGACATTTAATATACTTATATATATATATATATATATATAAAAAAAAAAATATATTTTACCGAGTTTAAAAAATATGGTTTTAGTATTTCTTCAATGTGATCTGGTAATACAGAGGGAAAACTTAACTCTGTTTGTGTCGAAACTGAAATTTAATTTTAAAAAATATTGGCATAAATGCAGTTTAGATTCCGAGCGATTTTTTTTTTTCAAAATTTGTTTTTACATGCTTAATTTTATGGTACTTTCAAAAAAAAGTTACTCAAACTTCATTTGGAAGTTATGGTTAAAAAACTTCAAAATGCTCTATTTTTCTAAAAATCGTGTTTTTGAGTTTTAAATGCCAAAAATGTATATTTTTGTTATTTTTGTTTAGAAATGGTAGTAATTATATGCTAAACATTTTGGTGAAATCAGAATTTACCTATTGTACTTACTTTTTAATATTATTACATACCAAATGAAAAAAAAGTACAAAAAATTAATTTTGGGTTTTTATAATATGCAAATGATTGATTTAACATTATAATTAGGTTTTTTTGTCGTTTATTAACAATAACATAAAAAGTATGTATGATAGGCGATTTCATCAAAATGATTCCTACCATTTCTAAAATAAAAATTCCGAAAATATAAATTTTTGGTTTATAAATTCAAAAACAAAAATTGAGCATTTTGAAGTTTTTTGACCATAATTTCCAAATAAAGTTTTAGCGACTTTTTTTTGAAAGTATCAGCAAATTAAGCATGCAAAAACACACATTTAAGAAAAAAATTGCTTGAAAGCTGAACTGCATTTGTTCCAATATTTTTGCTAATCAATTATAGTTAGGTAACTGAAAATTAAACAAACATCAACCTTCGCAATTAGATGTCATTGATTTTGAGTTTCTTTTAAGCATTATGGGCGTAGACGATAATTTTTCACTTGATTCCCAATCACAAACTTGATTGTTCCACGGACTAGGAATTTTATGTGTCATGTAAAAATACCTATGGGCAGTACAATATAATTAAACATTACATCATCTACAGATGTTAGCCTTTACATTCATTACTTATCAATAGTCTCTTGTAATTTTGATTCTGTTTCGTCGTCAACTTGATCATCATCAATCATACATTCGTCTTCTATATGCACTGGATTTAGTTTAGAGACATCATCGATATTCCATTTAAACTCGTTTTCTTGCCTCGGACTTACGGCATTGGCAAATACTGAAGGACTGATAGTTGTTTCTCCCAATCGTTGCATTAGATTATCATTGAAAGGATTGTATACTTTTTGTACGCAACTATTGTTCGTCTGGTACTGAGAGCGTAAAAGTTCGGTAGACATGCACCAGTGGCGTGTAGGTTTTACAGGGGTCGGCGTACGATTTACTTGAAATACTTTTCGAAAGGATGTCAGTTCATTATGTTCCAAGATTAACGAAACGTTCAAACTATCTACTTCCTCACTAACTGCCATAATTAATCGAATAAAAATGTACCAATGATAAAATAGGTAATGCAAAAAAACCAGTTACTTTTTATACACACTTTTTAACGTAATCAAAAAGACATATTATTAGGTTAAGCACTAAAATACCTAATACGAACAAATTAATATAAATTTGTATCTATCTAAGTACACAAATAATTATTCAACAATTTTTAACCGAAAAAATGTATTCGTTTAAATGAAAAACAATAACAATAATATTTAAAACAATATATGATGACGATTTGAGATTTCATGCAATAGACAATAGAGCATAGATATTATATTTCTTTTATACTTTTCAATTTTTTAAACGTACTCTGTTATCTATAATTTCTTAACGGCTTTCCAATATCAACGATACAAATTAACATTGTCGGTTTCCCAAGGAGATCCTACTTTCTACATGATACCAATACCATGTCTACGGTCACACTGCGTTCGTTGTTTTTCTAGTGAATCAAGTCCCTCCCCTCTTAAAACATGTTTTAGGTTAGTCTCTCGTTCTCTCGTACATTTACCATACCCGGAGTTACTGATTGTTGTCTCTTTTGGATCTCGTCCTCGGAAAAATGGTAAGTTACATTTTGTTTCATAATTAATATTTTTTATCCGCTTTTATTTAAATGATCCTTTAGCTTAGCCCAGTTTTTGGCTTTCGGTCGTTTAGCTCTGGAATGTTACTGCCGATCGGCTTTCATTAAAATACGACGATTAATTATTTTTTTGTTCCTCCAGACGAAAGGAACTTCAAGTTTTGGTAAACGTCACAATAAGACGCACACTTTGTGTCGTCGTTGTGGACGGTCCTCGTATCACATTCAAAAGTCTAAGTGTGCTCAGTGCGGTTATCCGAGTAAAAAACTCCGTCATTGTAAGTATACAAAACAATAATTATCATTTGTAATGTTATACTTACCATATCGTTTGCTAAAGTAGTACTGTTTTTGATGTACCTAAACCGTATTTGTATTTTTTGTGATTAGATAATTGGAGTGTAAAGGCTCAACGTAGGAAGACCACTGGAACTGGCCGTCTTCGTCATTTGAAAATTGTTCGGAGGAAATTCAGGTGAGTTTTAATAAATATTGTTGTTATATACCTACCTATTATGTTGTGATTCTATTATGAGCGATAGTTCACTCAGTTTCCTTAACTATTTCTCGTTTCAATATAATGTTTCATAAGTTACCTAGTCTCAATAAAAATATATCTTGAATCTTTTTATTTTAGTATTAACAATTGTTGATGAATTGCATGTTAATTCATGTGATGAAAAAAAGTTTTAAAATATTACATTTATTTTAAATATGTATAGGTTTTGTTGAATGTTTATATTAGTAAGTAGGTAGGTATGGATTTAGATAAATAAATTGTCTTGCAGTGATGTAAACCATATTAATATACGCTAATACGACCAAATTTAAAATGGGTATTACTTGCCCTCTCTGAGCATTGCATTTTATTTATCAACTGTTTTGAAATACTAGGTACCTAGTCCTAATATACCATCAATCCTTCCTTAAATATTACCAACATTACTTTAATTTTATATTGATTATACAATAGTTACATATAAGTTACACTTCAAATGTCATATTTTCAAAAAAAAAAAATAATGAATATTGTTTCGTTTCTATCTAATTTACTATTATAAATATTTTAACGTCTTTTTCATTGGTATTGTGTCTTAGTAGTGCAATGATGTTAACTTAAAATAATATACGCTAATACGACCAAATTTAAAATGGGTAGTACTTGCCCTCTCTGAGCATTGCTTTTTAAATTATCAGCATTTTTGAAATACTTACTAGGTACCTATAAATGATACAAAAAATAAGTTAGAAATATTTTGTTAATTTTATCCCTACATAGTTAACGATCTATCTTTATTATAAAATTATATAAACAAAAATGATTCAGTTTGATGGCCAGTTTAATATTTATATTATATTCAGTATGGGCTAAAGCCCAAAAATATAAATATTAACATTTTAAACATTAATAATTTAACTAAGACTTATAACTATAACTACGGTTTAAGATTAATATAGGAAGGCCTATAGTTTGACAACTAAATTATTAACTAAAATAATTTCTATTAATCTTCTAAAACTTAGTTAATATCTATTATACACTATGCAGATATCATTGCTGGTACCTATTTTTTTTTTTTTAATCTATATTATGAAATAATCTATTCTATACATATAAAGAATTTATTATTAATAATAATATTTTTTATAAAAATGTCTTAATGAAAATTTGTTTAAATCTATTATTTTACAAAATAATATTGTTTGCTTTACTCATTATTAGTTTTTTCAGTATTTCCTTTACTGATTTTAAACTTATATATAAAATATATAATTCATAATTTATTTTAGACATTTTTCAAATGTTATCCTATTATAATGTTTCAAATATTAAAATAAAGTTTACACTTAACAGTTAAAATTAAGCAGAAAATATTACGATATTTGTGTTCTTGTACCTAATACTTTTAAATATTATACAATATACTAGAGACCTGTATAAATTGTACAAATATAAATGTAAAAATGATTTAAATACATTTATCCCATTTGTGTAACTTGTTTACTATTGGTGAATTGTTTTTGATAGTATGTAACAATTTGTAAGATGTACTGTTTTTGTTTTTCGTTTTTTTTTTTATCCTATTTTATTAAAGTACTTAACTAAATGAACATGTTCTGCTGTATCATTCACAACCTAGGTTATTAATTAATTCTTGACCTTGCAATAATTTAAATTTTCTTTTTACATAGACTGGTGTGTTTCTATACAATTATTTAATCCTTTCATATAAATGTTTATTTTTTTTTTTTATATATAAAGTTTGGTATTTTATTAACATTTAATTTGTGTTCATTTATTTACTACAACATTACTCATTTCCATCGAAGTTTTCATGATCAATAACTTTTATGAGCCAAAATTATGAAATTTGCTTGAAACAAAACCAACTGATCAATTATATCAAAATAAAGCAAAATTAAAATTATCATTAAAAATGATCAGTAAAAGTGATCAAGAAAAATCTGTTTTGCTTTTAAGAATATTGGATAGGAAAGAGAGATTAAGGAAACTGGTCTGTAGAATTTTTTTTATATACCAAAGCTATAATAGCATATTTAGTATATTAACAGTATGCTACGTTTGTTATTAAATTTAGCATTCACAAATAATGATTAAATATTTTGTCTTAAAAAATATAAGGATTTGTATTATAAAATAATGTAAATAATGCTTCTATGAAAATGTCATGTTTTCTTTGGTATAAACTACTAAAAAGTAGTTAATAAATACTTATAATGCAGAATTCACATCAAATTTATAATGATTTTTATTTTTGTTTAAACCTGTAAACATTTTTTCTACCAGAAATCTTGCTCAGGTTTTCAAATGTAGTATCTGTTCTAAAAGGAAATTTTAATTAGTTAGTGCATTGAGATCATCTTTTGATTTTCCAAGTGGTTTTCATAATAATTAGGAAACAAATATACAAAATTTATTATAATTTTCAATTTTTTTTGTTTTTATTGTGCTTCAGAAAATATTTGTAGAAACTTGAAATTTGGGCAGTATGTTAATTCTTATTAGTGTTTGGGCCCTGGTTAAGTAATCAAAAATATTACATATTGCAATTAGTATAACATTATTTATTATATTTATTACCTTTTTTAAATATATTTTTGGTTTGTAGTTATTGAAACAATGATATAAAGAAAATACTGTCAGCTTCTATCTATTCATTATTTTTAAATACTCCTCCTGTACATATTTTGGATTTACCAAATTAATATTATATTACAGTTACTAATGTTTTTTTAAAAACAATAATTACTAGTTTTGCATTGTTTCGTTTCTATCTAATTTATTAGTATAAATATTTTAACGTCTTTTTCATTGGTATTGTGTCTTAGTAGTGCAATGATGTTAACTTTAATTAATATACGCTAATACGACCAAATTTAAAATGGGTAGTACTTGCCCTCTCTGAGCATTATTTTAACATTAAATATTTTTCTGTTTTCTGTTGGGCAATTACTTTTTATGAATACTTTACGAGGGCTAATCAAAAAGTATCAGGACTGGTAGTATCATTCGGAAAAGGAGCATCAAAGAGCAGTAGGATTGGTATCGCTTGCTTCTATGACTTTTTCTGAGTACATTTGTTTTTATTGCTTCTCTATAAATTTCATCGGTTTGATTTCACTGGTATTTCTGTAAAATATATTTTTCGAGTTTGGCGATTTTGTAATAAACCCAAAAGAAGAGTAACTTGACAGANGCAACATTTCATGGTTTTTGCCATTAAATGTCAATTGAAAAACTGAAAATGTGCTCTTGAGTGGCAGCAAGTTCCGCTTCTTTTGGATTCATTACGAAATCGCCAAACGTGAAAAACAAATTTTAGAAAAATATCATCAAATCAAAACGAAGAAGTTTATAGAGATTTTATACGGATAGATGTGCTCAGTATAAGTTATAGAAGCTAGGTTTACAAATCGTTTTGCTCTTCAACGCTCCATTTCCGAGTAATATTATCAGTCTCGATACTTTTTGATTAGCCCTCGTATATAAGTTTGGAAAAAAAATATATAATATTATTATTATAAATAATTTTTCTTATTTTAATGTTATACACAAAAACATATTAACTTAAATTTTAACATACAAGGTATTAGTTTAAAAATATCCATTTATTTTAATTATTCTTATCTTAGTTGTTGCTGTTCTATTCTATATTGTTATAAAAGATGTGCTGTGATGTTAAAGTTAATTAATATACGCTAATACGACCAAATTTAAAATGGGTAGTACTTGCCCTCTCTGAGCACTAACTTTGTAAAAATATGTTAAATGTATTTTACATTTTTTATTTTGTAACTTTGTAATTTTTATTTTTCAGGAACGGTTTCCGTGAAGGCACCCAGGCAAAACCCAGAAATAGACAGAGTTAATCATGTTTTCGGTTTTGTTGATTTAAAAAAAAATATACAAAATTCCTTTGTATTGTTTATTTTGCATTATTTTATTAACAAATAATACCAACAGTTGAAATTTCATGTGTATATGATTTAATTGATTTAATACGGTTAGGTTATTAATTTATAGTTTATTCTATTATTTTAATAACTAGGGCTGTGAATTTGTAGGAAAGTGCATTTTTTTTTTTCTGGTGATTTAGAAATGTAGTTTTGTAATTACATAATTTGAATTATGTAACAATAAATCTATTTATGAAACTTATATTTTGCATTTTTTTGGTTATATTTTCCTGAATTTTAACCAAATTCCATCAATAACATCTTTGAAATGAAAATATTTATTTTGTTTTTCATTGGCGTGTGTATATGTCAAATTTATTTTTTTTAAATAAATATTTTACACAAGCTGTGTATGGGTTAAGTAAAGATAATGATTCAATAAAATAAGGCAATTGCTAGTTATTTGTGGCAAACAGTGTATCAATCGTGTAATTTCAGTAAAAATTCAGATTTAATCAACTTTTATTAATTAAATTCATTTGTATGCATTTAATATACTTATATCAATATAAATATAAAAGTTTTATTAAAAACCATTATTTTAAGTGCATTAAATTCACAGCCCTATTAATAACAAATATTCTTAGATTGGGAATTAAATAGTCATTTTTGCCAATTGTTCTTATTTTAGTTAATATTACTTTTATTTGATAAGTTACATTTTCAACTTGCAAATAATCAGTTAAAACAAATTTAAAAATATTTGTATTTGTCTATCTGACAAGAGATAGATGCGAAATCAAATTAACTGCTTAAAAATACTAAATACTCAAATCAGAAGAGGAGCACACTCTGTGGTAGATGAAAACGCGTCAAGTTTACGCTTAAACAGCGATTACTGATTGGGAGTATGTTGGGCTATCCGACAATATGCGAATGTTTAATTGTACATGTGTAAACCATTGTGATCTTATCCCGAGTAAAATATAATACCACTGTTATTTCATCTTGAGGCAAATGCCTAAAACTACATAGTTGTAGCCCCAGATGTATATCATGAGAACAACATAAATAATATTATATTTTTATCTCCCTCGTGTTGAACGTTTATTCATAGTTTTGAGCAATGTCAATTTGAATGTTGGACACTTATTTAAAAATTAAACCAATTAACTTATATTCATCACTACAGTTTACTAGGTATAATACTAAATTATAAATTTCTAACTTAATTGTTTAGAAAAGTGACCTAGGAGCAAATGTTTTTAATTTTAAAATTTACATATCAAGAAATTTTACATTACATTAATTTTTTGTAGTGATATATTATAATTTTCTGAAAGCTCAAGTTGTCTTGATTATACTTTAGAGAGGCCATTTTTTTAAATATAATAATTTAAGTGAGAAAAACTTAGGAAAACATACAATTTCATTAGTTTATAAATACATCAGTTTTCTTCTAGAAAACATGATTTAATTAAAAAATCACAAGACACCTTTATTGATTTAATATTTGTAAGCTTTTTAGTTGCAATTTGGTTATAAATACAAGTAGAGACTTGAAACTTAGTAATAATACTTCTATTGTATTTACCTAAACGCAATAACATTTCCAGAATCATCGGGCGACTTTTTTTTAATAAGCATTTTGAAATCTAATCGTAAATCCCCCCAAAAAAATTATGGCACTTCAAATTATGTATTACAGAACTGCACTCGAAATTGTTTTTCGTCAAGCAATGGTTTATCATTGCTTACAGATATAAATGAAATAACCTTATGTAACCTAACTTACCAAATTCTCACCTACAACAGTGGCCGCTCCCATCCCCAGTATCGGCTCTTTTTATATTTAATTTTAAATGAACAATTGTACATTATAATTTTTAGCTTATTTTCAAAATGATATTGAATTGGAGATCACTTATTTATAACAAAAATCCATATAATTACAATGTTTCTTTTTATTATATATGTTTCTTCTTTTAATTAACTTTTGTTAATCAGTGATTAGATAATAATTCACTGCAACTTAACTTTGATAAATCTTGTTATTTGCATTTTAGTATTAATAAACTGTGTATGATATGGTCCAAGTATAAATTCATTTTATGTAATAATTAAAAATAATAATGTTGGAGGTTATGTTAAATATTTAGGTAATTTCAAAGATGAAAATTTAAAAATGGACAATTCACATTAATTATATCAATTAAATTAAGAACTGTAACTTTTAAAAGTCTGGTTCAATCTGTCATAAGTTATGGAATACTCTTTTGGGGAAGTGCTTATAATATTCATAGAAATAAATTAAAGGTAACTTTATGTAATATTTTAGTTATACTTCATATCTAAACCCTACTCGCCAAATGACCACCAATGTAATTATGCTTGTTATTGCATTATTATAATTTTTATTTTGTTGGTAAATAATAAATAATATAATAATAAATAATAAATAATATAATAATAAATAATATATTACTAAATAAAAATTATCCGTACAAATTTTAAAATACAATGGGCCAAGAAGTCATATTAAACTTTATACAGTGATAAATATGAAAATAAATGTTTAATTTTATTAATCCATTTAAAATACTATTAAAACATTAAACTAAATATTGTATTAAATTAAATTTATAAGAACAAAATAATTATTAACCTCATATGCTGGCACATATTTAGTTTATATTCAAATTAATGTTTAAATCTTAATTACAAATATATAACAATTTAAAAAAAAATAAAATAAATAACATTTTTTTTTTTTTTTTATTTATTAATTTTAAATGAACTGTACATTAACATTTCTATCATGTTCTCAAAATTATATAAATTTAAAATATTTACAACAAAAATCCATAAAACTAAATTCAAAATTTAAATGACTAAATATAGTAATTAAATAAAAATTATCCATGTAAATATTTTCAATACAATGAGTTAAGAAAAAATAAAACTATACATTCTAGTAAATAGATAAAACAATGTGCAATTTTAATCATACATGATACACAAAAGGTACTCAAGGCTTACAAATTATAATTAATCCTTTTAATATAGATACCATAGAATAATAAAACTTAAATATTGTATTAATTTTAATTTAAATATTTATTTTAATATCTTTCTAAATCTACTCTCCAGTATATCTACTTTACAGCATAACTTATTTTTAAAAATATGATGGGTAATTTGTACATGATAAGGATCTTTATTAAAATTGTCAATTTAAACCCATAGAATAAATTTTAAGTAATCCATTTACATTTTTTATTCATATAGTATACAAATATTTATAATAAATCAAGTTTTTATTTATTTGTCAACAGGTTCCCTTTAGTTACTTGCTATATTGTTTTAAATTTAAAGATTATAATCAATATTAATTTAGGTGTTTTTATAAAAGATACAATGTTAGTTTAAATGCAAATTTATAAGAATAAATTACTCTTTAAGTTCAAAAGTTACAAGGTGGAATATAGTTTTTTCTTAAAGATTACAAAAGAATACATTATTTGATATTCGACCAGTGTTTTCACCCAGCACCACAATAGAAATCAATTGTCATCTCATTTTTAGTATCGGGTGATCTATTTAAGCGAGTACACTCATTATCTCAGAAAATATTAACTTTTTCCGGAATTTGTTTTCTAGAATATCTAAAAAACAAGCTGCTCTACAACAGTATATATTTATGAAATTTTTCTTCACCCTTATTTTTGGGGGTAAAACCACTACCTACTTTTGATTTTCAAAAAGAAACCTATATTAGGTCCATAAATAGATGAATTATTAGTTAAAATAAATTTAAGTGTTGACATTTTTGATTTCTGTCAAGTCACTAGCGACATAGTCCACTTTTAAATTTATTTCGGAAGAGAGTAGTGGAGTATTTATTAATAATGCACCACTATTCTCTTAAACCCAAACTTAAAAGTGAAATATCTCGTCAGGATTGATGGAAATCAAAAATGCCAACATCAACATTTATTTTAACTAATACTTCATCTATTTATGGAATTTTTTATATAGTTTGCCATTTGAAAGCCAAAAGTAGGTAGTGGTTACCCCTAAAAATAAGGGGTAAAAATAATAAAAAAACCTACCTACTTTTGACTTTCAAATGACAAACTATATAAAAAATTCCATAAATAGATGAAGTATTAGTTAAAATAAATTTTGGTGTTGACATTTTTTTGATTTCCATCAATAATATAATCTGACGAGATATTCCACTTTTAAGTTTGGGTTGAAGAGTGGTGGTGCATTATTAACACGCCACAAGTCATACCACTACATAAATGATACCCCACTACTCTCCATCAAACCAATCCTTAAAGTGGAATATCCCGTCAACAGATCGATAAAAACTAAAAATGTCATCACTAAAATCTATTTTAACTAATAACCCATCTATTAATAGACTTTTCAATAAAAGTTACCATTTAAAAATAGGTAGTGGTTTTACACCCAAAAATAAGAGCGAAGAAAAATAATAATAAAAAAAAAATCAATCGTAGAGCATTTTATTCTTTAATGTTCTAGAAAACAAATTCCGGAAATAGTTAATACTTTTAGAGATAATGAGTGTACCTACTAAAGTGGATCACCTGGTATAAGTGAGATATTTATAAATTTCATCTACGTTTTGGATCTCACGAACACATGGCACTCTGTACATTGCACTTATTAATAGAACATTGAAATCTTTACTTAATATGCAAAATATCTGTTGTAACTATAATGCAATGGTATGGTCAACACGTTAAGTCCCCTTATATCATTATAATCATCTAGTCTATTCTACACAAGATTGATTGAAGGTATGATTTTTCAATGTTCACGGTATATAGGAGCAGTAATAGAAATCAATATATAGAAACACGGTTTTAATTTTATTGGCGACTATCAGGGAGGCTTTAGACCTGGAAGATCAACAACGGATCAAATATTTGTTCTTCGGCAGATATTCCAAGACTTGGGAATTTGACAAAGAAATCCATATTCTTTTGATTGATTTCAGGAAAGCATATGACAGTATTCATCGAAAAAGCTTAATTAACGTTATGAGAGAATTTAACTTCCCACAAAAATTGTTAAAGTTAGAAGAGATAAGTATTATGGAGACATTCATTAAAGTCAAAGTTGGAAGTAGCGAAACGGAGTCAATATTAGTAGTCAGATTTGAGACAGGGCGACTCAATGTCACCGGTGTTATTTAATATAGTGCTAGAGAAAGTTATTAGAGCAATGAACGTTAGACCCGACGAAGGAGTGAAACTGCAGGACTCATCAACAGGCCTATTAGCGTACGCGGACGATTTAGTATTAATGGAAGAATCACCAAACGCACTGAAATCACTGTTCGACCGTCAACAAAGAATGACAGCGAAAGTAGGACTACAGATAAACGAAACTAAAACGGAGTATATGGTCGTTGGTAGACGAGAAACTGCGGGTATGTACCCATCCTTGAATGAAANAGGCCTATTAGCGTACGCAGACGATTTAGTATTAATGGAAGAATCACCATGAAATCACTGTTCGACCGTCTACAAAGAATGGCAGCGAATGTAGGACTACAAATAAACAAAACTAAAACGGAGTATATGGTTATTGGCAGACGAGAAACTGCGGGTGTGTACCCATCCTTGAATGTAAGAAACTATGTTTTCAACAGAGTCAAGCAGTTTAAATACTTAGGGTCAGTTATAACTGAAAAGAATGAGATAGTCAATGAAATATCAGCGAGAATACTTGCCGGCAATAGGGCGTACTATGGACTAGCAAAACTGCTAGGGTCGAGATCGCTATCGAGGAGCTTAAGATACAGCTCTATGTGACATTACTGCGTCCAGTTATAACTTATGGAGCGGAAACTTGGCCACTACGGAAAGAAGATGAAAGAAAGCTGATAGTATGGGAAAGAAAAGTTCTAAGGAAGATTTATGGTCCGATTAAAGATAGCAGTAGCAATGAGTGGNTGCGTGGCGCAGTCAGAATCCCTTGCTACATATAGTGTTAGAGAAGGATCCAGCTGGGAAGACCTCGTATGAGATGGGAAGATCTGGTTAAAAAAGATGCAATTGCCTTAGGTGGAGGATCAGATTGGAAAGAACGAGCATCCGACAGAGATGGCCGTAGGGAGGGATGTTTGACGGGATGGTCCTAGCGACCATTTTCCCGAAGAAGAAGAAATGGTTTTAAATGTGATCATTATGTTCAGATATTTTAGTTACGGTATCACAATTTTCAGTACTTAGACTAGATTATTATTGTTTTTCAAATCAATAAAGTATAATTTTACTATTCACTCATTAACTTCAATGACTTAAGGAAACAATTTTTGATTAAATTTGGCACATATGCACCATTTTTATTTCATCTTAGCATTTATAAGGATACTTTTCTAAATAATTACAAATAAATTCTTGACATTAACCTTGTACATAATTTGATACATTTTTAGACTTGTGTACAATTAAACGGATATCAAGTTCAATATCACCAATATAATAATTACATGGTTAATGTCAAGAATTTATTTGTAATTATGAGTTAATTGAAGAATATTGATGAGTGAATAGTAAAATTATACTTTATTGATTAGAAAAACAATATAAATCTCGTCTAAGTACTGGAAATAGTGATACAGTAACTAAAATGTCTGAACATAAGGATCACGTTTAAAACCGTTTCTATATATTGATCTCTATTACTGCTCCTATACAGAGAATGTTGAAAAATCATACCTTCAATCAATCTTGTGTAGAATAGACTCGATATGAATATAATGATACAAGGGGACTTAACATGTTGGCCATACCATTGCATTATAGTTACAACAGATATTTTGCATATTAAGTAAAGATTTCAATGTTCTATAAATAAATGTAAGATAGAGAGTGCCATTACATTAGCATTTGTGAGATCTGAAACATGGATGAAATGTATAAAGTGGACCATCTTGTGCCGTATAATAAAAAAAAATATAATCTCAAAGTTTGAGGCTATTTGAATATTTAGTGGAAGCACACAGTGTTTGAATATTTAATAATAGAAAAAATTCATTAAATTAATGAAAATAGTATACAATCGACCATAGTTTGTTTAGATTTGATTTTTTCATTCAATAAAACACCAAGAACTGATTGTAATCTTTAGATCTTAATGACTATTCTTTTTGCCACATATACGGAAAATTTTAATTGAAGGCGCTGAGAAATTAATAACCGATTAATTATTTCAGTTTTGATTACTTTTTTTGATACATTTTTATTAAATTATTTCAACATTTATAAAAAAAACCAAATATTTATTTGTACAAGAATATCATCGAATGTATAATGACAATGAACAATTTAGTAACCATTTATGGTATTTATCTCCTGAAAATCCATCATTGACATAAAGAAAAAAAAGGTTTTTGATTAAAAATATAAGTCTGAAGATTCAATGAAAAAATAAATTTGTCTACACCTACAATTTGTTGAGACATTTATACATTTACTGTATCAGTTAATATTTTGAATTGTTTTAAGATAAATTAGGAATTTTCAGATTAAGATCAATCTTTATGGGAATATTATAAAAACTTTAACAAAGGGTTAACACAATAAACAAGTTACAAGCTGTTAATGATTCAGCTAAAAAGGGAGTCAAATTAATAAAAGATATAACTTAGTAAAAAAAAGATATAACTTAGTAAAAAAAAGATAAAAAATAAAAACAATACTTTCTGTAAGTTGTTTCAGAACATAGAAAAACCTATACTAACAGCAACAACAAAGCCACATTGTTAAAAATATTTTTGAAAGTACATTTTTTTTTTATTAATGTTAAAATAATTTCATAAAAATGTATCAAAAAAGTAAGAAAAACTAAAATAATTAAATGGTTATTAAAAAGTCCTCATGTATATAGCAACAAAAAAGTCATTAAGATATAAATATTACAATCAGTTCTTGGTGTTTTATTAAAAAAATCAAATCTAAACGAACTATGGTCTAATGTAAACTATTTTCTTTGATTTAATGCATTTTTGGTATTATGAAAATATTCAAACACTGTGCCTCCACTAAATATAATTCAAATGGACTCAAATTTTGAGGACATAATTTTTATTATAAAGTACACGATAGAGGAGGTGTCCCAGAATTAATTTTAAAAGTGAATAAATAAAGACAACTCTAGTATAAATATCTCACTTACACTAAAATAAAATGACAATTAATCAATTTGATTTCTCTTGCTGAGTGAAAGTACTGGTCAAATATCAAGTTTTGAAATATGTTAAGTTTATAGATAATTTATCTGAAAGTTAAAAATTTAGACCAATAACACGAATCTATAATTTCAATAATAAAATAATTTCTTCGGTGTAGTATATAACTGCTAGAAAAGCAATGCCAGGGGTCATAAATTTAGAAAGTGATTTCTTTGGATCACACGGGAAATTAAAGAAACAATCCTTATGTCCTAGTTGGAGTATTACGATTGAAGGTCAAAAATATATAGCTAAACTTCAAAAGATGGGTGATCACTGTAGGCAGTTACATGGACTTATTCAAACCGATATTTACGAATTTAATAAGACGTGCAAGTGGAACAATTTGTTTGAATATCGTGTTGTACAAGAACTGTTGTCACAGACATTGCAACTGTTCATATCGGGAAAAAAAAGGATGGTGTGTACGCTGCTTAAATGATATACCACAAGGCAATTTTATTTGTACTAAAGCTGATGGTGATGAATATTTGGCCGATTTGGATTATATTTAAGTCATTGAAAAAATCACAAAAGATTATGAAAATGAAGCAATCCCAGGAAGTTTACTTAAGATTTCTAGTTTTCTTATTTAAATATTAAAATTTAACTTAAAATATATAAATTAGTGTTAAAATATAATAATAAATTTTTTGCTTTTAAAAAAGTTATATTTGTTAAATAGTCCCTTTACATCCTACATAAATATATATCAAAAAATTATTAATTTAAAATGATATTAATCACATACAATTTATAGTTATCTTTGTCTGCAATCAACTAATTCACAATTACACTATTTCTTTTCCTTAAACACTTCTTATATTATGACAGTAATTCCATGTAAGTTCTGTTCTGAGCTTTGGTTGGTTTGTTCGCACGATTACCTTTTTATATACAAATAAAAAAAATAAATAAATTAATAAACCTAATAATATAAGATAATGTTTAATCATAAAATGGTAAATTTTAATATTTATGGAGAATGGGAAGTTTTTGTTAAAATTTGTATTTAGAATATAGTATATAGATACTATACAGAGAAAGAGAGAGACACTAAACAGGACTCCTAAAACCTAGGCACAAAGGTAATAGAAATAATGGGGATGTGATTATGGTGGTCAAATCAAAAAATGCTTAACAATTAACATAATACAATAGCAAAGAATATCATTAAATGAAGGATAAAAGCTATACTCTGGACGCTGAGCACAATTTGTCTGTGCATCCACCAAATGAAAGTGCTCCAGTGTTGATTTCTAATTTCTCCCACCAAGCAGACTGCTAAGAACCATCATTTATGGGAGATGCATGGACTACGACGCGTTTTGTTCATTGCAGACTTGCGCTTTCTCAGTCCTCCCGAGTATAAAAGAACAATAATTGGATACACTATGCAGGTACTATATATTTATTTTAAATATACAATCACAGGAAATCAGAAGAATAAATGTTTATTTTCTTCCTTTTAATCATAGAAAAAATAACATTAATTTTCCTTTTAATAATTTCTAATATAGCCATTTATTGAATATATTATTTTAAAAATTGTATTGTATCATGCATTCATATTTGAATAGATAATTAGTAATATAGAAAAGAGGATAAATTTGCAATTTTTTTTTTATAATAAATACATCAAATGTTAAAATTATTGTTTTCATAGATGACCTATCTGTAGAGTTTATTTTTCTGAAAATGTAAATATAACACACATTTATATCTAGTTTCTAATAGCCGTTATAAATTCTACTAATCCGTGTGAAAACCAACTGTATCGCATAATACAGTTTATTTCCCTAGTTAGTTTAAAATTTTTTACTAAAAAAAAAAAAAGAAAAAATAAAAATATAAATATTTGAAATCGCTATAAAATATCATTTTTTAATTTAATGGAATATATAAGATTTACATTATTTGCAATACTACCAATAACATATTATATATTTATAGATATAGTTAATTGGACACGTGTGAGACATAGCAAGATTACAGTAGTTGGAACATAAATTGCGGAATTTAAGCTGAAATTAGTGCTTAACACACTTAACAAAATTTAAAGAGAAATTTCCTAGGCAAGTATTTTTTTTTTTTTAAAAATTGCAATAACAATTTTGCAATGTGACCTGTTAGTTTGACAGACGTATTCTGAAAAATTAAAATTATGTACAAATACTAAAAACACAAATATATTCATTAAAAGGTTAATTGTTAAATTTTAAAGTAAATATTTTTAAGGTTATCCAGTAGGTTTTTTCTTTTCTAAAATATTGTTAAACAAGAAAAGTTATATATATAAATAAGCAAAACCTAAATAGTTGATTTTGTTGTTTGATATTATAGAAAAAGAAACTCATGAAATTCTTAAAAAAGTACTTTTTAAATTTGTTTATCTGTGTTCAAACTAAACGCCAAAAACTTATTTTCTATGTTGGTATTTTAGTTTTACTCAAAATGTAAATGAGGGTAATATGTCTTCTAAAATTCAGACATACCTTGATATTTGTCATTGCAGAATTCACAAGTCGTTACACTTTCATCAAGTTCATCACGACAAATACTGTTGTATGAAAAAAAAAACTTCTTGGGATTGATTCACTTTCATAATCTTCTATGATATTTTCAACGATTTTAATATAGTTTAAATCGAAAAGTTGCAACTTCTGTGACAAGGTTTGTTGTACAACATAATTCAAACACTAGTTGAGACACTTGCAAGTCTTATAGCGTGCGTAAATGCCTGTTTGGGTTCTTGCCTATAGTAATAACCCATATTTGGAACTTTTCAAGATTGGGTTACATTTTTAACCTTCAATAGTAACCTTCCAACAAGCACATATGGATTCTTTCGAAAAGTTTTCTATGCGATCGCAAGAACCATTTTCTAAATTTATATTGACTTCTGGCATTGCTTGTCTAGCAGTTACTTACTCCATCGAATAGAATATTTTATTATTGACATTATAGACACATATTATTGGTCTAATTTTTTCACCTGCAGATAAATTATCTATAAACTTCACATATTTCAACAATTGATTTTTGGCCAGCGTTTTCATCCACTAAGAGAATTCAAATTGAACTTGTACGAAGACGATAGTCTTAGACCACTATCGTCTTCATACGAGTTCAGTTTAATTTGTTTCGAGTGAAAATTTGATGGAAATTCAGTTTTTAAAAGACTTTAGTTCTTTATGTCGTTTAACGTCGAGATGTTTTACACATTTTTGAACACACCTTGAACAAACCTAAAATAAATAATTTATAAATAATTACTTGTGCTTACAATTACATTGGATTGACAATGTTTAAGACTTAAATTAGGCTGTGTGCGAGTTAAAGGGAATAAATATATTTTGGATATTTTGTTTTTATTGTTGCACCATCTAAAAGAAAACGATTTTTATCAAACTTGATATTAAAATTCTTATTCATAAAAAAAAAAAAAAATACTATTTTTTTGTCTGATCACCAAGTATGACTTCTCATAAACCTGTTCAATTTTTAAGCATTTCTGTTTAGTCTAACAATTTTGTAATTATTTTTAAGTTTTTACTTTTGTCCATTTTTGACTACTCAAGTTTGTACGGCTTATAATAAACCTGGAAATTTTCAAGTATTCTAACAATGTTATCTGCAGAAAACCTATCAGAGTACTACCAAAATTAGTAGTATAGTTGCGCAGCTATGCCTATATGGATATCACTGTTTTAGGTGAACAGTTAGGAAGATAGAATATGTAGAGTAATTTAGTTTTCGTACTGTATGTAACAGAAAAATTATTTAAAACGAAAGAACGATTTTGAGTAGATTAGTATTTGGAGTATAATTCATAAATAAGCAAAAATAAAGTCAATGAATCGTCATTTGTTATTAATTTTTACATATTATAGAAAAATTGTTGGGAATCTAAAATCTTGTTATATATCAATTTTTTAGATTCTGAGTATAGATGTTAATGTATACTGTATATGTTACATAATGTTACTGTAGAAAGATGTTTAATTTTTTTTTTTTATGTGAATACTCTAATGTACTTTTTAGGTCATTTTTCGATTTTTCCAAGAGTTTTTCCAGAAAATTAGAAAAAAATATGGAAAAACTGAAAAAATCAGTAAAATATTCAACAAATAGAATTAAAAAAAATTATAATGACTACTTTATTATTTTACCATAATATGACATATTTATTGTTGACAGTGTATCACTATCAACTAAACTCTGCTCAGAATCGTTTTTAGGAGACAATGGTTTATTATTGCTTACAGATATAAATTAATTTCCCCTCTATATCCTATCTTCCTAACTTCTTACCAACAACAGTGATTTTGCACCTATCATACGAAATATGTCAGTCTTTTTTACTTTGTTTATAAAGTAAAAATAATATAATTTGTTCAATCACCTCCTTGTTCTGTTTGTAGCGTACATCATATAAATTGAACACAAAAAATTCAAATGCTTGCAGCAAGCACTGATTGCACAATTTATATTTAGACATTGGGTATGATCTGAATTGACTTCTGTGATTTTCATTGAATTGTCTAACGAAGCCATTATGTACCCCTAACGTGAATACTTGTTTTCTGAAAATAAAACATGCATAAATTAATCTTAGCTTTTTTTTTTTTTTTTTTTAAATAATAGACTACAGAACTAGGGATGGGAGGCGTTAGCATTCTTCTTTCAGCTCTGCCTTCCCACCCATTAAAGGACAAGGAAATATTTATTAGGCAGGTACACGACGTGTTGCCAACGAGTAGCCTTGTCCTCTTCTTTTCTTGGCATTATGGACAGTTTAATTTCAACTTAAAGTAGTGTGCAGTAACTAAGAATAAATTAAAATATTTTCAATTATGACTTAGTTTTAAAAACATGGACCCGGTAAATTAATGTAAATTTTTTAAATATTTGATGTATGGTAAATAATTTTACCGGTTTAAAATCAAGTGGATTTTATGGTTTTTATGTGTGTGACCAATCAATAATGATTAGTTTTATATTATTGACATATAGAATATGATAAACTAAGAAAAAAAATTTAGTTCAAGTCCTAATTGTACAAGATCTAATCAAACATTGGTATTCAAATATTAAATATATTGTTATTAATGATTATTATAAAATTCAATTTTAATATTAACCACATCATGAAATTATTAATAGTTTTTCATTTTAAGTCAAAAAATTTAAATACATGAAAGAATATTTAGAAAAATTAATAAAATCAAACTTGATGTTTACAAAACATTGGTTTCAATAAAAGTTGATTGTGTTACACAACTCAATTAATCCATCTGCATTAATGCGAATGTGCAGTATATTAAAGATAATCAAAGTTATAAGAAATTAATGAATTAAATGAAAAGCATACATCCGAGTACTTAAAACAAGTGGAAATGAAATATTCTTGCTGATTATTGTTTTGTTGCATGTAATTACTGGAAGGAAAATTTGAAAAAAGCTATTATTGATATTGTTAATTGATGGGGCCATAGATATATATAATAGATATAATTTTATCCAAATACTATCTACTTAATGTCATACGGCATGGAAGTCCATTTTGAACAATTATTATTAAGATACCTATCGCTTCGCATGACACGAAATTAATTATAATTATTACATTAGTATTTTATTATTTTTATGATGATGTTTTGTTACTTACAGCTTTTAATTTTAATACTATTAATAGTATTACTCTCCGAATCTGAGAGCGACCTTCAGAGTATAGCAGAATCTCTCATGGATGAAAGCAAAAAAATGGGCTTAACTATAAATGAAGAAAAAACAAAGTACATGATACTGTCACGGAAAAATAATAGACATAATAACTTGATAGTAAGAAATATGGAGTTTGAGCTGGTCGGAAATTTCAACTATCTAGGGGTGGAACTAAGCGTGTCGGGCAATAACCACNGCGTGTGAAACCTGGGCCACGACCAAAACCTAGCAAGATTTGAAAGAATGGTGTTACGGCAAATTTTTGGCCCCAGAAGAAACCAAAACACGGGAGACTATGAGCAAAGGAAGAATGAAGAGGTAATAAACATGTTAGAGGATTCAGACATAATAGCTACTATGAAAAGCAAAAGGATAAGCTGGGCAGGGCATATATGGTGAGGCCGAGAGCAGACAATTGGCCAAGTCATCTACTGGAAGCCGAAGAGCAAAAGACCACTCGGCCGCCTACAAGACAAAGATGGGTAGATAGGGTCCATAGAGACTTGGATATGCTGGGAATTTTGAACAGCGAAGAACTAGTCACGGATAGAGACAGATGGAGGGAAGTAGTGGATGCGGCGAAGGACCTGAAGGGTCTATTTTAAGCAAAAAAAAAAAAAAATATATATTAATTTCCTCAAATTTGTTTAAATATTTTTGGTTTTAAAAAATTAAGATAATTTATCAGTTTTATTTTATTAATCTAAAAAAAAAAAAATTGGACTTTTTATATTTTTGAATTTTAAATACTTGTTTTTAGATATTTTAGATCATTTGATCAATATTACTAAAAAGTGTACGCAATAATTTCATGTTTTGATGCAAACCTAAACTAGATTAAAATTGTCTAATAATAGAATCAATATTTAATCTTTTAAATTATATAGATAAAGCATGAATTCAAACTTAACTTAAACAACTTGAAAAACAATTAAAAAATGAAAAAACTTTTGGCGAGCGCAAAATAATTGAGACTGATGACAATTGTGTAACATTATCAGAATCATTTTCTCGATCACAATATGTAAGTCAAGGTAAAATAAAAATTTTAATTGAATTGTTTTTATTTTATGGATATAATCTATATAATTTGATAGTATAGTTACTATTTGCAGATTATATAACTAATTTTATATGATTATTATTATACAATATGCAGAAATAGGTATATGCATAGTTAATTTTTTTTTTTTCAGAAAAGTTAGATTCTATAATTACCGAGTTTGTAGTCCTGGGTAACCAAACATTTTCAACTGTTGAAGAAGAAAAATTTAGATACTTTACTAGTAAAAGGGTCTAACAAGAAAACCGTTGATGGCAGGGTTTGGAATTTTTTTTTTTGTTTTAAACATGCTTAAAACAAGAAAAAGTTATTATAATTGACTTTGACAGGACAATGGAAAATTGCAAATTGAAAAAAAATAAGTATTAGGTTAGGTTAGAATGGGTTGCGTAATATTTTCATACTTAATACTCAAGTTAATAATGTATGGTACTGGTTTAACTTATTGTTAAAAATTGTAATATTGATTGTTATTTGTTACTTATGAACCTATTTATAATCTTGTTAATACTTTAGGGAATTAAAGTAAACTGAAATAACAAAATTGTATTATAATATTTCAAAAATGAATTAATCAATGTTAGTTGAGTTTTTTTTAAAACCAATTAAACCAAGGTACTGATAATACAAAACAGTCGATAATGTGATTATTAATTTACTTAAAAATATATCTACAAAAAAAAATAAAATAAAAAACAAATAATGTCTAATGATCTTAAATATGATTGTGCCACTCTTGATTTTTGGTTTGTCTACAAAAAATAAGATTTTATTTACGTGATCAAATATCAATTATAATTATTTATGCTTAGTAAATGTACAAGCATATCTTTTGAAATGATTGTTTATAAATGCTGACAGTTTTTTTTATTTTATTAAGAGGAGTTATATTAGTCACAGTTCATTGATTTGACTCTGTATGGTTAGGTTAGGTTAGGTTAACCTCCTAACTCTGACTAAGTATTGAACGAAAGTTTGCAGCTTTTGCTTATGAGACTAATTTTAGAGATGGGTGTTAGATATTTGAAAAATCTACAAAGAGATCACTGCAATACATTTTAAATCTGAAGGGTATTACATTATTAATTTAAAAGCACAAGACATAATTATTGATAATCACTACTGCCATCGTACAAATTGATTTCACCCGACACCATTATTGTTTTTACTGCATATAATCTCTATCCAACATTCTGCGATACTCAAACTGACACATGATCATTTTCATGTTCTCTCTTACAGTTTGGGGACACGAGGTACAATATTAAAACTGACTGTATTCTAAATTACAATGGCCTATCTACTTCTTTATTATCTATACATTTTCCAAAACCATGATCGCCATGACTTACTATTTAAACGTATCACGAAGCTCGATGTACCACTACAGTTATTAATTAGTTGAATTACCTAAGCTATATGGTATTTTTCCGACTCCACCCTTTGGAACAAAAATTAATAAAAAATAAATTCGATGTAACGTTGCCTCGTCATTTCCGAAACATCATGAAACATAATTAAAGATTAGATTTAAAAACTGCACAAAACAATTTAGAATGAACGGCAGTGGTTCAATGGTATCGCAATTAGTGCATGAACCGTTTAAAATTCACGGTAATTAAAAGCCTACTTTGGACGTTGAAAATGATACCTACATGGAAAGTATCGACAAAAAAATTCAAAAAATTTAAAATTTAACCAAACTTAATAATATGGGTTATTATCATCATAATATTTTAATATTTAGACATACTTACATAAATTGTGTTTACATCCAACTTCCAAGACGTAATTCGCCGCGGTCATAAAGAAAACGATGTTATGGCGGTTTTCCACTAAACGTACAATTGAGTCTATGTTGTGTTTGTATTTCCTGAAATCTGATAAACGATACAGCGAAAAGTAACAGTTTTGTTTTATTCGACACGAGTTTGTATTTTGTTTCAGTTTTGTCCGTTTAGTGGAAAACCGCCATGAAGCAACAGGTCAGAAAGAACCCGGTGACCAAAAAATGGCTGAAATGATGAATGGCGTCGACGTGGCATAGCTTGACAAACGCTAACCTAACATGACTACAGACACAAACATTTGCGCAAGTGGTGCCAACTATGTAACTATTCTATGGAATGAAATAATGGCCTTGGCCTTGGCCTTCGAGTTAATAAAATTTTAAAGGTTATTAAAACAATTACATTAGCAGGAAATTCCGAATGTATAACCGGTGAACATTCCTTCTCTAAACCGTAACCGATTAGACGGTTTAGATTAACGATTAGAGAAATTTCGTATGGTAATCGGTGACACTGTTGGCCGTAAACGTTCACGGTTTTCGTAACCATATCGCTAGTATGGTAAGACCGTTCATTCCCCCATTACAACAACTTGTTGTTGGGAATAATGTTACCCCCTACATAAATTACAATATTTGAATTCTAGGCGGGAATAATAGTATTTATTTTGTTAATTTTATTTCTTGTGTTTAACGAAATAATATCATGAAACATGAGTAGTTTTTTTTCAATTCATCGTAGTTGAAGAGCAAACTTAAACGTCACATAAATGCTGTCGGTTCTGTAGTCAGTGAGTGTAATAAACTGGTATAAGCCATATTCTAATAACTAATAATATAGGTATAGGTAGGCAATACCTATATTATTATTTAGGTAGGTAGGTAGGTATAATAAATTTATTCATTGACTAAGGGCTTCTTCACACGTAGCCACTCAACAGCGCTTCTTTTAGACGCCGCGTTCTGCGTCAAACGAAACTACCGTCACCGTCTGTAGCGATTCCAATCTGTGTCTGCGGTCGTGTATGTAACCATCGATTTATCCTTGTATTTTTCAATCAGCAGCGCGTTTAAGAAGTGGGCTACGTGTGAAGGGGCTATAAGAATGGTCCTAATTATTAATAAACGTTCAAAATATATTCTTTAAAATAACCTAGGTATCTACTAATTCTTAACTTACTATGTTTAGTTTTTTTTTAATAATGTTTATGTATGATATTAGTTTTATTAATATCTAAAAATATTCACAATTTAATTACAGGCCCCTTATCCTGGACAAACATTAATAATAACAAGAATTGAAAAAAAAATAAAAAGATTTCTTAGCATAATGGGGACGGGAACAGCCACTGTTATAGGTAATTCAATGCACACCGAAATGCTTACGGAAAAACGATTCTGAGCGGAGTTCAGTTGATAGTGATGCTATGTCACATAATATAGTAAAATAAATAAATAGGCTTCATATATTTTCTTAAATAATATTTATTTAATGTTGTACCGATATTCTTGGTTTTCTTATGTTTTTCCTAGTTTTCCCAATTTTTTTTTTCAGTTTTTCACATAACTCCGGAGAAAATCTAAAAACGACTGCTTTCAAATATCTTCTCACATTGATTTCGTGTTACACGTAAAAATCGGAGCAAGTCCTCTGGTGGAAAAGTTATTCACAGAAAAAAAAAAAGGTAAAAGAACAAACATCTTTGTAAAACCATAAGCTTCTTTGCTCTACTCAGAATCTAAAATCTACACTTATGACAAGAAATTTTTAATTTGATAAGAGCAAAAACAAAGTAAGGGATATGGACCGTGGTGAGGGATCACCAGACACCGGTAAAAAAATCCGAATTTCTTGGAGGAACTTATTCATTTTTCATAATTTTAATTTTCCAACATTGTCCGACGTCTAATTCTAACAACTCTAATCGTCGTTTTTTTGGTTTAATGTATTCATTTTTTTTTGTGTTTAGCTAATCCAACGTTTTGCTGTTTTTACTACTTTGATAAAGATTGCTATAGTTTTGGGGACAAAGATACTAAAACATGATACTATTTCAACGTTATGTTTACCAGATTGTGAGTAGGTAGTTAATTATCATGAGACTATAAACTATAGTCGACTGTACTTTATCGACGTCACCGTATTGGTAACGAGCCCGTAAATATATACCACAATTCCGGCGGGTTTTTTTTTACCAGTGCGGTGATGCTTCATTCGAGTGTTTCGTGCATTTATTCGAGTATGGTTCACAGAATGACTAATTGATGTTTGTAAATTGTTTAATTAATTGTTTAATGTATAAATATTTATCTAATCATGGTTAACAGTGTATACAGTGGCATGGCTAACTCAAAATTTTTGAGGCAAATGTTTTGATGGAAAACCCACCCCAATTATTACCAAGGGCGCCCACACGGGGAGCAAGATGGACCATTGTGACCATATTTATGTTAAATGTTTGTGTTCTAAGTTGCATTATCAGTTCATCTAATAAAGAGCAAATTACACTGTGGCGGGTTTCGCGCCACATTTCTTCTGCCCGCTGTGCGTCACTCGCGGCGGACGTCGGACACTCCCCTCGCCGTCGGCGTTCAAGAGTCATCGGCCACAGTTCCGCTCGACTCGACGTCTCGACCGCTCCGCTCGCAGTCTTCGCACCGGCGCCGCTCGCGAAACATTGTTTTCCGACTCCGAACCATCATTATGTATAATTGATTTTTACCACTAATGTTGTTCTAATAAATGCGTGCTCGCCTGTTCTCGCGCCACAATCAGTCAACTGACGAGCACTTGTTTAATGTTGTTATGTGGTAAATAAACGTTTCTTTATTACTTTATCATTAAACCTCGTGTTTTGGTGTAACCCGCCAAAACACTTATTGTTTTACCATCAACAACGTATTTAGTTATCAGTATAATAACACAGCTAACCTAAAATATGATAACAAAGACGTTTTACATTTAAACTGATAAAATACCCAGCTACCCAAGATATCTTGATATCTTCTAAAGTTATTTACTAATTATTAGGTACTTGAAATTTAATAAATAAATAATAAATCAAACATGGCGGAAAAAGGAACTGATACCGAAGAATCACAAATTCTTGAACACATGCGAAATTTCATAAGAGATTTGATTTTGGTAAAACTTGAAATAAGTGTAATCATTTGAATCAGTTAAGTAATATATGTAAATTTAAATTGGGCACATACAGCAAAGTAAAGCAAGTTAATAATTATATTTATTAATTTTTGTAGATTATTTATTTTATTTAATGGTTTATTATGATTTATTACTATAATTAAAATTGTTTAATCTTTAATCTTCAACAATAAAATTATAAATACAAATTGTAAACCTTAATTAATTTTATCAATAAAAAATGTTAATAAATTTATATGTTTAAATTCGCAGAGATATTTTTTTAAAATATAAACTTATAAATTACTTTACTAATTAACTATACTAGTTATATTGTCATTTTTTCTGAATTTTTTTGTCTCATCATAATGATATTGGAAATGTATATTTTATTTTTGGTGTATGATCTGAAATAACAGTTTATTATTCATTTACAGACCAAGAAAAAAACCAAAAAATCAGCCAAAGGAATTTTGATGCCTATCATTTATGATTTGAGAAATCAAGGTAAAACGGATTGTAAATGTGGCAGATATAGATTTATCAGTTGTTCCGTTGATATGAATGTCAAAATTAAAATGAAATAGCTGACATTTATAAGTTTAAATCACAATGAATTGCTGAAGAAAGAAGTTATTCATCTGCGTCATAACTTGCGTGTAGATGAAAATACAAAAAAATGTCTGTGGTAGAAATAGTTTAAATTTCTAGATATTTTAATCAATCAATTGTCGCACAAGAAACGCTAGGCAGGATAGCTAGTTAATAAATATAATTTTTTAAAAAAAAAAAAAAATTTGTAACATAAATAAAAATAAATAATACATTTTTACAAGCTTAAAAAAAATTAAAATCTTTCAGTGCTTTTTATATATAATAATAAATAAACAACTGTACATTCAAATTTCTAGCTTATTTTCAAAATGACATAAATTTAACATAGTTCTAAAAAAAATCCTCAAAATTAAAGTCTTAATACCTGATCGCACAAAGAACGTTCTATAAAGATTTTTACAATACTATATATACAATAAATTAAATATTGTATTGATTTACACTTAATTAATGTTTTTATAAAAATCATATTTTTGTAAATTTTAATCTTGAAATCGAGGTATTTATATTTATGCCATTCTAAATATACTTAGCATTATATCTTCTAGAAACCATGATTTATTAACTAAAAATCGACGACCAATGTATTCATGATTAGGATATTTATTTAAATAGAAAAATAATCACAATTAATTTACTATTAATCCAATTCTATTTAAATGAATAAATAAATACTTAGGTAACACATTTACATCTTGAAATAATAAAAATTATGAAACAAACTTTAAAAATAAATTCTTGATATTTAGATATGAATTATAAAAAGCATTCCTATCAATTAGGCTTCAGCTTGCCCTTATTTAAACACTTATTATTTATAAATTTAAAGATAATTATTTAAATTTTTTAAGTGTTTTTACGTTAGTGTAAAATTGTTATTTAAACATTTATTTAGAAATACAAAATTTTTAAAAATCCTTTTATTATGAACCATATATAAAATGCACATAAATATTTTTTATTGAAAACAATAATTATTTTTTAGTTTCTAATTTGTATGTATCAGCCTACTTTTAATTAAAAAAACGTGTGCTTTATACCTGGTCGCTCGAATCTTATAGCGTTTGGTTATTATTGTAGGATATAGATTTAAACCGTAGACTAGTATATGAAACTGGAATATCCATTTTTTACCATGTTTTATTAATTTTTTCAGTGCCGGGATATATTTGACGGGACGGCTATAGATGTTTGAAAGTCTAATATTGTGTGGATATTTTAACTTTCTCTATGTCATATCAAATGACTTAATATTGTTATCATTATTGTTTGTCTGTTATAGTTTAGTATCCATATGTTAACACGAGTTTCGAAAAAAAAAAATGCATTTTGGGTGTACCTAGAGGCCTGTACCAATGCTTACTTGGACTATTTTAATATATACATTTTTTTTCAGAAATCTTGCTCTGATGTTCTCATTGTAGCTCTTTTTTTGAAATGGGTTTTGTTTTATTTTGCTTCAATAAAAATGTTTGAACAGGCTTGAAGTTTGGAAAAATATTTTTGTAGGTTCTCTGTTCATTAAATTGTTAGACTAACAGAAATGCATACATAAATTTTAATTATAAGTCGTTCTTTATGTTAAAAAATATTTTGAGTACAACGTAGAATTTTTTTTAAGAATGTGCATATCATAGATTAACGAAAATTAAAAATTGTAAAAATTATGAAGGTATTTTTTGATGTATGACTATTTTTTAATTCATCCATTTCCAAGTGGCTGTTATGCATATGTAATTTTTTACCGTAGTATGAAAAATATTGTTGACAGAGCAAAATTTTTAAATGAACTCCACTCAGAATCGCTTTTAGTTAGGAATAGTTAATTGTTGCGTACTGATATACATTAAATTACCCCTTCCCAACTTCTCACCTATAATAGTAGTACCCATCGTGCGAAGTATGACAGTCTTTTTAGATCTGAATGGAGCGAAGAAGCTTATGACTTTACAAAGATGTTTATTTTTTTTATCTGTGCGTAAATTTTATATCAGAAATATTGTTTCGATTTTTGAGTGTAAAACTTTTTCTGAAAGGAAATCGTTGTTTTTTATGATTTTCTCTGGAGTTTTCTCATTAAATTTGTAAAACTGAAAAAAGGCGGAAAAACAGGAAAATATAAGAAATGTGTTTATTTTTTAAAATAAATTACGGCATTCTTTTTTCTTGTGATCAACTTTTCTATCAGCAATTTTGCTCTAATTTATATTGACAGTAAAGTTTCTAAAAGCTTATAAAATAATATTAATAAGAGGAAATACGTCTGCGGTGGTACTTTAAAGAGGTAATTTTTCAATTTTCTCAGGTGTTTTAGCAGTATACATGAAAAACCGGGAAAAATATGGGAAAACCGTGAAAAAATAGAACAACTGGGAAAATTGGTACAGTATTAAATAAATATTGTTAATGAAAAGATATAAAGTCTATTTAATTATTTTACTATAATATGGTGTATATATTGTTGACAAAGCATCACTATCAACTGAACTCTGCTTAGAACCTTTTTTTTTGTAAGCAATGGCTTATCGTTGCTTACAGTTCTACATTAAATTACTTGTAACAACGGCTGCAGCCATTCCCATTATCCTAGGATTTCTTTTTTTTTTTTTTTTAATATGGTTTTAGTAGAATGGAAAATATCAGATGATTAGATGAAGAGTTTTGTAATACTTTTTTTTTGGAAGGAAGGGGTTGTTAAAACAGCATAAAAATCATTGAGGAATACAATTAATGAGTCATTATATGGAGATATGGGAATAAATTATATAAAAGAAAATTGGAAGTAATCAATCAATATTTTTTAGAACTAGTTAAGTTTTGTTAGAAAATTGGACAATGGAACTGTTTTTTTTATGTGAGATAGACTGCAGATAAGTTTAAAGAAGAAGAAACATCTATGTATATTTTTTATAGATTTAGAGAATGCGATGACAGTGTGCCAAGTAATGTAAACAGTAGCGTAATAGGAGAGGTTAAGAATTATAAATCAGTAGGATCTTTTATACAAAAAAAACAATGACTTTAACGAGGATGTGAGACATAGGATTAAGTGTGATTAGAAAATGTGTAAAGAAACGTCAGGTGTTTTATGTAACGAAAGGATTCCATTGAGGCTTAAAGGTAAGTTTTTAAAGGATTTATAAATCCATTCAACGCCAGTTTTTGTATTTTAAATTACTTAAAATATATTTTACTTATAATACCATTTAATATTATATTATTAATAAATAAGTACTTTTATTTTTTTGTAACAGTTTATGGATCGTCATCTACACAATGTAAACGACCAGAGTTTTCGTATTTCAACAATATTTTTTATAAGTGTACACAATATTACATAATTTTATAAAAGAATGATATTAATAACAAATATATTTGGGCATAGAAAAAAAAAAACAATAATTGAACGTTCACAAGCAACCAGTTTTATGTCCAAATGTCAAGTTGCTTTCACAACAATACACATTGTAGGTTCACTCCAATGAATAAATTATTGACTACAATTTATACAATTTTTTTTTTTTTTTTTTTTGAATTTTCAACAATTCTTAGGAACTAAAATTATATGATTTGTTACGCTTTTTTTTTTCATTTCACGACTGCAGCAGTTAAGCTTTATATATTATATATATGGACGGTATTTACACACTTGATAAATATTATTAAGGGGTGGAGGAAACATATATACGTGCGGACGTACCTGACGCGGTCGTCGAGTACGTACCTTCCGCCCTTCATACGCCTTGATCACAAACGGCGTGGAGAAAAATTTTTTTTTTAGAAAAACAAGCAAAACAGACTTTCTATTTTCATGTAAAATGGGAGATTTTATCTAATGTCTTCTTTGGATATGTCTGTGTCTTCTTCGACGGTCGGGCTGTCGTCTGTCATGGCTGGCACGATCCTCGTCTCCATATTAATTCGCCCGTTTGGTTGGTCCTCAGACTCCTGATGATCGTCGTAAGTTAATGGTATGAATCTCTTCGGGCCGTCGTCTTGTTGGACGTTGACTACCTGTTCAGATGTATTATTGTTGTTGAACAAAAACCTGAAAACAAGACGAGTTCAAATTAAACATTGGCACAAGAAAGTGAGCACACGACACTTGTTTGCCTTCTTGATTTCTGGCTTAGTCACTGGATAGACCTGCTGATAAATGGATTGTAGTTTCTACCCTTCTAATTTTTCATTTTAGCTAACAAACATCCAAGGCCGTAGAGGGGAAAGAGAGACATTACCCTCTAGACCAGTAGTTCTTAATCTTTTTCATTTCAGCGCCTCTTTACGAGATAACTGACTGCTAACACCCCCTCACGAAAACTAGAGGTTTACCTCGGTGTTTTGATGATGCTTTTGTTTTTTTTTTATTTTGATATTTGGTCTTTATACAGAGTTTTATATTATTGGAATCTTAGCCAAAACTAAATGAAAACTCTATATCCGGCCCTGTACACTAATTTGATTTCACGCGCGATAACGTTTTACTGAACGCTGGTGCTTTTTATTTTTTATATTTTATTAAAAAGCTCATTCCCTCAATGCTCATTTAAAACCTACCGCTCCCTCGAGAGACTAAAATTCCCCCTAAGGGGCGGTACCGCCCACGTTAAGAACCACTACCCTAGACATAACCATTGATCCACTATGGTACAGGTTCCCCCGAATATCAACATTATTCTCTGGAATGTTCACTGCGGCTAAAAACAGTTAAATATTTTCAACTAATAAATATTTGAACTACTGTATGTATTCTAAAATATTATTTTGACTATATTGTTGCATACTATTGTAACGCGTATAATTTCGAATAGATAAAACGACTAGGTAAGGCTAAATCATAAGTCTGTCCGTGAACGTAAAACAGATAAGGGAATAACCAAATAAAATTATTACACCTAATACCTATGTTTTATATAGTAAATTCTTCTTCTTCAGCTTTTTATAGAACATACTGCTTTTATTTTTCCTTCTCTCTTGGCAGTTTTTTCTGCATTACTTACTCCCAATATCCTCAGATCTTTCTTTATTCTGTTTGTCCATTTTTGTTTAAATCGTCTTCTGGGTCTCTTTGTGTTTGGTTTCTATGCTATTATTTGTCAAATTAATCCTTCTAGTCTCCATACATGCCCCACCCAACTTATTTGAGTATTTTTCAAGATTCCAACAGTGTTAGGTTTGTTTTATATTTTTTCTAAATTTATGTTGATTCTTATTTGATATTCTCCTTCATTGTTTCTTTTTGGGGTGAATATTTTCCTCAATATCTTTCTCTGAAACACTTCTAACTCTTTTTCATCTAATATTAAATGACTTAATGTATTACTTTCCCAATTTCTTATCTATAACATTAATGTACCCATCAGCAGTACAAACTCTGTTAAATTTGTTATTAAGTTGTTAGTTTAGTCTTTTAAATTAGGTGTTTTTTTTAAAAAATTTTTCTCAGTTTTAGTTTACCCATATTATAATGAATTCTTGGGTATTCAAATTAAAGTCACAAATCAAAATATTAAATCAAATAAAATGTTTTTTTTTCAATTTTTCTGACGCTTTTCTTAAAATACTAACAGTAGTAGTAGTAGTAGTAAAATAATAGTAGATGCGTGTGTAGAGTCCGCTCAAGAGGACATGCTACCCAAAACTGTACGTGGGATAGCGTTGTGCGCCATGCTACCGCTGCGTTAGGTGGCCAAGGCTACACCTATTACTAAGCTGTTGCGGCGACGGGTCCGCCGTGTTTTTGATTTCCCGCGTGTGTGGAATTGCGTTAATATTTTATCTCATTTATACTGTCGCGTTGTGAAAATCAGGTCATTATAAGTCAGGCTACGCTCCACAATAATTGTAACGGGCATGCGTACCTAATAACTATTTAAAATTACTAATTACTTTTATATAAGTCAATAAATAGATTATAAAATACATGTTCTAATAGAGCTTAAACAATTTTAATAACATTTTTACTTTCGAGTTTAGAATATTTCACGAGAAATGAACCTCAAAATATTAAATTTGACGATTTTACCTACATAATCTTTTATATCAGAAACGTAAACTGCATAATAATTAATAATTTTCGTGATTTTTATAAATTTGTCAAAATGTTGACACTTTATACTTACCTTTTTTTTCTTTTACTAGTTAAAATAAATTATAATGTACCAAAGCTATTTTCATAAAATATGTATTATATGCAAAAAAATGTATTGACATAAATCGAAAAAATATTATTTGGAATATGTGTGCTTTCCTGAAATCAACCAACCTAGAAATCGCTCCGATTTTCAAGTGTAGCACCTTTTCTGAAAGAAAATTTTAATGGGATGGTACTTTAAAATGCCATTACTTTTTTCAGGGGTTTTCAAATATAACAGGTAAAAACCGTAGAAAAAATGAGAAAATTTACGAAACGTATTATTTTCAAATCGTAAATATAATGGCCTTTCATAATATGCTTGACCGAACTCCGTTCAGAATCGTTTTTCGTTAGTAATAATTAATTACTGTGGATATATATATATTGAATTTCTCCTCTACCTTCTCAATTTCTCACCTACAACAGTGACCCACCCATCGCGCGATGCATGTCCGTTTTTTTTTTCTTATACTTATTTCATATAAGTTTTAATTTATTAAAATTGATTAGTTTGTATTATTTATTAAGTGGGAGGGAGTAAGTGTCTATGCTATCATATCTCTCCGCAGGTCCGCAGGTGAGCCAGTAGCAAAAGAATCAAGAATCGTCATGGTATACAGGGATTACCGGTTACTGGTTTATAATTCAGTGTACTGACCTTGGGAATTGTTTTAGGGCACGTTGTGTTCGCTCCTTGGTCGGCCACATGAACGGCGAGAACGCCATCCGGGCGTACCGCTCAGCTTGTTCAATCATATTCATGAGTTTTTGCGGTAACAAGTGAACAATAAAAGATCTCTCAGCGGTGGTGGACCCGGACGACTCAGCACTATCGTTAGTTTGCTGTAGTGGCGTCGACTGCAACGATGATGTACTGTTTACTGATGTGGCACTTCCGTCTGGCATTCGATACATCCGGAACCGGCTCTTGGGCCTCAACACTGGTTCGTTAATCTCTGCGGCCGTTCCGTTTCCGGTTTTTCCAGCTACCTGCTGCACTTGCAACTCGTCATATGGGAACTGATCGTCTTCTACGTCCGAAGTCGATGACTGAGGTAGTGGCGTCACCATTACCAACTGTGTCGTACCCGAAGCTTCTGGCCCTGCCACCGCCGCCGGGTAGTCTGACGGACCAGAGACGACGGTCGGTGCCATAGTGGAGGACGTTTTGTTGCTAGTGCGACTTACGCCATTGGTGAATCCGCGTCCCGACTGTTCACGCCTGTCTAATGACGGGTCTAGGCTGTTGCCAGTCGGTTCTGTCTCCGCGATGTCTACCAGTGGCATCCACGGTACGTTCATGTACTCCTTGATGCCCACTCCAAGCGTAGCACTCAGTTCAGCGGGTAGGCCTGTCTCTGCCGACGATGGTGACAGGTCACCTGGTCTAGACGATGACGAAGACGGGTCACTATCGGCTATCGAATCGTTTATGTACTGCTGACCGTATTCCGGTTGACCGTTACCATGGTCCGTCTTATCCCTGATATCACCCGCATTCTATGTACAAATCACAATAATGTATACATATAAATACGGTATTACCTATTACAGTTAAAATCCAATATTGACTGTGATCCTGACCTCCTCCCCTCTCCCCTTTGGTAATTGATTTTATATGGTTTTTGCACGTACAGATTGAGGGGATGGTGGTAGAGGTTCAACCGCTTTTCGAAAATGTATGATACATTATATAATGTTAAACCCCTCTACGAAATATTCCTTCAGCAGGAAATAGAATATTGAACAGAAATATGGGCATAACTGTTAAGACACGTTATTAGAAATATTATCATTTGCTTACGTTGATTGGCTGTAGCATCAGTTCAGGCAGGTTGCAGTCGCCGGGATACAGTGGTAACACGACGGGTACTTCGGACTGCATGACCAGACCCCGCTGACAGACAGATTGACTAAAACGCAATGCCAAAAAACCGGTTTCAAAATCGTCACATTATAGTATGCTAACCCAACCTACATCACAATTGTTATTAATTTATTATATACCTGTTTCCGTAACTGTCAGTCAGTATAAATTTGTCAATACTCCATTTGGACAGCCCGTTGGATAGCCAGCCCTTGTACGCAGTGTAAGTGATTTGCACTCGACTGAACCCCTGAAGGGCCGGATGGGGCACGATAATCTTTTTCATTGTCTCGCCTAACGACAGTGTCGCATCATCTTTACTAAAAAATTTCATCTATCGTATTATTTATTTTTCATTTGGCATATAAGATTAAACGCAACAGAATTAAACTAATTAATAATTATAAAATATCGCAATAAAATTTGATTTGTATGATTTATTTCAGGGAAGGTAACTATAATGATTAAGAGTATAGAAATCAAAATTCTAAACTACAAGGGCACTCATATTTGTATAGAAAAATGCCGGGTTAAACGTATGTCGGGTCAAACGATCAATATAAACAGTTTGGTAACCTATAATATCAAATCAAAAAATCATTGTATAAATAATTTTATTGAATCCATAAAGTCAGGGAACTTTGCGTAAACTTTTTTTTTAAAAAATTTACCGTAATCGTAATTTTATGAGAAAGATAATGCTGATGTAGATAACAAAAGGTCGGAAGACGGTGTTGTACATTTGATATATTTTATATTTTGTTTATCTTTTGTTTTGTCGTGAATCGTAGATAAATAAAAATATGATTTTAAATAATGATACATTTTAATTTTTAATTTAGAGATATTGAACATGTTTGCATAATATAGGAAAAAAAGGGGGGCTCGTATTTTACTAACCCAAGGCCCCAATTTTCTCTTTATGGCCCTAGTGATGAGCATTTTTTTCTGTTCATACGTAAAGTATATACTCACTTAGTTATGGTAAACGTTTCATTTATGTCAAGTTGACCGAAGAGAACGATTTGTAATTTTCCGTAGCTAACCACCGGCAATGCACTGGGAGAATTATAGATTTTCACTATGTATTGATGTGCTAAAATTTTAAAAGAAAAAAAATATATAAAACATAATATTATATTTAATTCGAAAATTAATATTACATAGCCGTTAAACTCTATGTGAATTCTTATGAATTATGCACAGAGTTTATTTAAAAAAAAAAATTAAAAAAATGATTTATGTAAATCTGGTTGGGTGTAACATTTGATAAACTTAAAAAATTACTCCATTTACGCATATTTATTTCATTTTTTAGAAATCTAAATAAATAAATACGGACATACTTCACACAACAGGTGGACCTCTGTTGTAGGTGAGCAGTTAGGAAGGTAGGATATAGAGGTGAATTTAATATATATCGATCTATAGGCAACGATTAATCATTGCTAATGACAAAAGATTCTGAGTGGAGGCCAGTTGTACTCATTTTAAGAGAACGTAATGTTTACGATTTTTGTAAAAATTTGATATTATAATTCTTTAAAAAAAAGGAAAAAAGAATATTACATTAAACTCAATTTTTCGTTGTTGACCACTAACTTACGCACAACTTGTAGTAAATCTCCGGTTATTTTTCAAACATTCATGTTTGGTTTAACAATTTTATCTAAAAAAAACCTTCTACATCAAAATTATGTAAACATTTTAAAAATTAATATGTCTATAAATAGCTCAAAAATGGCTAAATATTTTTGAAAATTTGACCATGTTTAGAACAGGCAATTATAAGTTTTCTGTTACAGTTTAAAATCCCTACAAACTATGAACTGAATTATAATAAAAAATAAAATTGAAAATAATAAAAGCATTATTTTACCTTAAATTTTCTCGTTTATCCTAATTATTATGAAAATTGCTAGGAAAATTAAAAATATCCGTCCTAAAGTACCAATTAGATACAATTCTCTTTTAAAAAAGGTGTTTTAAATACTTGCTACATCGGACCAAGATTTCTAGTAGAATTTTTGTACACAGTATAAAAAATAAATATCTATGTACAACCACTAAACCCTCGTTCCGTTTAGAATCTAAAATTTATCGACGTAAAATAAACCATTTTATAACCCCAATAATATTTTCTTATGTTATATAATATTTACCGCAAAACGGTTCTTCGTCTCTGGTCAACAGGTACATTTTACCATGAGCCGGTGACTTGTCCGAGTGGTAACCCATGTTGCCACACTTGGACTTGTCTTTACACGGGAAACACTCTCCTTCCAAAAATTTTTCGTACGAATCGCACGGTACTGCCGGAAAAGCACACCCTGGTGAAACGCTGTCCGTGAAGAACTTGTACGCCCTTCGGTGATTGCAAAGGCTCCTGCCGTATACTTCCGGTGCCGCTGAAATATTAACGTCATCCAGTCATTATAGCTGCTGTCCGAAAATCTACCTATTTTGTTTACTCCTTTTTCGAGCATATATTTTTTTAAATTTTTTTTTGCTAACTTTTTTTATGCAAATAAGAGATATAGTAAAGGTATTTATTACAAAAGAAAAGCTATATAAAGTATTAGCCAGACCAATGAGGCACGCATGTAAAATTGGGCACCACGGACCATGAACAAAAAAGATGAGAAAAATTACTTATTAAGGAGAGAAAATTCCTTAGGATGATCTATGGACAAAAGAAAAGAAGATAAAACTCAATAATATGAAATTAATTCAAACAAAGAAGTCCGAAAACAATTAGGAAAATTAGTTATAATACCTAAGATTCTACACAAGAGATTTAGTGGGCTTGGTCAAATAATAAGGGTCAAATCGATAGCAAATGGAGTGCTAAACTGAAATCCATAAGAGAAGAGACCGATAAGAAAGTTGGTGGAACAGCCATGGATCGATAAAAGTAAAAAGAAATTATAACTAGGGGTAGACAATTTTAATGAAGTAGCTCAAAATATAGTGGAATGAAGTTAAGTTTATTTTTCAGTCATAAGTCTTAATGGATAAAGAAGAAAAAAAAATCTAGGTGTATTCTATAATAGGACGTTTCAGCATGTGCAGTATTTAAGGGGTCGAGTATAGGCAATTTTAACGACTATTTTGGAAACTAATGCAAATTTAACAACTCGTAAATAATATTTAAATATTTCCTATCAAATAAATTTACAAGTAAAGTTCTACCGTGTTACCGTGTTATACTATCATAAGTATTTGTTATGTAACCATGAAATTTGTACAAAAATACTTAAACATTTAATATTAAAAATATTATGTATACAATTTGTAAGTCTGTATGCATGGCTGTCCACTTAACAATCTACAGTTTTATTCCGATGTAGATGAAACTTTGCACACTTGACATTCAAATCAAGAGAGACGGCTCTGTTTAATTTTTATATCAACATTTATCCCAAAAGGCTAGCATTTGATGTTTGATATATTAATATGAAATCATTTTACTATGATTTTACTATGATGTGTGTCTGTACAAATTTTCTACCAGAAATCTTGTTTGAATCAAACACTTAATAGACATTTTCAAGTCCATTTCGTAAAAAAGTGTATAATATTATTATAATAATTTTAATTCAATTCGAAATTAATGGCATCGTTTGTTTTCACGCATAAAAGAATTCATTATGATTGTAATATTATAACGTCAAACAAGCTGTTTTCGAACCGAGTGAATTTGGAACGATTTTTGAGAAATTCAATTTTTATTATTTTAATATTTTTCTAAACAACCATTGTTGTTATGGAAACGCACATTGTCGAAAAAGAAATTCTGTAGATCGAGCTGTATTAAAATAAAATAAATTTCGATTTCAATATATTCTTTTAACTATTAATCTTTGTATTATACTTCTTTAGTCTTTGTTTAAACATCACTATCAACTGAACTCCGCTCAGAATCATTTTTTCGTACGTAATGGTTTTTCGCTACTTACAGATATACATTAAATTCCCTTCTGTATCCTACCTTCTTAATTTCCCACTTACATCAGTGACTGCGTCCACGTGCGAAGTATGTCCGTTTTTTTGTACATGGTATTTATTTTATTTAGTATGTGAGTATGAAAATTAATGTCTTTATGTAAATACCAATCTATAGAATTATTAATTAATTATACCAATTATTATAGCAAGTAAATGACTAAATATTAAAAATTACCGATTATAATTTTTTTTCCTAGAAAAGTGTTGTTCAATCGTTGTTTAGGTAATGTTATTTTATATATTATATTGGAAACAATATAATTATACCTAGTGTTTATTTATATACCTACACAAATAATCAGTTAAACCTACTACTGGCCGCCGCCCCCACGTCATCGATATCGTAAATATTTATTATTGTTGAGAGCAAAAATAATTTTGTAGAATATTACTGCGCTATCTCACGGGAGCCCGCATAACTATAATTTTAGTCGTCAGGTATCTCTATACCACGGGCTGTTTGTCTATTCTATAATCAACGATATTACGTAGGTATTTCTGTACTTATATTATTATTTTCACGTGTCCGACGACCGGTACAATGGTATATTAGCTATAGGTACCGGTTAATCACATGCGGTACAGACAGATTAAATATGGCTAACCGGTTCTAAACCGCAGCCAACCCCAATGCGGGCTAAACGGTATTATATTGTTATAGTTATACTGATAATCTAATTGCACAAGTATTTTTTTTACGGTATTTCGTGTTTTCAAGAATGCTACCGGTCGGAATGCACAATAGTGTATAGATTTCCTCACAACAATATTAAATATAATATGTCTGTTACACGCATAGTGTTATATAGATATAGATAGGTGTAGAATATGGGTAATCGAGTGTAATTTCCATAAAGGTCAAATTATTTCGCGAGAACATGCATCGTTGTTCAATACGGATAAATATATCAGTATACAAATTATAATGTATATGCACTTACCTATCTATAATAATAATTTCACATACCTATACGGTTCGATATACCTATTGTTTTTTTTTTTAAACGCAAACAACCGTGTTGACCGTGTTTTTAATATGTACCTGTGCCAATTGTATACATCAGATACCTGTAGAGTACTAGAGTGTTCAAAACAATTCTATAATCGTTTTCTGAGATAATATATTAGTATCAATCGCAGGGGTTTTTTTTTTGTCCATATAGAAATGTTTTTGATCTAACAATATGTGCGCACACACGTGGTTTACCGTAATTAATATCACAGTAATCCGGGAAAGAAAAAAGAGGGTGCCAAGGTTATAAGCCACTAATAGGTAGGCGAGAATTTATTAGGTACCTTACTTTGTGTACCGAAGCAACTATAGATCCAAAACGATTCTAAGTGGAATTTGGTTACTTGGTTGTTGTTACGTTAAAGTCGTTTTTCCTCGAGTGTAAATAAGGGGACATATAGAAATAAAATAAAGTTCAAAATTCAAGTGAATGTCTGTCACATAGAAACTGTAATTTAAATATCTGTTTTCAGACTACCAAACATTTGCTACATTTTAGATCGCTGCCTGCTTTGTACACAACCCGGTTTTCAAACATTTTTTTTTCCACTAATAAAGCCATTTTTAAGTAATGGCATACCAATGACACTCACTACATCAAAAATTATAACAGAAACTTCATTTAATGATTTTAATGATTGAAGCAAGTCTTCTGGTCGAAACCATGTTAACAGATAGAACATTCTATCTCTAATCTAACTTTACTTTACTCTTTGGCTTTGCCTATGATATACTCACACCAAATTATGTCCGTCACGGCTCCGACGAACAAGTTAGAACAGCCCTTTTGCATTCGACCGCCATTCGGATAGTAGTCCACGTGTCCCATGGGCTGCCAGGCGCCAAGACCGCCCAGTATGAGATTTTCGCCGTTGGAGTGGATTACGTCCACGAACTTGGCGTCCGTCGAGTCCAGTCGAGTCTTGGAGTCCTGGTTCTCGAACAATGGTCCGGCAGGATCCAGGCCCGTGATCCGACTTAGATTCTTGAGCTCAGCGCCAGCGTAGCCAGCTGCGTGCGCGCCCAAACTGAAACCGATCAGATGCACGTTTTCGATGGGCAGGTTAGCCTTGGCCGCCAGTCCCGCTATAAGCATGGCCACCTGTTTGCCAACTAGCCTGGTATTGGCCGCGGCCCGCACATAGTTGGGTATTATGGCCCCGGCCTCCCAGTCTACGCAGATGACGTTGCAGTCAACCTGGTGCATAACAAGGCATAGAAGCCATTTTAAAACAATCATCATAATGTACTACTGCCCATACCTGAATGTATATATATACATGCACATATGAGTGTATGAAAACAATTTTGTTAGGACTATAGCCATCACTTTACAAAAAATTAACACACACTTATGTTGAAAACAGATTTAATTTTAGAGTCAAATATATACGAGACCAGACATGGTTCTTTTTCGAATTATAGTCTTTAGTTTCTAAACATTTAATTTTGAAAATTTCGTAAGAAATTAAAATTAAATTGAAAAAAATGGCCGGGTCGATCTCGTATACACTGTAGGCTGAATTAAAATAGTTTTTTTTACAGAATCCCTATCACATCACTTCATCGATCGGACTCCTAGATAGAAAATTGGACTATAATTTTAAGCTGCATATAAGTATTATGTATCGAAAAAAGAAGGATGACCCAAAACCCGTTTCATTTCGAGTCGCTTTAATTTTTTTTTCGCTCGTTGTTTCATGCGAAAATGACTTGTAACCAGTCACCCGGTATGTGCCATATCGAATTTCAACGATGCCTCTAAACTACCTATATAATGAATAATAATAATTCACAAAGCCGGCGTGAAAGTAACACACGTTTTTACTATACCTAATTTGTTATTGATACAATAATAACAATAATTGTGTTCTCTAAAATTATATACCTACTGAAATTGACAAGGTGGCATATTATATATTATGGTGTCCTTCAGCCGTCGCCCAGTAAATAATATTATTCGGGACGGCATAGATAGAAAAATTATATTGAATTATGTTCACAAATACCAACAATAATATTGTAAATAATACGGTATTATCATATTGGATGTGGCGAATTCGATTTCCTCGAACCATCGAAATCCATTTACAAGTAGTTGTTTAAGAACAACGGACGACTGAGCTCATAATATTTAAGAGGACACACATGTGTTATCACATGTGTTTATACTATTGTTAGTTACAAATTCATGACATCGAAAATCAGGGAGTGGAACCTAACCTAAAAGAACCGGTTTTGGAACCGGTACCTTTAAAATATTAAAAACAGGAACCGAAACTGAAACCTTTATTTAGTTAATAAACTACCGGAACCGAACCAGAGTATACAAAAACTGTAGGTGGTCAATACAACGTTTCAAATTATAGCCAATAGAAGTAAAAAAAAAAAAAATTAATAATTTTATTACATTTATATTATGTGCCTACTAAAAATTAAATACTAGAACCAGGACCAAACTTGTTTGAAACCGGAACCGGAACAGTAATTTTACTTTTGGAGAACATGCACTGGAACCAATACTGATAAATTCAAAAGTTTCAGTTCCTGTCAAAAATTAATTTTCATTAAGGACAATTATTATTTCGGTGAAAAATCGGTGAACTGGTACATTTAGAGGTCCGTTTTCTTAAAATCCGTAAATTGGAAACTGATTTGAGCAAACCAATGCTATTTTTTCGCAAGAAATAAGTCATTTTTTGTTGCCTTTTTTCCCAAATTTATAAACCCCCCCCCCCTTCCTTAAAACACAGTAAATCCTTTTTTATTTTCCGGTAGTACCTGTAGGTATCTAAGTGGCATGAATTAAAAATATCTATATCACGTTTAAAAATTAAAATATTGAAAATAAAAATTTGTTGTATAGTTGCATGGTGTACAGAAAATATTCTTATCTTTAAGTTTGATGACAGGAAAAATTACTTTAAAATTAAAACTAATAGCGTTTCTGTTAAACGTTAATTTGTTATGTCGTATGTTTGTAAGACTGTGACAGCATACACGGACATTTACTATCTCAGACTGACTAAAAGGCAAAATTAAAATCAAATTAGAACTTGAATGTGTCGTTTAGGTTGCAATTCGAGTTTAAATACAAGATATCAAATTTAAAAAAGAAATACTTTTTTAAAGCTATAATTAACTTTTTTCTAAACATTTTTCAAAACAGTTACAACCATTTTAATAATCCCATTTTTAAAATAGCTGTCACTGTATTGTATACCAATTAGTTAGAAAAATACTATGTACAGCCCTCGAAAATATACTCCTCTTTAAACAACGTTATTTGTGTATAAACTCCAATTTCAACCTAAACATGTCACAATTTATTTGTTCTAAGGTATATTATTTTGCTATGTCACCCGTTAGTTAGACTTCGATAGAAGATGTGAGTGTGGTGACGTCCTTTTAAGAGGACGTCTCGATAGTGTTTGAATCAATTTTTGTAACCTCATTCCAATTCATCTGCATACATGCCATACATTTTCTAGTCAATATATAATATATTTATTAGTTATAGTCGATTTATGTAGTAATATCAATCTTCAAAGGCAATATTAATGTTATTATTACATTATTGCAGTTTTTATCATGAATCAACGATTTTTTCGGTGAATTTTAAGTGAGTTTGTTTTCTGCTTTGTTCGATTATTATGGAATCGTTAAGATTTATATTTATTAACAAAATTTTAAATTATTTATCCATATTTTGTATTTGAAACATTTATTGTATGTTAAATGAATGTTTTCAATTAATGTATAACCTAATATGTTTAAATGATGTTTCGATTGTTACATAATTTTGACATTATATCAATATATTCTATTATATTATATGCGTATTATTAAACTGTAAATTACTAGTAATTGTCTGTTAATGCGATGTTTATTTAATGTAAGATCAATAAATATTTTAAACGTATCCGGTAATTTTAAAATATATATAACACATGAATAATAACAGCTGATACTGGAGACGGGTGCAGCCACTGTTATAGATAATAAGTTGGGAAGGTAGGATATATAAGGTTATTTCATTTATATCTGTAAGTAACGATAAACCATTGCTGACGAAAAACGATTCCGAACGTGATATGCTTAACATTAATATTAATATTTGTGAGTTTTAACAGTTTAAAGTTTTTGACCAAAGAATTAGGGAAGTATTTATCATAAGAAGTAGGTGTACACGTTTAAAATAGCGTCAAAATAAAGCTTAAACAATACCATATGATTTAAAAAAAAATACAGAAATCGAATTCACTTAAAATTGCTGGGTCATGACAAAAAATTACCTTGCACTCTTTCTCCGATTAGTTTTTTTGTGGATAAATGTATAATTTGTAAACTTAACATTAGTTTGGCCTTCTTAGATATCATTGCTCTATGTGACAGGATGTAAACTAAACAGGTTACTAACTACTGGGTGTTATAATAACGATGTCCTTACCACGTCCATGAGGGCGGATCTCATTTCGTACACCCACACGTTAGAACACGAACTGCCGAATCCATGAACGATGACTTTGGTCGGCGCTGATACATTGAAAGCTTTACCGGCCCAATGCCAGATGGCGGTCATATTCGTGAAGGCTACGTCCAACAGCGGCGTGTCCCGTCGGCTCCTCCGCGAACTGTACAACAAAAATCTCGTGTTGACCTGAAAATAAAAACCGTGTTGAAAGTTATGTTGTCGTCACGTAGTTATCGCAGTCGATGGGCGTCAACGAGACAACAATTATTATCGACACTATTACGGATATTACCTCTTCCGGATGGTTTGGTACCATTCCGATGTAACCGTAAGGGCCCGAAGTATCGAAGCAGCCTACTTCCGGATAACAAGCGGTTGTTTCTGCTCTTTTGTGTCTGTCGAAAGATAAACAATTATATATATACATTTTATATACATAAAAAAAAAAAAAACGGTAGTGTGGATAATAATAAAACTTTAGTAGATTACAGGTAGATATTTCTGTTTTTATTTTAATTTGGACATTATATTTTTTATTTGTTCGATATTATATCCAGTTTACAAGAGTATGCAATTCGTTTATGATAAACTATAATTTATGATATTAACATGTTACGCGTAGATTATAATGGTTTGAATAAACTATAGTTACATAATATTATGAAAAACAAACGAAAGAACTGTTATAGATCAGAAGTTAGGAAGGTAGGATATAGAGGGAAATTTATTTAGGTACGCAACGGTTAATCATCGCTAACGAAAAACGATTCTGAACGGAGCTCGGTTAATAGTATTGTTTTTTTTTAACAATGTGCGTTTTTACGATAACGATTCTTTAAAAATGATTAAACAATTAAAATAATAAGCACTTAATAATAACAAAAAATAAATAAAACAGTTGCCAATAACAACTCTAATTTTAATAATTTAATCTTTTTTAACTTTAAGAACCAGTTTTTCCTCATTATCTCGAATATAAGTGAGAATTTCAAAAAATAACTTTTCTAAAGTACCAATTAGAGCCAATATAAAACAATACAGGTCACTTATCATGTTTTGGTTGGAGCAAAATTTTTTAGAGAAATTGTGTACACAGTGTGTAAAAAAAATAAACATCATTGTAACATCAATTTCTCTCTTCACTCAGCATCTTGTAGTGTACGGTAAGTTTAATGTACCTAATAATAATAAACTACTCACGGTAAATTTCTTTGTTTTTATTGTATTTTGTAGACATTGTGTAAGGGATAACCTTATAGTTCTTAGATCGCTAGTGGTAATTATTATTGTCTCGCAACATCCCCGTAAGCGTAGATATACGAGCTCGTACTAGCTATTACCGAATCACAAAACGATTGACCTTTTCGATATTTTAATTACTTATCGGTAGTCGAATTCGACTCTACCGCTACCGATGTGGATTTTGCCACTGCATGGTAAACATTTAAATATTACATTAGACGAAAAAACAAAACCTAACTTATATTTTAACCCAGTTTTTTCAGCATTTTTACTTTTAATTGGAGGCTTGTTCATTTAAATTGATTTAATCGAGTTTATTTTATTTTCAATGCTTAACTTATTTTCCACTTTGAACATTTCACCGAATTTTCCCTAAAAACATAGATAAATGTCAAGCTTTCTTGTCAGTACTTGGGTCTGATATATTTTTCACAGTACTTCTGGATACTTCTAGCAGCTTCCTCTGAACCAAACTTCGGAAATCAGAGTTGTTTAATCGGTGGACTGTGGTCAAAGTCTGATTAAAAAGTTCAATAAGATGAATTTAGTATGTTCTTTGGGGAGAGTGCAGGCGTTTTCTTAGTTTTGACAAAATATTTTTACTAAATAAAAAAAACCATATTATTTGTATAACCTTGTAATGAAAAAAACAATATATTTTTAAAATGTTTACATTCTCATAGGGTCCCTACAGAACTCCCCTCAGTGAAATTATGAAGATACAATTTTGATTATTATAGCATATTTGTTAGTGCCAATTGTTTGTAAGTAATAAATAAATGGTAAGTAATATAGGACGGTCCACAAAGATAATATGAACATAATATTTCCTGAGGTAATGAAGATAAACAATTTTTTTTTTATATATATTACTCACAGGGATAAGGAACACAAATATTTATGTTAGAATTCCATTTTTATGATTGGGCAAAACAATTAAAAAAATTACTTTTAATTAAATTATTTTAAAAAATTGTAGTAAATTATAGAGTTTATTATTCTTTTGAACATTTTGACGTTTTAATTTTTAATTTTCATTAAATTCGTAATTTTCAATAATTTTTTGAAGTTCAGAAAAAAAAGACTGACATATACTTCGTACATGGATGCAACGACTGTTGTAGGTGGAAAGTTGAGAAGGTAGGATACAAGCAGGAATTTAATGTATACCTGTAAGCAACGATAAACCATTGCTCATGAAAAAAACAATTTTGAGCGGAGTTCAGTTGATAGTGTTACTTTATCAACAATATATATATCATATTATAGTAAAATGATTACATATGCAACAAATATTTTCTTTAATAATATTTGTTTAATTTTGTAACTATTACCCCGCTCCTCCGTTTTTTTCCGGTTTTTCCAATATATTGAGAAAACTACCACAAAAATTAAAAATTGACACCACAAAGTACCACCCAAAGAAAATTTCCTTTCAGAAAAAGGTCTACATCGTATACATCAGAGTAAGCTTTCTAGTAGAAAAAGTGTACACATAAAAAAATAAAAAAATAATAAACTTTGTAAAATCAATAAATTCCTCGCTCCACTCAGAATCTAAAAAAGTTTACATTTAATATTAACCGTAATAATAATAATAATTATGCTGTATTAATTATTATTCCAATTACCTATAATTATGCATCAGGCTGTAATCGCATTTGTTAATTGACTATTATTATTATTATTTTGTTACTATTATTATAGGTAATAATTGACTGTACACTTTTTTTCTCTGAAGTTCTCTGAAGTGAGTATATCTTCATGGGATAGTAATGTTTGGTTGTACATTGTTTTAAAAAGGTTATTATTTTCTATAATAAAAAATAGGTATGGGGGAAATTTGACTCTAGCGACGGAGCTTTGCTGTTCATGGATGGTTTTTAAAAAAATTTTTTTCAGGTTGTTTTTCATCGATTTACCAACACAGTACTCAATTTTGTCATTCAATTTACCACATATTTCATTTTTCGTTTTACTTATTTTAATTTTTATGGCTAATGAGTAATGCCTATGATTATAATATTATAATAAATAAATAAAGATAATTTACGATAACTAAAAAAAAAAAAAATAGCTCACAAAGTTGCAATGTTTGTATATTGTGAGTTATCGTTTCCCTGTAGAATAATAATAAACAATTTTTTTTTAAAAATCGGTGTTGCACTCTAATATTTATGTTATTACGTGGCGTGTAAACGTATACTCGGGAAATTAAAACAAAACATTTAATTTATAAACATTGCGTTATTTTATACGATAAATACAAGTACTAAAACAAAATATGCAAAAAAAAAAAAACGTAGTAAAATTGCACACTAAAATGTAGCGAGCGTTCATAATATTGAATAAGACCATTCAAATTAATGCATAATAAATATATTAATTTGACTAAGTATTCCGGAAAAAAATATGTACGAACAAACACGTAAGAATTATATTTATAATTTATGCATAGTGTATATATGTATAAAAATAATAATACTTGTAGTATTACCAGTTTGATCAGAATTTGTTTATTTCGTGTGATTTGCACAATAACTTGGCACCAAATAAAAATGGTGTACGTTTTTTTAAATTGTTGACCCAACTGTATAGTGGATTGTTATTTATAATTTTTAGTAACTTAAATTAATTTAACTAGTTTCGGTTCAGTTTATAAAACCGACGTTTTACTGTTGATATTTTGTATAGACATCCAGTTAAGTTGAAGCAGAACGATTGAGTCTGTTTTCCTGTCCCCGTTCCCCAATAATCGAATGTGCATTAAAAATTGTGTATTCGTCCATACTATGAAATTATCGCATAACAATATATTAATTCATATAGAGCATAGTAAAAAGGTAGGAGCATAAATAGTGGAATTTATACTAAAAAATTGATTGTATTTTATATAATATTAACGCCAATAATTAATGTTGGTTGTTTTTTTAACCTAGTTTAACCTTTACATTTTAACTTTCAACTCGACCAGTTAAATTTATATACTCGTATATACGATATACATACATAATATACTCGTATATATTTTAGATTTCGAGCAAAGCGATGGATTAATTGGTTTTACTATGATATGTGTTTTTTTCTGTCTATATAAAAAACTATTCGAACATGATATTGCTCAGGAGCGTACTCTTCATAAAAAGTGACAAAATATATCTTTTGTTGTACTTTTGATTTAGTTGATGCATTTAGGAGGTAATTTTTTGATTTTCCAAGGGGTTTTCAAAATTATTGGGAAAACGGCAACATTTACGGCAAACTGCGTCGTTTGTTTTAAATTATTACGCACTATGTTTTTTAATATAAATTTTACTGAGATCAAGAAATGTCTAGAGACTTTTTTTATTTCATTTTAGATCTAACCGTTAAGAAAGTATATTGTTTTTTGATTTTCCATGTAGTTTTTTAAATAATAGAGAAAAATCGGAAAATAATCTCAGAAAGAACAGAAAAGTTTACGGAAATAATGTTTTCATTAATTTAAATGTTGTATTTTTGTTGTAATTCAGTTTAAAATAATCGTCGAGATTTGAAATTTTGACAGAAAACTTATATTTATCTTTTATAGACGTGGTAAAATTGTTCAATGATTTATCGTTGCACAAAGATATAAAATAAACAAATATGTAGTCTATCTCCTTAACTTACCATTTTACCACCTATAACAATGTAGGCATGTAGCACACTTGTGTGATCAACAATATCAGAATATTATTGTTCTAAATAATGAACATACCTATATATAATATACAATTATTATCACCTTTTCGATGTACTCTTCTGTTGTTTCCATTCTTCCATTGAGTGCACAACGGATTTGTATATCTGTATGTCTGAGAGTTCATCGGCCGCTTCCAATTCGGCATTCGCCCATTTCGTGCCGGTGCACTTTACTTGGCCGTTTACTGTAAACAAAAGTATGAACAATTCATTGTACACAAATCGAATTCGAATCTTAATCACTATGAAAAATAAATTGTTGACACTTATAAAAAAAATACTACGATGACACTGAAAAGACTTTCATGTGTCCACATTAGATAATTGTTTTTAGATTTTTAGATAACACACATTGACAAAACTAAATTTTTGATTGAGTATTAATAATCGGTATTTTATTTATTATTCTGTCGAAAATTTTCTTTTCAACTTATGTTTATGAGTTTTGATTCTGAATTAAATCATGGACACTTTAATACTATAAACAGATTAACACGAGGAAGTTGCAATTAAAAATATATCACCCATACCTGAAAAACTATCAAGTAAAATGGTACCAAAGATTACAAACAAACAATAAAAGTTCGATTTTTTTATAATGACTTACTACCTACCTTTAATTTTACATTAGCTATTCTATATTTTGAAATAAATTCGCTGTGTTAATAAATAATAATAATATTAATAATGTTACATTGAAATTATCTTAAATATTATACATCGCACTTATAAAAGTAACAACGGCACGGTTGAACATTTTTTTAAAACTATATGATAAATCGGCACATTGAACAAACCGTATTTATCATCCCTGGATTAGGTAGTACGTTTACACTTAAAAATACACTTCCCTGGAGCAGTGTCGTAATCTGATCGACAAGTGTCCAGGTACATTGTGTTATGTTTTGTAGAATCCCTATAAAACCTCCTAAAACTTCTAAAATCAACCCGGTTACGTTTCGGTTTGGGTCAAATTCGGATAATAGAGTCTGTAAATACGCGGGTGGGATATTGGTACTACACAGAGGCCGAATCACATACAAATCAGAGACGATTTTAAATAATATACGTATAATACTGTTATGCTACTTATACTACGCGTGTTTTTTTTTTTTTTGCACGTAATCCCCGAAAATATACCGTTCCGCATATCTACCGCAGAGGCCGTGGCGATCGAAGTGACCCGTGGGCCAGTACAATAATATCTGCAGCTCCTATAATGATCTTACTTATTGTACCGTGTAATGTCTCGGTTCGGATGTTTTTATTTTCACGGTCGGTAATACACGCGCGATGAACCTCTGCCGACTGTTGACGGTGAGGGGGAAGGGGGAGGGGAGGAGGGAGAATTCAATTATTATTACAATTCGCACGTTATTATAGGTCACGTTGCGAACGTCCTCACACAAGATCCGCTTGCCGTTTACCCATATAATAATATTATATATGTGAGAAAACAATAATAATAAAAACGGTAAAACGGATATAGCCATAATGTATATCTCCGTGGGATTTCGACGTACGTATAAAAACCACCACTTTTTCAATTTCGATTTCGATTTTTTTTCATATGTATTTTATTCTTGTCAGTTCGTGTTTCGGTCGTTTTGTAGTACTTATTTCACGCGAAAACATAATACACGGCGCAGGTATAGGGTAATGTCGGAAATCCGAAATGGAATTCTCGCGGAGAAATTCTCAGCCGTTTTATTGTTCTCTATCGGTGGCGTCACTCACGTAAATTAAAACGAAATCGACGCAAAATTTCGAACGCTGTAACGATAACACCGAATAATTAATAACGGTGATCGAACAAAAAATGTTTTTTTTTTTTTTTAAATTTAATTAACGTGTTTCCTGTAGTTTAGAAACTCAAATATTGCGTTTTTACGACACGACTGTTTTGCAGCGATTCACACCAAACATTGCACGTTTTCAAAAACGATTTTTTTTTTTTTTTTTTAGGCAAATGATTAACATTGATATTATATAGTCGACCAGGTACGGGAACTGCAATTGAAGGGTTTTGTGCAATAATCGNCGCTGTAACGATAACACCGAATAATTAATAACGGTGATCGAACAAAAAATGTTTTTTTTTTTTTTAGGCAAATGATTAACATTGATATTATATAGTCGACCAGGTACGGGAACTGCAATTGAAGGGTTTTGTGCAATAATCGGGTAGCACCATTTGTCAAATCTTTTCAGAAAACACACAAGTTTTGAAATATTGTGTTTATAATAAAATTGATTTAAAACTGAATTTAGCAATACAGGGTAAACAATGTCCAGTTATTTTGGTGGAGGTAAGCATTTTGACCGAAGGTACAATATATTACATGTTTTCATACTTTTGGAAATAATAATATGTTAAAACCATAGTTTTTAAAATAATAGAGAACATATAATTTAGTAAACATAATGCTTTAAACCTTCGAAGATAATTCTCAATTGTACGATTCGTGAATTTATTTTAACCGAAATTAAAAATATAAAATAAAGGAATATTAAATACAAGTAGATTAAATTTTTAATGTACTTGAATCACTGTGAGGTAATATGATTTAATATAACAGTACTAATAGTTTGAAAATAAGTTTAAAAAAAAAAAAAAAAAATTATAATATGATAATTATTATCCAAGTACTATATGCATTTTTGCCCGCTATGTAAACCGGGACTATAACGTCAAACGTGCAGTTTTACCATGTAATAATATTAATTTTTGAACCTTAATTTGTATTATATTAACGGTGAACATGTACACTCGAAGGACAATAAACACGTAATAAATCTTGTGTAATAAAAGATCACCTTCATGCCCTAGATCCACTATCAGATAAAATAAAAATAATAAAAATGCTCTAGAATAAACCCAAGGATCCGTGTAAAATACACCGAGAACGAATAATTATTGTAGGTATATACTATAATATAGGTGATACACGCTATAATATTACCGCGCGTACGATGGAAATAATATTATTATTTTTCTCTAGGATCGCCTTGACAAAAAAAACTCTGAGGAACTACAAAAAAAAAAAAAAATTACAAACGAATAACCGTTTTCTTAGGAACAATATTATCGCCAGGGCGATAATAGTTATGTAGTGACACAGACCGAGTAAATATACCAATTGTGTCAACGGTACCTACTACCAATATAAAACTTTTTTACAGTTTACATTACAGAGACGGGAGACGGTCGGATTTTGTTCCGCGATATTTGCTTTAAAAACGAAACGAAAATTTTCGAATACCGATGTTTCCGAGATCTTTGCACTTGAATGCATTTCAAATAGCAAACGTCCGATCGGATTAGATACAGTTTTATTTTTCCGTCACTACCACTTTTCTATCACTAATTAATTCTATTTCAATACCGACACCAATTGCACGTGCAAACACTTATATGAACATTTAAAATCGAAAATATAATTGGTTAATTATCTATGTATATATATTTGAGTGACGCTAATTCGAGAAAGGGCCGCCGAGTGTGATATAATAACTGACACAGTACGTTAAAAACGTAATTTAATTTAATATATTGCAAAGGTCTCGATTGAAAATGCGAATCAATAAGTACGCGAAAACAGAGTCCGTGTACACGTGAATGAAAATTATGTCCTCACGTATATCTAATACACACGAATTTACTATCCGTGTTTACGTTAGTTATCCACGTGATTACGTAGGGATAGTACGTGAAATACATTGTACATGTGAATAATTCCACGTGAACAAACGCGGTTTTATTGATTCGATAAATGTGAATGTGACATAGGAGGCTCTAATATACAAGAACTCGTGTGTTTTACCGATTGTTGTCTTTTTATTTAGCGAATCGCACCTTTAGTTCAGAAATAATTCATAATATAATAATATGCAAACAGACTACATAATTAATTACGTCTATATAATAGGTAATACACGATTTAACGATAAAAATTAACGGAGATGCGCTTCTGCGTACAGACAAATTAAACTAAACTATTATTATAGCAAATCATTAAAACAAGTCCGTTTTTATCGCAAACGCGTTCGCGCGAGTAAAAAGAAATTGAAATTGTGGCGGGTCGTCAGACGAGACGAATGAGACACTGCCTCGTCTACAATTTTTGTATTACAATAAATATATTTAGTTGACTGTAAATGTAATCTATAAAAATCTTAAAGTAAATTTTGTTAAAAATGTATAAGTATATTAACCGGTTTCAGACAAATTTTAACAGATATCTTTGAAAATAATTAGATTGATAAAACCTTGTCTAGAAAAGGAAACCATAAGTTATCTGTCAACATTTTAAGACTCTATGCATATTTTAAGCTGGATTATAACAAAGAAATAAAATAAAAAATAAAAAAAAGAATTAATTTTCGTAAATTTGTCCGTTATTTCTGCGTTTTTTTTTCGGTTTTTCTCAGTTATTATAAATACGGAAAATCAAAAACGACTTTTAACTCACCAATCAAATTAAAATACACCAAAAATATCTCATTTTTTTTTTCTATTGGAACAATACTTCTAATACCAGAAGGTTGAATGCATAAAGCGTAAACATTTAAAATAATGAAATCGTAACGCCATAAATTTGTCAGTTTTCATTTTACACTATTCCGATTTTGTTAATTATTATAAAAAACACGTGGGTAACATAAAAAATAACGTTCTTCGTGAGTATCAAGAACCAAAATCCAGCAAAAAAGATCTCTTGTTGTTTTTTTATTTGGGCAATATTTCAGGTATAAAACATAGTTTTCAATTATTAAAACAAATGAAAACGGTAAAGTCACGGCGTAAATATTATCACCCTTTTTTTAATTTTTCCCAATTATGAAAACCTCTTGGGAAATCAAAAAATGACTTCGTTAATACACCAACTAGATACAATTTCCTTTCAGAGAAGGTGCTATACTTTGTACATCGGAGTAAGATTTCTGGTAGAAAAGTTGTTCATAGACAGAAAAACAAAAAAATAAATAAAAATCACACATCATAGTAAAACCATAGATCCCTCGCTACGCTCCGAATGTGCGAGTAAGAAAGTTGTTTGATTTTCTGTATAGTTTTCCTAATAATTATGAAAAACTGTAAAAAAAGAACTTAAGAAATATGGTAAAGTGTACAACATTTAGGGTTTTTATTGTAATTCGGTTAAAATTATTGAAGAAACCTGTATAGATTTGACAAAATACTTATATTGACCTCGTGTAGACGTGATACAATTTGCAAACCATTCTAACAATTTTTTCATTTTTCACTCGGTTCGTCTATCTTACGTTCGAATGTTACAGACAACTTGAGCATATAAATTAAATTAAGGCCAAAAATGAAGTAGGAACATATAAACAAGAGGATAAGGTGGAAGCGTCAGGAGGTGAATAAAATTGGACAACTCTGGCTATGGATAGAGATGGTTGGAGAATTGGCTGTGAGATAAAATGTTCCCAGTAGCTGGATAAACTCAAAAGAAAAAAAAAAGTAAAAAGCAAATTAAACAAATTTTATAATCTTTCCACCTCTCCCCCCTCAAAAAAAAAAAAAAAAAAAAAATTGTTTTCACTTACGATCTTTTAAGTATTATACATATATATGATACCAGTTCGCTCACATAAGTTCGCTCAAATAAGCTTCACTACACTATATAAGTTCTGTTAATAGTTGCGTTTTGTGACGGCATCACCCATGGGGATTTTTGGCCAATGCGGTAAAGGTTTCGTAAAAAAAAAAAGAAAAAAAAAACGAAAAGAAAGAAAAGAGTGGAGGAAACCGTATTATTGCCATTAACCCCGGCCGACGTCGTCGTGCCGTCGCGGTTAATTTATCTCGACAAATGCGACTAATGCTTACCTATATGTATAATGAGTATGCGGTCTTGCTGGAACGAACATAATATAATAATACTAATATCTACTATGGCCAATGCGGTAAAGGTTTCGTAAAAAAAAAAAAAAAAAAAAAAAAAAAAAACACCGCGTCTGTATGACTTTCATTGCCACGCCGCGCCGGTATGAGACATTATCGGGACAATGGAGACGCGGAGAAAGTCGACGCAAAAATTGTGATATATTCCCATTTTTTGGTCGTTATATACGCACTCGTATATTATTCGGTCTTTATAATATTAAATATACCTATATATAATGTATACAAATGCGGACGAGCGATGACGACACGCGTCTGGCATAATAATATTATAATATTCTATTATGCTTACAATATATATGGTATACCTTTCGACCCGATCGTTTTTACGGTTAAACGCGGACACGCGGTCAAAATATCATATACCGAAGCAGGGAAATAGTGTTAACGATATTACGAAGATAATAAACGAAAATTAAGTCAATTTCTAGCCAATCGTTGCTATTGCAGAACAGTAGTTTTCTGGAGTTAACTCTAAACGAAAAAAAAAAACGAGCGGAAAATATTAAAATGGTAAAGGATATAAGAATTCGATAATATTAAAAATTGTTGTTTGAGTAGGGGGGGAGGGGTTGTTTTTAAGCTGTATCACCTACCATTTCGTGTATTTAACTTTTTATTTATATTATAATTACCTACATATCAGATATCATGTATAACTAAACGTATTAACACGATTCAACTGGGTGAATAATAGAAGAACAATATTTATTTTATGATTATCTCTCTTATCGTGTTACTACGTTATCAGTAATACCTAATAACGGTTCCACTATAGGGTTTCAACCATGGTTATAGATAATAAATCAGGGAAGTGTATCAAGGGTTTAAGGATCTCACATCTCTCTAGAATTTATCTAAAATACAGGCTATTGCACAACTGATTTTCCTGACCATTTAAATCTAAAATTATTAATTTAGAGCACTATTAGAAAAATAACACCCACCATAAAAAATCTTGTATCCAGCACTAGATATTAGTGTAATTTATATACGGATAAAAGATTCCGAGTTAAGCCCGGTTTAAGATTTTTTTTAAATTTTTTATTGTTAAATTCAAATCGAAAATTGCTATTAATTTAAGAAAAAATAGCATAAGTTTTTTATTTTTTTAACCACAATTAATGAATTGTAATATGAACATTATTTTGAATAAAAAAAAATCATACATTCTAACGAAAAACTGCATTACATATACTGCGGTGACAATATTTTTTTATACAATTCATGCATCCTCTTTATTCACACCCGACGTGACGTCAATAATATATTATAGTTTTATTTTTAATAGTAAAAAATCGTTTCTCAATTTTTCTCTCCATATTTGACGATGTTTATTTTCATATGACGGGCGTGAAAATTGTGCAATGAAAATAATAATAATTTTTTATTTCTTCGCTATTTAAATTTAACATTTGATCATACCGCAGTGTTTTTTATTGATTTGTAAATAATTGTATTCCTAATGCAATAATGACTTTCTATGTTTAGATATTCACTAATTTTTTCTTGTATAAATACGGTTCTCATTAATAATAATAATGACTATTAATTATTGGTGAATTGTCCTCATTTGTGAAAACACCGTGTCATTGTTATTAATTATACCGAGTGTCATGTCTTACCTATAGTTTTCTCCGGTAAAAGAATGGGTTCTAACGTAGGGAAGCTGCAGTAACAGCTACCATTTTGACTTGTGTAACAGAGCTAACGACACTGGAAGGATGTGATGATTGGATTAAGCAGTACTTGAGATTACTAGCTCGTTCATTGAGATACAGAAAACAATAAATAAAAATGATTACACTGTTTTTCTCAAAGATAATGATAAAATTAATAAAATCGACATACTACAACTAAACGAACTCATTAAAATATAAGTCATATTTTGTTCTGCTTTGCAAGCTATATTAGTGCCATCGAGTTGTCCCTCCACCCGATACAATTCATTGCGTCATCCATTTTGTCTGCCCTGTCCACCATTTTGAAGTCTCCATTCATTCGATCTACATAATAATTTACACAGCAAAAAATAAAAATGTCTGGAGTAATTCTTATAACGTCGAAAAGTGATGATGATACCAACCAAATGGATGTCAATACTTTTTAACGTTTCATGATAAATTTTTTTTTTTTTGGTTCACCGCCGGCCTTAAACAATATCATGACGTTAAAAATAATAATAAAAAAATAAAAACAATAGAGAAACGATAAATACAATCAAATATTATTTATTTAATTTTTTTTTTTAAACAAAAGAAAAAAAAGACGGACATACTTTACACGATGGGTAGGTCACTGTTGTAGGTTGAAGTTGGGAAGGTACGATTTTTTTTTCCAATAATTAAAAAAACCGTTTGGAAAATCAAAAAAATTACGTTTTTAAAGTACTATCTAGATAAAATTTTCTTACAGAAAAAGTACTGCACTTTAAAATAGGAGCAAGATTTCTGGTAGACAAGTTGTTCACAGATAGAACAAAACAAAATAAACATTATTTTAAATACAATGCACTCCTCACTACTCTGCGAATCTAAAAGATAAGATTGTTTATTTTCAATTTCTTTTTATAAATATGTATATATCTATAGAATAGTGTTGATTAATCTTAATTAATCAACACTTTTTTTTTCAATATGATGTACGGGTGTATTAAAGTGTGATTAAAGGTGATATACGGGTGTTTAAAGTGGTACAGTGTAGGTTTCAACACTCGAAACAGATTGGTTACTTCTGATATTTTGATTGATTGAAATATGAACTGGCTGTTAGTTTTTTAGATTACGTATTATAGGTACAGTGTGAGTGATGTCAAAAATGTTATCAGGTATGGTATAGCACAATAAAGGAACAATAAAAACATAATAATATATTTTTGTATTCTCCGATGCGTGAAATACGATAATATTCCCGACATTATGTGTATATAAAATATAAATGGTTTACAGAGAAGAGGATATTGTTATTCTCGTCAAACGTGTGTAGGTCACAAAACGTTGTCGTCGAGAAACATAACTGTGATCAACCGTCCGGGACGCGTAATTTCCTATACCTGAAACGATAGCCACAGACCGCAAATGGCAACTCCGATTCACCAGATATGGCGTTATTCGTTTTATGCAGGCAACGTGTCATACAAATCGACATACGTTATGATGGTGTCAATCAGCGTTGACGGGTTCAAATCCGGCAATCATAGACCAAATTTGTGTGTTGTTTTCATCTAAACTCGTCTGAATTTTTCATCGACTAGGTTTTTAGGTTTAACGTAAAGACACAAACTTTCTTGGAGCATTATCTGGTTTTAGGACCAACAGATATAGTATATTAAAAATGTATGATGGACAATAAAAATCGAATCGGAGAATTTCATTTGTGACTGTTGCTTATTTCAAGTTATAGGGAACGTTAATACCGGGATCTATATAATAATCCTTAGAAGTGTAAGTAGTTTAACGATGACTGAGCGAAACATTTGCTCCGACGATTTCAAATAGTACGGTTAACGACTTTTAATGACATAAATAATATTTACCCCGCGTTATTAAACTACGGGTAACGATTTTACACTAAACGAATCGACTCAAACCGAATACAATACCTAATACAATTAACGGTGGGCGTTAATAAAACAACTCGTTAAAAAGTAATTTTAAAAAGAAACAAAAAAATGAATCTCGACTTTAGTTTAGTTTTTATTACGTAAAATCGAAAATTAATTTTCATTAGCATTGTCCCAGTTTTGTTATACCGCTGGTCAAAGATTTGCGAATCGAATCTTAGGTTTTTTTTTTTCATTAGAATATTATACGATCAAATTTAATTAGTTGCATTTTTACTTTTAATATTTAAAGAGTTAAATTCATTTTAACGATGGCTTTATTATTTTCGTTAATTTGTTCTCGTTTGCTTAGGTAAATAATTGTATATGTACTGCAAAAATGACAGATCGAAATGTCTGTTTAGTAGGTACGTGATATACCTACATAATACACAAGAAGAACAACAATTGGTAAATGATAATTATTTACCAGAAAACCGTTAGTTTTGTTTGAAAATATGACGTAGGTTCCTTTACGTTAAAAATATAGGCACATTTTTGGATTGTTTTAATGTATAATTGAGCGTGATAGTTGAAGTGTACATTATTATATATAATATTCCGAATTCAAATTTTTTTTTTTTCCATAGTCGACCCGTTGTTCTGATATAAGAAAATAAAAAATGAAAAACCCCGCGAAAAACGACTAAAAATAATTGTTTCAATTTTCGAGGGGGGAAATATGTAATAAAACACTAATGATTCTGAGAAGCCGAGAAAGCAAAACGAGTTTCCAGGTCAGTTTAGACTGCACGGTGTCCAAATTAACGGTATAGAATATTTTCATTATTTTATTGTTATACCACTTATACCTAAACCGACGGAGTGCACGTTTTGACGGTCTATATTATTATAATCCTTGCGTAGATGAGTATAATAATACTAATATCACGAACTCGAATAACATTGATAATATGTGATCTACGGATAAGACGTGTCGGTTTCACTTTATCCGACGCCCACGTGTATATTGTCAACTAAATTGCACACACGAACGACCGTATCCAAAAATGATAACATTAGAACATGAGTTAGAATATAATCTAACCTAAGTTAATCGATGTGGATTGAAATCACTAAAGAACGACTAAGTGTCAAATAAGGGACTGCGGTGACGAGAATAATGGTTCGATAATGAACAAATAAATAGATAAGACGTCAATTCCGATGGCCTATCAGACAACTTACCAGATTTGAACATCTATAGGAAATATTGGACAATACTCGACCGCTCTTAGAACTAACTTTCGGTGTAATGTATCTATAGTAATTTTCAAACGGGGAATGTCTACATCTCCAGCTTGTGATTACGGGTTCTCCGAACAATCCACAAATGACATATTATTATGGATTCATGATTGCCCAATACGAACATTTGAAGCCATACCGAAAGACATTTTTTATGCGACCCTAAGACAAAATTTATTTATCACACTGTTCATATATATATATTACGAATATTAACCATTGACTCTTTTGATGTATGGTAGATGTTATTGTTTACCGTCATTAACAAATAAATAAATAAGAGCGTGGGGTTTTGCAAAGATGCAAGACAGTACTTTTGCAAAGCGTTAAAAGTCAAGTTATAGGTTTATTTTTTTGATAACTTTTAATTTTTGGCGTAGATGCACGGAGAGTCGTAGCCTATACCATTCAACATATTGAAAACCTACAGAAGAAGAAAAATAAAAAACGAATCATATTTAAACTTGATCAAGTTTAGATTTTAAGTACCTATATAATCAAAAAAAAAAAAAAAACATATCAGTCTCCTTCGTACCACTCTAATAATATCATACAGCGGCGATTACGCCTTTTCGATTATTTATTTCCCAACCGTACTGGACGTTGTCCTCGAGGTTATATTCCCAGTACACTACCCGCGTGAAATATTTATCGTTAATTATTATTTATTATTGACGGGTCATGGATATTATTAACATATTTAATTGATGTTATACCTAACATAATATTATTAGTAGAAGTAACAATACATTACACATTCGCACACTCAACGGAGGATGGGAAAACGTTATACCTCTAGGTACTTAATATATGAAGACAACTGCATTTATGACGCCACTAATATATTGTATATTATATTAAAAACATTAATTTTAATAAATCGTAAATTTTAAGAATTGTCAAGATTATACCTAACCGCTTAAGGAATAATAATATAAAAATCTAACAAAATATCTCAAAATGATCATTTGTTATTGACATACACTGGTAGATGTTTTTGGTATATGATTTCAAAAAAAAAAAAATGAACAACATTTATATAATTTTATATAGCATCATGAGACAGTGAAGGAAAAACAACTTTTTATTTAAGAGGCTCAGCACTTTTTGACTCAAAAACACGCTTTACAGGAAAAGCCCGGTAAGTGATCTGATTTTGATTAATTTTTTTAAAAATGTTTTTTCTATTTTATTCAAATCTCATTGAACTCTGTGTATTAATATTTCTCTCTTAAATTTTATGATAAGTCTTTAAAAAATATAAATTTTAATTTATTTACCAACTTTTTATATTGTTATTTGAAATCAAATGTAAAATTGGAGTTCAATGTGGCTTTAGAATGTTGTTGTTCCTTGATATTTTTTAAAAAAAGCAAGAAAACATTATGTTGACAATGAGTTATTCCTAAACCCGCGAAGGTATATTCGTATGTAAAACGGCCGAACGCCTTCCCTCTTAAAGGAGTATTGGGCTCGGTCTGTAATTTATAGTAGAAGAGCCTTAAATTTTAAATAGTTATTAAAACGTTAAAAATAATTTTTAAAATCGTAGAAAACATAGAAAAAACGGTATCAAGCTTATTAAAATCAAATGTAAGACTGTGCACAGATAATGCACAGACTTATTTTTGAAATATTTTTTTTGTTATGTTTTGTGTATATGAACAAATTTTCTACCGAAAAGTAAATTTCATCTATATTATGTATGGCAGCACATATGCTAGGATCTTTATATTATTCTATGGTCTACACCATACGCCTACACCTCAAGCGATTGAGCAAATATTATAAAATTCAATTATTATATTTGTCTTTTCAATTTCTCTATTATACATACAACTAGAATACTCTTCGTGTCGTCGGCAATTAAAATATACGAAGAAAATAAAAAAAATGCGATTTCGGTGTATTCCATTCCGCGGCGCCTATGTCCTACAGACCTGAATTCGCGGATGATAGATCCAATTTGCAAAGCAGTGCATTACGCGCTGAGAGTACCTATAATACCTAATGTATTGTTGGAGCGCGAAGCGTTTCTAGGCGTTTCCAATGCGGCGTGAAACTAGTTTTCCGCGGCGGTTAGGTACCGGCCGGTCAACGGCGATGACCTTAATAATATCTATATAATAATATTATACATTTATTATTTCGACGTGAAAAATAAAAATAAAAAAAAAAATCGCAAATTACGAATTGACATCAAAATAGTGTGTTATTAATAACGAAGCACGCGACAAATGTGCGAAGTATTACAGGCATGCGAATCGATTTGTACACGACATGTAATACAGCCACTACTACACCGACTTATATAATGCGTAATGTCACCGTGTTTTGCAGATCGCATGTTGATCCCGGCGGTTTCGTTTTCGTTTAAAACATCGTACATCTATGCCTATAAAATTTAATATAATAGTATTCGGATGGCTCTTTATTAATACGATAGTAACGACTGACATCACTACGGCAATTGTATTGATCTGCAACACATCGGTAACCGCCGTATAATATTATTATGATAACGCGTTCTCGGGTTTAATAAGAAAGTATATTACGAATATTGTGTCGAACGTGACAGCGGTGCGACCAAGGACACCCTCCCCCATCCATTCGTGTTTAAGTTCTATAAACACATTAAAATGTGTTAAAACATGATTACTTGTTTGAATGCAGAAATGTGACGCCCACCTTCAAAAAATCCCGGTTGGGAATGTGATCGATAACGGAAAAATTGAAGTGTGGAAAAGTTCAGTCAATGGCAGAAAAACGATTGCAAAAATAAAAATACGAATCCGACTTTGTATCTCAAAATCATTCGTCGTTTTTAATTTTCTCCGCTTTTCAGCCAATTATTTCTATTAAAAAAAATTCATCGTCTCATAAACGCATCGCTATTCTGTATATAAGTTTATAAAACTATGACGGCTGTAACGGTGTATATTTTGAGTTCTCTGACTGCTGGGTCAACGGTTTTCGTAAATAATGAAATACCACAATTTGTAATTCGCACTCGGTTACCGTGTGTACAACACGTATCTCTGTGGGTCATAACTGCCGAAGGTGATTTAATTAGAATAGTATTACAGATATAAAATATTATTTAAGTATTGCTCCTTTTCTTGTAGATTTCACTCCGCGAAAGGTATACGTGCGTTTAATATTCTATTATAGTTTCGTCGGGATTTTTACGCGCTGATTCCCGCATAAAAATAATATACTCCGAAAACGGACCGTTTAATATCTCGATCATCGTTACACCTACTTCGGTATGACCACCAGATGTTTTCCATATATCATATAGGTACCTGCTATAATTTTTATTCAGAAATCCGATCGATTTCATTCACAAACGATATGATTTTTAAACGGAAATGTTTACGAAAAACTATGTACAGACTTTATCCGACCTAAGTGGTATATAAATTCACAACCAGAATTTTCATCGACCAAGATATAGGTTTTAGGTTTAAACTAGAAAACTAATTTCCTGGGAGCATTATCATTAGGTTTGGATTAACTGGTAGGTTAAGTTTTTCCATTTCTCCTTTGCTTTATTTAAACCCGTGGCGCGTTTAATCGATTAGGTAGTATTTTGATATGCACTAGTTTCCTTGGAGCAGTATTGGGTTTGGATTAATAATTAAATTATGTTTTGAAGAACTTCCCAAAACTCTTAAAACTAACTCGGTTACGTTTCGGCTCGTATCGAACTCGGATAGAGTTTGTAAATACGTGTCCCGACGCACATTATTATTTAAAAAAAATACGTACCGGGTGTACAGGTGTAGTTTTATATATAAACGAGCTGCTGGTCAAAGTTTGTCGGGTAGGATACAGGAGTAAGTAAAATACAGGAGAAGTGAAAATACATTTAGTATACTAAGGGAATAAGGGTACGGAAGAAGTAAGTTGAGATATGGGAACAGGTAAAAACGTCTAGACATCAGTTTTTTACAGGGTTCCATGGCTCCGTTCCCAGGTCCCAGGTACCTGGTTTCCTGTGATATAGGAAACAGTATTCTAGGATAAAGGAGCTGTAGCGGATACAGTCGGCGGATAGATGTTTTGACGCATGTTGTTTACTGCGAAAAAATACCATCACCAAGTTTCACGTCGAAAACATGGTTAATTTGTATCTTTAATATTTTGATGTCGGCCAGTTGGTGCAGTGTCAGCGTGTGCAGTTGTTATAAGCCACAACATTGCATCATTTACGAAACTTCCGCAATTCGCTTCCCGAATCAATTGGAAAATTATGTAATTACTTGTACGTACCTACCTTAATAATAATAATAATAATACTATACGATAGGTACATCCATTCGAATTTGTTTTTATGTAACGACGTGCCGATTTGTAACAGTTAAAACTTTAAGTAAAAGCCGTGACAGTGGCATTTACCATTTATGTCTTTCTAACAGGCAATATAGCAAAAATGAGTTCACGTAAAACAAACGAATACCTAGGGTTTTAAAATTGGTTTTAGTGAGAAAACCCCTAACTTGTTATAAATATATTATTGTATATTTACAATGTGTAGATGGTAATTTTTTCAGGATAACCGTGTCAGTATTTCGCAATTCTCGAAATATTCAACTCAAAAGGTTTAAAAATCGTATTTTTTAAATAACTAATACTTTTTCGATAATGGATATACTTCAAAAATGCTGATGAGGGATCGTTAGCTGAGAGCTTATAATATAGAAAGAAAGTTTACATTACTAGGAAGCCGTTTTTTATTGGTATAACTCTTACCACGGGTTACGATATTTCGTTACTTTTCTAATGTTATTCCGTGGAAATGCCTCGGAAATTCTAATAATATTCTGTGAAGTCAAAAAAAAAGCGCATCCCATTGAAATTCTAACTATAGGCCGTTGTCCGCTATTCAATTTTGATATAGGCTCTCTGAATCTAGACACATGTCCTTCAGGTTATTTCGAATCATTTAGCAATTCCTTAAAATTCGAACTGTCAGCATTTAAATTCAGCCGCAATTTTCATGCACTCAGATATGTAACAGAAATCTTAATTGAAACCATGAATTAATAAGTACGCGAATACGGAGTCTGTGTACACGCGATTGGAAATTTTGTGTACCTTAATACACATGAATTTATTATCCGTTTTCACACGAAATACTTAAACACGTAGGTAAATACGTAAATAACGTGAAATACGCGAATGTACGTGTATTGTGTATGATTTTATAGATCCGAATGTTAATTTCACATAAATGCGTGAAAGCGTGTACACGTGAAATAGTGAGCTCTAATAGAGACTTACCTAAATTCACCTGTCGGCCGTTTAAATTATTGAATTTTGAGTTTTTTGTTTTTTTGAACAAACTATTGCGCGTGTAAAAAAATATAAAACACGACGTTTATAATATTAATATAGGTCAGTTTGGTTAAATTTCATTAGCCATACGAAATTTTATTACGGCGTATCTATTTTAAATATCAAAAAAATGATAATAAAAATAATAACATTATAATGGATAGGTGTGGGTACCTGGTTTGTCGGCGCGTATTGTACTTGGGCTCGGCGTGTCAAATAGAAAATAATAAAAACGTCACCGTGTGTGACGCGAGTATCGCGCCACGATTGGACGATAAAGACCAGATATTTCGTAACGATTTTTTTTTAATTTTATTTTATACCCTAATATTATTATCTTGCGCGCGTCGTAATGACAATTATTATTAATCTCCGATAATGTTATGTAAATTTCGTTTTCGGTTTTTCAACGGCGATAATAATGTAGCGCACGGCGAACATTTTGAAAAATCTAATCGGACTCGTCAATCGCACCGATCATCGCTGTACGTCATTGTGCACGTCGAGTGTCAGTAATTCGATCAGTTTCTCTATATCACTGTATCGGCGACAATAATGAAAAAAAAAAAAAAATAATAATAATAATAGCAATAACATTATGATAATAATTATGTCGACGTCGTCATCTCGTGATATAATATTGTATAATAACAGCTTTTTCTTTCAAAATTCTCCGCCCGTAAACACGTTTATACAGTTACGTACCCACCCGTTTACCGTCTATGCCAGCGGTTCACAAACTGGGAGGCACAAAGTAAGTACCGGATTCGTTTTTCTTTAGACCATTAGATTTTTAAGATTTACAAAGTATTTACGGTTTTGACCCACAAAAAAAAAAAAATGTATGTCTCGTAATCAGCAACACACGTAGCATATCAATACGATTTGCGACTTGGTATTTGTCCGAAGCAGGATTTATTACAGTACAACCACGAATTAAAATCCAAATATCGGTGAAACTCGACGGACGTACCAGTTACCATAGTACCAGTTACATCGTAGTTTCCTAATTTAGATTTATAACTAATACGTGAAAACGGTAATTTATAATCTAAAATGTATTTTGTTTTAATTTATATTGATCGGGGGAAACGTGAGAAAATCGTTCAATTTTCTGGAAGACTCGAAGGAACCACTGCAGGTCTATGTGCTCATAAAAATACTAAATACTATCTAAATAATAATTAAGCATTTCGGAACAATAATAGGTATGTCGGATCAGACGAATATCGGTCGGTTTGCGCGCACACTCACACACACACACACACACACACACACATTACCTGTAATACCTGTAATGTAATTTTCAGTAGACTTCTCTTCACTTCACGCAATCTGAGACCGACAGATCGTGCGCGCCGTCGTCGTATTGTTTTCACGGGCGTGTGCCGGTTACGAAAAATATATACTTGCGTATAGTGCATAATAGTACCTATATCGTATTATTATTTATTATAATAATAATACGTAAATCGTGGGCGAGTTGAATATTCTACTGTTGACTTCGTATAGAAGCCTGGGTCAATATGTCAATATATGTATGGTATTATAACGGTACTCGGTGGCGGCGGGTACAAATTCCTGACGTCACTCGCAACGGAAAGATATACGAATGTATAAGATACTGGGTATCGAGGAGACCGAATAACTAAACTTGATGTAGAGTTAAGAGAAATCGTTTAAGTTTAAGAACGATAGAACAACAAGCTATACGATAAAGGGACTTCACGTGACTTGTTGGTTGTTTTTATCCAGAAACATGCGTTACAGAGTTAGGTTTCCTGCTTCATAGAGTAGATTGATTTCGATAATTATTATAATTTTTTTTTTTTATGAAAAGATAAAAACTTTTTATATGGCACATTGTACTGGGATTTCGAAAAATATATAGGTTTATCCAAACGTTACGATTAGAGTTTTAATATGACTAATTTTGTTCTATTTTGTTTAACTTATCCTTTTTATGGTTTATGGTAACAAAGTCCATTACTATAGGAAGTTTTCCTCTTTCTAAAAAAATTAAACATAAATAATACACAGAAATCGAACATCTCTACGAGGCAGGAGATTTGTAAACCATGTTTTGAACAAATAAAACTGATTGAATTTTTTTAAAGGATTATCAATAATTTTTAAACGTTAACAATATAAGAAGAAATTGTTAATAATTTGTAACCGACGAAGGAAAAAATATGTCTATATGTAGAGAATAAAAATCGAAGGAGCGATGATACGATAGGCAGGATAAGAAAACGTTTAGAAGCATTGGTAATGATGAATCGAGGATAAATAGAATTTATATTATTGCACCTGAGAACTACTTCAGTAACAACGGCATGTCTATAATTCGTATAGAATTAAAAAATCCGAATGAGCAGAAAATGTAGTGGCATTGGTGAAAGACCATTCCTTATAAATATATGAAAAGGCTATAGGGCAAGTGGGTGGATTATTTTTTTAATATTTTGCTTAGTGCTTGAAATATGGTCGCCACGTCATTGTGGTTATACTTCAATAATTTGGCGACACCGATGACGAATGTCCGTGTAGACGACTGCTTTCGACGCGCCGCTGACAAGGATTGATGAAGACGAACCGCGTGCCGATTAGTGCAGTCCGAGTGACCAGGTTATGACCGGGTTTATACCGCGAATGTGACGTGTGCATACACAGTATTCAGTAGCCGTAGTGGATAATAATAATAAATGTACTATTATTATACCGGATGAACCGCGGAAGAATCGGGCCAAGAGTTCAACGTATAAAACGGTCAACGCGTTTTTTTCTTTCTTATTTGTCACCACCGACGATAAATATTATTAGTTACCGATTACCGTAATAATAACATTATCATAACAAATTGTTTACCTAGCACTTAATACCTATGCACAGCCGATACATACAATATTATTATAGAGTTTCACGCAAATTTCACGCGTTCGTTCCGGAAACACATATCATTATTCATTACTCGGGAAACTATATAATGGTAAGTAAAAAGAAAAATATCGTATACTTTTATATTATACAGTTTATATTGTACAATTATATATCCGTTTAATAAGTTCGGATGCACGACAAACGTGTTGAAGAATAGTAGAACGCGAATATTGGTAGATACATCAAAGATGAGTAAATGTTATGATTACGCTCCGGATTCTTAGTGACCACGAGGAAAACAATGTTTTGCTAAGAAAAAATATTCCAAAATATAAACGTCATATTTTTTAAACAAATACCTAACGATAAGCCGATTGTTAAAAAAATCTGTACAACACACAGAGATCAGAAATTTTGAACACATAAATACATAGTCTGACGACATCTCGAAGCCTATATTATCATACAGATTTTCAAATGCCAATAACAATATATAGGGGCTTACACTAGAATTTCGGACTTCAGGGATTAAATATCCATTTTAATAAAATTGTCTGACTTAACCAATTAATCACGAGTGTCACGCAGAATTTTGTTTTTTTTTTTTCAATGATTTTACGTTTTTAATGATTTTGTTTCCTGTGTAAATTATGAAACTTGTATGTAGCGGTTGACAAAACATAATATGATATTATCAAATTTCTCGTAATTTTATTATTGTATTATTATATTGTCTATAGATGTACGAAAAATAAAAATGTTGAGTAATAGTGTAGAGTGCAGTATTGAAAATGAGTGTTTCGTGCAATACTTTTACAATGGAAAAATTTAAAAAAATGCATTTTTATGCCGTCCGAAGTATTCTTTTATTTTATATTTTTAACAATAGAAAAATCGTAGTTTTATAGCGTTTTAGTTTATTATATTTATCTATAATATCATAAAAGGTACGTATAATTAGGGTCGTATTAAGGGGAGGGTCAAAGAGGACATTGGCTCTGGGCGTCATATTTCAATATTCCGTTTTTATCCCTCAAATAATTTAATTAAGACCATTTTCTATGTTCAGATTAATAAAAAAAACATCATCCAAAAATTTATTTAATATTAATATGATATTCAGAACTAATGTTCCGAACTCCGATTTTCGAGAAACGACAATCGTGCCACACAATAATATTATAAAACCGTTTTCACGCCGATCTGTGCCATAAAATTGTTGGCGTTTTTATTTTTTCGATTATAACAGTACCTACGCGGTCACGACCCTCGTGATTTTCGCCAGACTATACTCGTTTTTCATAAAAATAATAATAACAATAATAATTTATTACGAACGGCTTAACAATATAATATACGATTTTCTAATATATGCACGCGCCGCGAGAGAATGGAAACGATGCGCCGGACCTTGAACTAGTTTTCGAGAAGTTACGATAGGTATAACTATGGTGTAGTTTTCTTCTCTAATTTTCAGTTGCTGTTTGCGCCGGCGTTTTGCCCGGGAGATGTAATTATTGTACGTGATGCCTCCGTGTAATAACAATTGAAGAAGGTACCCATCGTATTATAATAATATAATATTATACGACCAAGAAATTACCATGTAAACGCGTTACGCATGACGTGTGCTGCAGTCGTTTGGCTTGCCCAATCAATAATTAAATCAATTTATTATATTATTGAAGAAGGTTAATGCCGTTACCCTAAGTGATATTGTATTACGTTATCCGTCATTATCATCATTATTTCTGTTTCGTTCCAAAGCACAACTCTTATTTTTACTTCCCGACCGAACCGATAATTCGTTAAAACTTACCCATTATAATATAATATAGTTTTTTTTAGGCTACGGCGACACTTAATATGTTAACATGCGTTTGGACAAACGTTTTGTGTATAAAGAAGGTCGTAATATAATTTAACTAATACCGACATTTCTTATATATTTTCTCGGTTTTTTATACTTGATGAGAAAACTCCTGAGAAAATCGAAAAACGATCTACTTTAAGTACCTCCTCAGGCCGAATTATTTTATGAAAAGGTGCTACACGTAGAAATCTGAGCAGTTAAAAAATTAAAAATAAACATCTTTGTAAAACCACAAGCTTCTTTGCTCCACTCAGAATCTAAAATGCGCAATTAAAATATTGTATGATTCCTAAATTTTAATCTGGAGAACAAATTTATGATTTTATATATATATTATTATATTATTGAATTTAGACCAACGTTAAGGACAGGCACGTGGATGATAGTAAATAAATATAAATAAAAAAATAACAAATATCAAGAAAAAGTCACTGTCCTTTAAAAATAAAATATTAAGAAAAATCTGTAGAACAACATATTAAAAATGAAAGAGTGCTGCCAGTAACGTAGAAACTACGAAAATTATGAAGGTTGCCAATTATGTAAAGGGAATTTAGTACAATGTCTCGGGCACGCGAATGAAGCGAAAAAAAAAATTAAAAAAAAAAAGACGCCATCAGCATCTGAATAATATCCAAACGGTCGGTGTTATTATTTGATTTTTTTTTTAAACATATTGCATATTATTTACTAGCTATAATACATATTCTTAACGCCCTTAACCTCAAGACGGACTCGTTACGGACTTGTATAGCGCAATCATTTTACTATGTAATGACGTGTGAAAATTATTTAATTCGTTTATAAGTACTCGGGATGTTGTCAATATGTTATCGAATTAATACACATCTATGTCATTGGAAGTAGATTATTTAATCAATTAATTTATTATTGTTTGTTTGAAAACGTTCATCTTGTCGTTGTTCTATAGAAAACGATTAAACGACGCGAAATACCTGTGTACACTGCATACGTGTTTGTTAGAAGTATTTGATTGTCGATGATTTTTTTTTTTTTTTTAATTAATAATAATAATATTATTATTATTGTAAACAGTAAGTAGGTATATATATATACAATACATATGTATTGTTAAGATTTACATTATAGTATTCACGGTTTTAATGGTACTTAGCTTTCTTAAAATGCCACGGGACTATCTAATAATATAGTAATGATAATTTGAATGATATTATATTGCGACATTATCTCGCGAAAACAATAAAATTGAAACCAATTGGCGTTTAATATAATATTATAATACCTTTATGCCCACGAGTGTGTTTCTTTAAATGGCATTCAAACAGACCGTCAACGGGCGTGTCGTTGATATTATCCGGGAGAACGGAAGAAGAAAAAACGATTTTCAGTAATTATTATAGAAATTATATTTGTTAGTATGAAAACGATTGTATAGGTACTTATCTATTTACCGATCTATACGTGCCGTTTGATTGTTGTGTTAATTCTGTACGATTTGTACGGTTTTGTATACTTGAAATATGCGTGTAATAGGCACACTAGGTATAAACCCTAAGGAGGTTCTCCGATCGAACTGGTTGTCACAACACGACACGTGAACGGTATCACTTTCTTTGTTGGTATTCCGTCGCCGGGTATTAAGTTTCTATACTTAATAATGTATGGCGAAACGAGACGCGCGCCATGATAAAACGAAACGAATTGAAATATGATAAAAAAAAAAACACGCCGTATACCCACATATACTATATGATTATTTTATCACGGTAAAGCGGGAGACACGGGAGACGAGGACCAATAGCGTATTTAGACAGTGGGGGGGGGGGAGAGATAAGGAAAATATATCTTTTCCCTCGACAATTTTGTTTAGTATCTATTATATTTTTTATATGACTAAATCTCATTTTTAAATTCAAATTCCTTTACGTTTAAGTCAGAAAAATCAAAACTGTGTCGGAACTTATAATATACAGAGTGTCCTACGAAAATATGATAGTTAAGATATTTTTAAAAGTATTAAGTTTCGTAAATGTTTTTTTTACAATTTAAGGAACGACTAGCTCTAAAATATTTTATAGCCATTATTTTTTGTCACCCTTATTTTTAGGGGTGAAACCTATTTTGGTATTTTTGATTTTCAAATGGCATCCATATTAAAAATTCGATAGTTAGTTGAAAAACATTCTGATTGATTACCTGTAGACATGTACGGAGATTTCGAGTCTCTTTGATTTTGGTTTAAAACTGCACTAGTAACTTTCAATATCATATCGTTTAAGAACGGTTGATTTTTAATTATGGAAATTATTCCGGGTGCAACTCGTGTATATGCGAGTAGGTACTTAACAGCTACCTACGTACTTAACGCATGACGACATTGAATTCCGTAGCGGTAAAAGAACTTTCTTCGCGACGTCGTGTTCGGTAAACAAAATATATTACGATAATAATATTTAAAACGACCAGTGTATAACTGCTATAAGCTATGGAAATTAACGCAATATCAATAATATCATATTATTATACTTTCGCCCATAGTTGGAAATTTGGGAGAGGGGCTTGAGAGTGCTAAGCCTCCGAAAAATATACAAACAAAGAAATTAGCTCTGTCTAATATACTAAGTGTGTCCACTTGTCAATGATCACAACTATAAATAATCAACTTTCAATTGAAATATTGTTAAAACGATAATTTAAAAAAATAAAATGTTTAGCAAAGTAGGTTTGTCCCTATATATTTTTGTTTCTTCTTGTATCGTTTTCAAATAAAATGTTTATGTTTAAATAATTGCTGTTGCTTAAATTATTTTCGCGATTAATATGAAGCTTTTATCTTTCCTTCTTATGTATTCTTTTTTTTTTTAAGTAATAGTTCGTTTATGCTAATACAACACACAAACAAAGTAGTCGTATATTATTATGTATAGGATATAGGATTTGTAAAATAATGATGATTGGGTTAGAGACGGTGTATAGGTTAAGATGATTTTCGCAAATGCGGAAAGCGGCTTTGACATAATGTAATCAAATATTTTAAAATAGGTATCGGCCTATTAAAATATATATGGCGAATTTCTAACCATGTTTTTGCGCGATTGCTCAATTAATTTCATGAATATCACGCGAAAGATTAGCATCGACTGCAGTGGTCAATGGTTAATCGACGACAAAACACGACAAAATAATAACAAATTAGCGGATTGTATTGCAATTTGTTATGTGGTCTCGCGGGTTATTATATGAGTATTAACGATTGATGGAAATTTAACGTAATGATATTATGTTGTGACTTACCGATCAGCAACACGGTAACATGGAGTAATATAAAACCGGATCTGGTCAATTTTTTCAACACGGTTATGTCCATGTTCTGCGTGCAGAGGGCTCCGCGCGAACGCTTTATTACGGTGATGCTGCTCGTCGACTCTCGTTCAAACGCACCGATTTCTTTAACAGAATAATATTACATATGTAATGCGTACAGAGGAAGACTTCACTTTAGAAATAATTATTATTCATAAATTATCACCAATAACAATAATTAATAAAATGCGTGGGTACAAACCCGACTGTACACACTCGTTTTACGAGCTCCGTGCAAAGGACGGTATTATTCTAGTATACGTATCGTTAACGTGTTCTGGCGTATACTCGTAGGTATACAAACAAAACAAAAAAATAAAAATAGAAACCAAATCGTAGTTTGTTGTGCCAGAAATGATGTTATAAATTATAATATTCGTCCGATCGATTTGACTCGAATTCGCGAACCTAATACCTACAGGTAAGCCAAATATATCAAGTACACTTTTACTGAGATTAACACGCCTATAATTTTATATTTCTGTGACAATATTTTGTGGATCTTAAAAAGTATCCGCTTTCTGATAATATGACATGATTACGTGACACGGTGGTAATTTTATATTCAACATTTTTTTTTCTCCCACTGCTCGAAGTCGAGTGAGTTTTGTTCGGTCATCATATCATCTCACCAAAAACACGCATAGTAAAAAATATCTTGTGTACAGATACAAATTACTTAGATATTCTGGAAGGCTTAAACCACCATAATATCGTTTATGTATAGTGTTTACTTAGTGTTTATTTGATAAGGACTTGATTTTGGGAAGGAGGTTCTTGGCTGAGTTTTCGGGGAACCATCTTCATAGCCCCACCTCCTTATTTTCGACTATAGTCTAATGGAAATATCTCTTGGATAACATATTTTCTGAAAAATACAGTCAATTTTTTATTGTTGAATAATACAAATATTAATATTTGTCGAGATATTTCTAATAATAATTATTGAGTATAGCCAATAAAATTGTAATAAAATTAAATAAACAAAGTACCAACAAATAAATATGAATTTTAAGTTAGAATTTCATTTAAGATATTTTTATTTTGAGATATTTTTTACGTTTATTTAACCGGAGTTTTTTTGACTGAGAAATGTTGACATGAAACCAATAATTAAATATTTACATAGATACTAAATTTGAAATACGGAAGACAATGTCGGTTTTTTCTGCTGTTTTTCGAAATGAGTAAACCCGAAGTCTGCTGCAGGTGGTCGGTAAGACATAAAACAAGTCCGATAATAATATGCTGCACGTCATCCGTGGCATTGGTCTTGTTTCCTGATATACGAGAGAATAATAAATGCCATAGAGTATATTGATCGATATTATAGCGACTATATTGTTTACGTCCATAAGTAATAATATTATGTAACCATGTAGGGCTGTGAATTTGTATAGCAAACGTAATTTTTCGACTACGCTTATACTAAGACACTATATTTTTAAAGTAGGTACCTACACAAAGTTTCAATTATGATATAAACAACGAACTAAATTTTGAATCTTTTAAGTTTATTTTTTTCGACAGTTCACCTATTTTACTGTATTTTAGTGAAGGTTTTTTTTTTTTTTTTTTTTTACTTCAAACCCACGTTGTTTATTTTCTATTTGTGCATTTTGGAGAACTTTAAGTGAATTTTAAGCCGTTTTTCAGGAGGGAGGGGGATTTTTTTAAAAGCCTTTCCGATTCATTTGATTCACAGTTAGATTTGTTTGTTTTGCAGTCGTCGAAGAGCCCAAAGGCTGACGCATGCCGTGTACCGAAGGACGCAGTGAAAGCAATACACTTTCTCCGGTTGGCCGACACCTGAAAAACGTATATTATTATATCCGGAACCCCCACGCGGTCGAATTTACGCGTGCGAATTACGCAATGGCATGCTAATAATATAATACGTATAGCCATTTATCAAACGGTATATACTATATAGATTTAAAAACGCCGGAAAACTGTCTGGAATACGATCACACTAATATAATGTTCGTGTCAATTTCATCCCCCTTTACTTTGTTCCAAACGAATTGGAGTCAGGTTATTCCAATATTCTCATTTTCCGTCACATATCCCTATCCGTCATTACCATTTATCCGTTCACTTCGAATCCATTCACATCTCCTAAATACATAATATCCTCTAGCTCTTCAATTCTCAATTATAGCCTGTATAATATCGCCTTGACTATTTCGTCTCATTTTCTCGATATCAATACCCATCTATAGGTAATATTCCTGTATAAACTTATCCTTATATATTTATATTAATACTATCCAACCTTGATCATCGATTTTCGATATTTGTAAGTTTTGTCAATTATTTGTCAAAAAGAAATACAAATTGAAAATAAACAAAATTGTCAAGGTATCTTTAGTATTATATTCTAATTTTCTTAACCAAGGGCGGAAACTTGAACGCCCGACGACGGCGCTCGGCTCATTTTTACTAACGTACATTGTGTAGGTAAGTATTGTAATTTTTACCTGATTACGGAACCGAATTTTTCTGAAACCGGTCCCATTGTCGTCGTGGTGTGCGTTTTATGACCACTGCACACCGTAATAAACAACAAAACAAAACAAAAACAAAATTGATCGGATTCGATATTATTATGAATCCTATTGTCGTGTGGTAGGTAATGTACGGAACAAAAAAAAAATACGAGTATAAACAATTTGATAATATAATAAACGAACTCGGGCACTCGACGTGCAATAGTCGAGTCACTGCGGGCGCGTCGGTGTGGACACTACTGGAGAGCAGAAAACCGCGCGGTCGCGTTAACCAGCCCCCCCGACCTTCTACTACGGTAACCGGTGTTCGGTCATCCCCACCGCATGGAGATTTTTTCCCACCTCGCGGAGTCTTGTACGACGTCTCTTCTTTCACCTACTTTCCTCTGCGCTCCTACATAATAATATTATTATAGAAAGCGTACGTATAAACGTATACAACATCGCTATATACCTAAAACATACGCACACGGCGGGATTTATTTCATTTTGTTTATTTAAATTATAGTCTTTTAGATTCTGAAAGTAGCGAGGATCGTATTGGTTGCGATGTGTTCTTTTTTTGTGTATATGTGTGTGTATGTGTGTTAAAAACGTTTCTAACGGAAATTTTGCTCTCTTAGGAAATTTCAGGGGTGGTTTATGGTAGAGAATTCAGTCTGGTCGGTGCATTGAAGGAGGTATTTTTTTTATTTTTCTTATAGTTTTCATAATTGTGAAAAACAGGAAAATGTACACATTAACGGTTTCTGTTATTTTCTAGTTTTTTTTTTTTGTTTTTATTGTAATTCAATCAAAAATAATTGCTGAGATCAGAAATTCTCACCGAATATTAATTCTTTTTAGACGAGAAAAGATTTTAAAAATATGTTGAGTTATTAAAGCTTTTATTTTATTTTCTGTGAACACAATTTTGCTGGCTCAGCAAAAACGTTCAACAATTTGGCACAAGTTCATCACGAATTGTACATAATGGTAAAATACAAAGATGCATTGTCGCATTGATTTGCATTTTAAGTTTAAATTTTGATGACAAATTTACTAAAATCTAATAAATCCATGATTCTATGCATGTTTTATCACGGGACTCCATAACAATTTCAAAATCGCATAACCTCAATTACCTGAGGTTTTTTTTGGGCTAAAATTTCAGTATATTTTAGATTAGGTTAAATTAATTTACGTTTGACTGTGTTCGGAAAGATTCACGGCAGTTACAGGTTCGCATCATTTACGCGAATTAACCTTGATTTGTCGGCACAAAGAGGCTAAAAAATTCGGATCGAGTTCAATGTCTGTAATTGCGCAATTATCTATTTAAGTACCTATATAAAACACGTGCGTTAGGCACAAAATAATATCTTTACCAAACCACGATGTCCCGCGTATACGTGTTAATGACTCCGTTGACACCGTGAACTCCGCCGAACAAAATAATAATATCGTAACGCAACACATGCGCGGTGAAATCTCTTTGAAACGGACACTCATATAGTAGGATGAAATAATTTGAGTATAATATAGAGATGAAGTAACGACGATAGTATTCTTTATTTGCTTAAGGCAGGATTTAGAAGATTCGTTCAAATATAAACATATTCACATTTATAGAGTTCAAAATCAAATACATTTGCATGCAAAATTATTATTTTTATATTTTAGATTTTGAGCGGTGTGAGGAATGTATTAGTTTTATAATGATTTATATTATTTTTCTCTGCGAACAACTTTTCCACCAGAAATTTTGCTCAAATTTTCAAGTGTAACACTTTTTCTAATATGAAATTTTAACTCAGTTGTACTTTAAGGAGGTTATTTTTTGATTTTCCATGCGATTTTCATAATAATTGGGAAAAACCGGTAAACAACTTAGAAAAACGGGAAAATTTACGAAATATATTATTTTAAAATGGTAAATATTACTCAGTTAATGTCAACTCAGAATCGTTTTTCGTCAGCAAAGATTAATCGTTAAAGCGTACAGATATACATTAAATTCCCTTCTATATTCAACCTTCACAACTTCTCACCTACAACTGTGGTCCACCCATCGTGTGAAGTATGTTCTTTTTTTTTTATAATTATATTTTGGTATTTTATATATTATAATATTAGTCCCATTTTTCACTTAAATAAAACGCATTCATAAACATTCAAAAAAAAAAATGTTTAATTTAATTTAATAAAACACAATGATGATTTAAAAAAATATAAAATAGATCATTTTTAAGTAATAATAATAATTTATTAAAGAAGCAGAATAAGAATATTTTAATGATGGTTGGTATACTGACTGTGTAGATAGTAGTGGTCAACTAGTAATATTTATTAGCTGACAAGGATAATTGACAACTATTTCATGGAATTTGATAACAATAATTTTTTGTTTTTTTATTATAATTCAAAACTTATATTTTTAATGTATTTAGTCAAAAAATAAATTACAATAAGAATAAATTGGCGTTCGTTTATAAAATGAATGCATTCACATATA